TGAACGCAAGCAACAACAAGACTGTCTAATTTACTCCAAGATCTTTGTGAACACTCCTTACTTCTATAAGGCTCCAGAAAATCATGAAGCACAATTGTCCATTTCCCTCCAGGATCAGCCATAGCGAAGTGTGCACTGTAACATTTTATATTTGGCTTAAAATCGCTAGCAAGAAACTTCTTGGTAAGTACATGTTTCCGGGGTGAGGGAGAACTTAAAAACATAAGCTGCTGAATGCAAATTCGGGTACAGTTAACGATTTCGAGCCCAGGCACACAGTGATTGGCCGTTTATTCATGCTTCCTGACCTTTCACATCCTTGACTCTGCATTACAGGGGTGTTAGGTTGTATTGTATTCGACTCTGTCATGGCGATTACGCCTACACTATATTGCAAGATGTGACATCTTTTAACGACCCCAGAAGATCTACAACTGGCCGTAACCCCTGCCCTCCCCCACCCCCCCCCACACCCACACCCTACCCACAGCCTCAGCCTACATCCCAAAAGAGACAGTAGCCTATGTCCCTTGCTTTCGAACTGGTAACCTTTTGCGGTCGACCCTCTTTGTCAGTCGATAAGGAAATTCATGTCGAACTTGAAGTCAGATAAGGCTAGAATATACACAATGTCGCCGGACGCTCAGAACAACGTCTAAAACACACCGTGTTCCTGGATGCTACAGGCCGCCCTATAGTGATTCCCTCTAACTTAGACTAGCGCGTGTGAAAGGTTAGCAAGCATCAATGAAAGCAGAGTTACTCTCTATTTGGACCCGGTATCGTTACTTGAACCCAAATTAGTCTTTAATCATAAAGGCAAACACCATATATGGTGGGGTGTGAGTTTTTCAAAACTGGATATACTGTCTCTATCCTTTCATCCACCTACTCTATGTGTATGTGTGTGTATCTATCTATATGTGTATTCATGTATGTATGTATATAATATATGTGTGTGTAAATATGTGTGTATGTATGTGTGTGTGTGTGTGTGTGTGTATGTCCTTGCTCTTCTTATCTTTCTTATATGCCCAACTGAACAGTCGTAAGCCTAAATATACAACAATAATACATTAAGCCGCTTCAGTGACCGCCGACACGCTGTTAACTGAACTAGTGTGATTTCGGCACGCCCATCTTGAGCTATTTCTATAAATCTGGAGCGGGCGTGGATTTCGGTTATCATTTTCCTATTTAGACGTGTTTCATGCATGAAGGACTTGCACATGTTGTGTGTATAGTCAAGCCAGTAAAACGATGTAAAAGCTAGCATTCTTCCCATAATTCATTATGTATAACAATACCCTTCTGTCTATCTAGTCCACCTTTCCCAGAGCGACAATGTAGTTTGTGTGTGTGTGAGAGTGGGTTGTGTGGTTGTGTATGTGTGTGTGTGTGTGTGTGTGTGAGAGTGGGTTGTGTGGTTGTGTATGTGTGTGTGTGTATGTATGTATGTATGTATGTATGTGTGTGAATCTCACAATGTTCTTTAATAATGGAGATAGTTTCTGCTGATCTTTGTCTTGTTCTTCTATGTTTTAACACTTTTCCTCACTGTAATTGCGTTCATCGGTTGTTAACTCTGGCTGGAGGTTCTAACTGTTCGTTCGCTTCTGGACTTTGGTCCCGTTCCAAAACTTGAGTTTTGCCTGCACATCCGTTTCACAGATTCGGTTTTGTCTTTGTGTATGCAGACTGTTTCTTCCTGACCTCTGGTGCAGATGCCCCCAGACTTCGAAAGGAACATCCGCAATCATGTCGCGTTGTACCACAGGCTTGTCACTGGGACAGTGGGTCTATAATTTTTCTTTCAAAATGGGGCCTAGAAACCCAAATGGGGAACTGAAGTTTGTTACCTTTTTTTTTTTTTTTTTTTCACATGTGGTCAGTCACAGTAACAATTTTTGTTTTCTTCATTTCAGTGTCGAAAGACCTTTTCAAGAAGAGGCAGCGGTCGACCATCTCGAAGGTGGATACGAGACGTTAAAGGCACATTAGGCATCAAAATACACAAGGGAAATGACAAGGGACTTTCTTCTTCTTCTTCGCGTTCACCAGCTGTAAACTCCGGCGGAAAGTTCTGTTTGTTCGTCCACTTCTGGACTGCAGTCCTGCTTCAGAACCTGACTGTTACGTGTGCATCTGTTTTATAGATCTGACTCATTTGTATGCAGACTGTTGGTTCCTTACCTCTCAGGCAGATGCACTCCGACTTCGAAGGAAACTCCCAATTAGTCGACTCTTACGACATGCTTTTAGGTAGGCAGTGGGTCTATTCTTGTTTTCCCTATATTAGGGCCCCGGGAACCCACACGGAGAGGCAAGAGACCAAAACTCTTTCTGATGGAGTGTTATGAAATCGACGTTCTGCTACCTACATCCTCTTGTGAGAACAATCTTTTTCATTATTACTGTTTTTATAGACATTGCAACGATTCATTTAGCCAAGTTGAAGTATGTTACCCGAGACATGATGTTGTTTGAATCAGAATACATTTCGGTATTCACATCTTTGAAAATTTCATGTCTCCCCCCCCCCCCCTTTCCCTCTTCCCCCACTCTCCCCTTCCTTTTTTTTTTTCTCCAAAAACGACTTTTTTCTTTTATTCCTGGTGTACTGTTTTATATGTATGGGAAGAGATGCATGCGATAGCAAAAGATATAACGACTTGGCTTGAGTTGGTTGAGGGCCTATGCTCCATTGAGGGCTAGAAAGGCAGAAGAAGACTGTTTTATAGCCTCAGCACGTATTGCAGTCTACATGCTTGCTCCGTTGTCCTTCTTTGGGTTTTGTAACCCGTTCTTCTACTTCCTTGTGGACACACTGAATATGTTTCCATGAAAAATATTATCTAACCAGAAAATATGCCCCTTTTCTTCTTAAAGTCCATGCCATATGGCGTTGGTTGTCATGTGTATCCACAATCTTCTTTCTCGTGTACGTTCAGTCAACTCTGACACAGATGATCCCCCATGCCATGATGTCAAACTGTCCAGAATCTGTCCCCTCGGTCTCCCTCTGTTTTTCTCCCCTCCAACTTTCCTATTGTCATGATATACTCCAGTTTTTTTCCTTCTCATCACATGACCAAAGAATGCACTCTATCTCTTTCTGATGTGGGCAATCAGTTCTCTTCGCGGAAAAATATGCCCTTGCGTGATTTTTCATAATAGTCGTAATAAAAGCCCTGCCCTAAATATAAGCCCTTGTAATCACCAGTAAGACCTCGAGTCCGTTAAAAGACACGGTTGAGTGTTGAATAAGGATAGACACCACAGCACTCGAGACACTCCAATATGTGCTCCGTCCTTTTTTTTTTCAGCATCAGGCAAAGAGTTCCTATTCCGATAGCACCAATAACTGTCTAACTTTATATCCGTCTCGTCTTTCCCTTGAGTGTTGAGCGTCGGCCGAATCCCTGGTGGCTCCTTGCAGCGCCATTTTCCTCAGACCGTAATGATCTATTTGTGCCTCCTTTCCCAAAAAAGCCGGCCTTCACAACTTCTAGCTTGTAATACATCAAGTCATCACCAAGTGGCGCGGAACCGGCCAGTCTATCTGTATGCTTGGTTTCCAACACACCAGTATATCCTGGAGAAGATATCCAAAAGACGCTAACTAATCGGGACCTCTGAAGCCGTACTTGCCATTTTACATGGATCATTCCTATCTCAGCATGCGTCCGTTGTGATATCATATGCCAGGCTTTGTTGCACTAAGTGTCGTCCATTTGTTTTTGCCATGAACTCCATAAACTTCCTTTACCTGTCAACTCAGAGCCTCTGTATAGATAAGCATATCGTCTGGACGGGAGTTGTTGGCTGGATCCGCTATCACTACCGACGGTCAGCCTATGGATCATGCTGATATTATTAATGCCCTCAGAGAAATGGGAAGGATAGAGGACTTTGGTGGCAGTGAATCCACATCACTCGCCAGAATGGCAGACTTGGGAATTAAGATCGGCACAGCAAAAAACGAGACGCACACCAGACACGCCAGAAGACTTGTTAATCAACATAGAACTGGTACTATTAGCCATCGGACGTTGGGGTTCATACTGGGGGGAGGATCTGAGCACCTATGGACATGTCCGGAGTGCAATGAGGATAACCCAACTCACTAACTAACTAACTAACTAACTAACTAACTAACTAACTAACTAACTAACTAACTAACTAACTAACTAACTAACTATTTGTTGAACTTCTGATTGTACAACACCATCTGGCCAAAGTTCCTGCACTCACGGCCTTAAGTGATTAGAACCCTACACAAGTCTGCTTCCAGCTTGGACAATCTGACCCACACACCTTTCCTCGACCAAATGTATCAGCCTGCACACACGTCTATTTGTGTCTTCAGCCCGTGCCATTTAAGACCTTCAGTCTGTGACCCTAAGCTCAGCTAGAGCTTCACGCAGGAGGCGCTTCTTATCTGCAACTACTCTGAGATATGACTTTGCTTGCAGAACTGCAATTGTAGGCAGTGCAAGTATGTACTGGACACACTACCGGATTATCTCTTGTACCTCCCAGACATAGTTTATACTGCCAATCCTATGCTGGTTAACAAGATTTATTCTTTTTTCGGTGTGCCTGTGATCTTATTTTTTACATTTTGTTATTTGTGGCAATTTGGAATATTCTACCCACTACCAAATTTCTTTGCAGGAGTCTTATGTAACGAATTTAGGCGTTGCAGCATTCGCATTAAAACAAAATCCTCATTTTGCCATATTTCGTTAACGACTTTTGCGACAACCAGTCTTCTTTGCAATCATATTTTGCGACATGCATACCTGTTTACGTATAAATCTGCTATTGCACCATTAAGCATCAAGCGAAAAAAGACCTTCTTCATTATATGTTTTGTCATTTTCGCTAGCCTTCCATGTCTGTTTGTTGACAGCAAGGTGTAAGATTCGAAACGTTTGAGAAACTGTTTCTACAACCCAACAGATAACATTACGCATTAATTCATATATTCGTAGAAAATGGCAGAAGCAGATTGGAACGAGGTCACCTATATTGGCCACAGGCCGGGAAAGGCAGGCCAGCTTCGGTCTAAACAGGTACACTACACGCTGTTAATTTACTTTTCTATGAATTCATTAATAACTAATTTTGGTAGATGGAAGGTGGTAGACAAAAGTTAATAACTTATTTTTTGTGTATGTATATTACTATTACTAGTCTTATAGACGAATTTTATTTTTATTTTAACACCTTGATGAACGATAACGACCGAAAAGAACGAAATTTTTATTTTTACTAATTTGAAAATTAGCACTGGCCTGTGAAGGAAAGCCAGCATCGGCTTTGGTCAAAAGAGGGATGCTTTCTTAATATCCGATCCCAAACAGGGGAAATCCATGTGTCATAAGACAGTCTAATATCTCAGGGTGTTAGATAGGCCGCATGCACTAACTACTAGTGGGACCTAGGCTGCATTCTCTCGTGGGACGTAGGGGGTGGGTTGGGATTAGGGCCAGTTCTAGATTTTTTGGGGTCGTTAAAAGCATCAGAAAGCCAAGAAACCCAGTCTTACCACCCTCTTAAATGTTGGACTGTCCTGTGACGTCATCTGGGGTAGGATATTACGAAAAACCAAAAGAGGTACTCCTTTTAGAACTTTTGACTATCCTCAGAAAAACGGTCCCAGATTATTGAGGCCAAAAATATACCCTAACACTACTAACAGGGCCTCAGTCACATGTAAATTGAGGACTCTTTCCGGTGACTACACAGCATACCGCGGAAAAGCTTCCGCCAAGTTAAAGTCACCGCCGAGAGTATCTCCTGCTATGCACAGCGCGGAGTGGGGCTTAAACTAGATGGCTGGGACTCACGAGCAGCAGCTACCGCATCTCCTGCAGATCCTCAATTTTATTTGCTCGTGAGTCCCAGCCATCTAGTTTAGTGTGGCGCAGGAGATACTCTCGGCGGTATGCTGTGTAGTCGTCAGAAAGAGTCCGCAATTTACATGTGACTGAGGCCCTGTTAGGGTATATTTTCGGCCTGGATAATTTAGAAACGTTATTCAGAAGATACCCCAGATACTTTATATTTTGATTAGTTTATGGAAGAATGATAATACCAAAGATAAGGAAAGCATTGGTAATTGTCTAATAATCGTTGATTTAGTGTGTCAGTCAGTAGTTGAAAGATGACTTGTAATTGTCCATATGTTAAGAAAGGCAAGCCAGCTACCTCTAATCAAAACAAAACAGGTGCGTGCTTTTAATGATTTTATATATATATGTGTGTGTGTGTGTGAACGCGAAGAAGAAAAGAAGAAATGATTCTTGTAATTCACTAACTTCCTGACACTCAAGGAGCATTTAATATTGTTCATTTTTGCTGGTGTTTTTCCAGTAATTGTATATAATTTCCTTTTTTGTTGTGTTATTGGATTATTGTTGATGACCATTGAAGTCATGCCATTCAAAAACATCTTTTAGTTTTTATAGATGCACGTTATAAAGTTGACATTACTTCGTGTTTTCTTGGAAAGAAAGCTTTGTTTTGTGGAGCCTTTCACAAAGTCATTACGTTATCATTAACGGTGTACATACATTGTCATCTTTGATAATTTCAGGCTGTCAATTCTGCCCTGAGGACTGGTGCCGATGTTGAAACAAGCAAGAAATGTAAGTTGATTTTTTTTGGTGGTATTATTTCTTCTTTTCAGAGAAAAAGGGTTCCTACTTTCAGCACATAATTTGATAGCATAGTTTAACAGTATGGATAAGTTGGCTATCCTCCGAATAACGGTCCCAAATTATCGAGGCCAAAAATATACCCTAACAGGGCCTCAGTCAGATGTTAACTGCGGACTTCCGGCAACTTGAATTGCGTGCTTCCGGTGACATCCACCACCGCCGAGAGTATCTCGCGCGGAGCAGGGCTAAACTAAATTGCTGGGACTCATGAGCAGCAGCTACCATATCTCCTGCAGCTTCCTTCATTTTATTTGCTCGTGAGTCCCAGCCATCTAGTTTAGCCCTAATCCACGCCGCTACGTGCGGCGTTGGAGATACTCTCGGGGTGGTGATATATAGTCCCCGGAAGTCTGCAATTGGCATGTGACTAAGGCCCTGTCAGGGTATATTTTCAGCCTCGATAATTTGGGACCGTTATTCGGAGAATAGCCGGATAAGACTATAGTAGGCTATTGTTTACATTATCACAGATCTACCAGCCACTATCTTTTCCAGAAGTCAACTCTCATTAAGAGAAAATCAGAAACAGATTTGAAAACCAACACTGGTTATAACTATGAAAAAAATTTTCTCAAATACCTGAACAGAACAGACCATATCACAGTTTTTCGCTTACGCACTGGACACTGCAGACTCAATAAACACTTTGTAAATTAGGTATGAGCAAAACAGCTCTCTGCCAGTGTCTTCATGCTGAACAGACTCCAGAACATGTCCTGCAAGACTGTCCTCTCTTGGCGGAGCTGCGGAGCAACATATGGCAACACCCAGTAGACCTAACAAGTAAGCTTTGGGGAAATCTAAGAGGCCATGAGAGGACATTCCAGTTTATGGCCCACAGTGGGTTATGCGCATGACCAGAGATCACTGAAGAAGAAGTTTAAATGATGGTGGCCACACAATAAAAGTCTTTGATTATCTGACAGTTGCCAGTCGCTGTGTAAAAACATGTTTGAATGTCTGAAAAACAGTAGTTTATTTCTCATTGCCCTACATTTAACAGTGGTCACACAGTACAAATGTTAAAAAAAAAAATTCTTATAGTTTGTCGGTGGCCATAAATTATGTTTTTGATTGAATGTAAGACATTAGTTAATTTTTTTATTACTCTAATGTTTAACAGTAATTTTTAAATATTTAAAAAAATATTTGTGACTATTGTCTTTTAGTTTAAGGGTGCCTATAAATAAGTTTCTTAGATTTGCATTATGCTTGCTATTGATCACACTGAAATTTTGTGTCTGTTCTTAGTCTCCGGTGGCCAGAACAAACAGATTTCAGCAAACAAAAACACTGCAAAACTGGATAGAGAAACTGAGGAGCTCCATCATGAGCATGTTCCGCTGGATGTGGCCAAGCTGATACAGCAAGGGCGTCAGGCCAAAGGTTTCACCCAGAAAGATTTGGCCACAGTAAGTGACGCTGTTGGAAATCAATAAAGACATCAAAATGTATCTAATTTTTTCTCTTTAAGTGCAGAAATAATTATTATGTTCTTTCCCCGTGTACGAGCTGGACTTTTTTCAAAAATGATCTTGGCTCCCAGGTCGACCCAGCCTTGAGTGGATACCGGGTGCAGTCCCGGGAAAGTAAAGGCGGCCGGTGTGATGCTGATCACATCACCCATCTTGTGCCGATTGGTCTATAAAAATATAGGTCTAGCCCTATATGCCTAAAGGTGTGGAAAAGTCCTTTTTTTTAAACTCCCCGTGTACAGGGCTCCAGTCTGGTGAAGGGGGAGTGGATAGACCCATCACCTTCCTAACAGGCATGTCATCAGAGTCCACTAGTCAGGGGCTTTCTATAAAGTCAGAGTACATTTGTCTAAAAAGCGAGAAACTGACGGCCTGAATAATATTAAGTTAGGCCTGTAAAGTGGACAAACAACCAAAACTTTCTTCCGGATTTTACGGCCGGTGAAAAAAATATTGTGGCCAAAGATTTTTTTTTGGTTCTTTAATGTTTACTTAACAGTGAAGGCCGCTGTAGCGTAGTGGTTAGACATTTGCCTGCAGATCCGAAGGTCGTGGTTTCAGATCTGAACATAGCTGGACTTTTAAAAAATGATATTGGCTGTCAGGTTGACTCAGCCATGAATGGGTAGCAGATTAAGTCCTTGCGAAAGGCGGGGGTGGTGATAGACCCACTGCCACCCTAACAAGTGTGTTGTAAAAGCTGACTAATTAGCGGGATTTCCTTCAAGGTCTGTGTGCATCTGCCAGAGGAGTGAGGAACCAACAGTCTCTTATAAATAAGCCAGATCTGTAAAATTAATGTGCATATAAAACTACAAAACTCTAGCTCTAGAACAAGTCTTGTCTTCCAGAAGTGAACAAACAACCAGAACTTTCCACAAGGGTTTACAGCCGGTGAACGCAGAAAAGTTCAGCTTTTTACTTCTCTTTGTTAGCGTCTGCTATCTCGCTTAAAACTCTGCTTATTATCTTCTCTTTAAAAAAAAAAAAACTTTCATGTTCAACACACCCAGCCCCCCACCCCATTGGCCTTTTATTTCTCATTTAAGCAAATGGCCTCAACCAGATTAGTGCTTAGTGGTCCTGTCATTTGTAGTCTCCTGTTACTCTAAAATTTTGTTTGTATTTTGTTTCTTTTGCATTATAGAGCTGTGTTTCAGTTGTTCTTTTCTTCTTTTGCTAAAATATTATTGTCTTCCAAATTATGCATTAGCAATCAAGCCATTTTATTTCTATTATTCACACATGAAAACTTAATCTGTGTGTTCCTCAGAGAATCAATGAGAAGCAGCAAGTCATTAATGATTACGAAGCAGGCAAAGCTATTCCAAATCAACAAATTATGAGCAAACTGGAAAGACAGCTGGGTATGTATGAGATCAGTGTCTGTGTAATGGCCATACGTTACTTCCATCCTTAGTTTATATCATCATCAATCAGCAGGTCCTTTACAGAACGTCGCTCTCTTCACAGCACGCCTGAAAGATCCCTTTCCCTAGCCAGCTCTCCGGCTCCATTAGCTTTCAATGCCAATTCGTCTTCAATGTCTTGTATCCATCTTTGTAGTGGTTGACCCCTGCCTCACCTTCCACAAACTGCACCTTCCATCACCGTCTTTTCTAAGCCATCATGTTTATATACATCTTCTCTGGTCCTGTCACCGTTAAATGTCACGTACAGTTTAAGGCTGAACCAATCACAGTACAGTGTCTTCCTAAGTTAAGTTTATGTGATCACTGTTTCACTCATAGGTAATGTATGAAAGGTAATAATGCAAAAACAATGGGGGGGGGGGGAGGAGGATAGACAATAGAGACGTAGACATACTTAACAGTTTTACTAGAAAACTATTGAAACAAATTGAATATTGTTGCCAGAAAGCCATTATCAGAATACAAATGGCAATGATACGGTGACGTAAAAGTCACTTAGCTGTTTGAGGATCTTGGATCTTGACCTAAGCGTCTATTGCCTTGGGATTCCACTCTGCCAGAAAATGTCTCTAAAAGTAAAGTGCACTGGTGTCATGTCTATTCTTAGACAGAAAAGTTGACCCTTGTCCATGCCATTTGGCATATGATGCTAGGCCTGTATTTTATAGACACAGTGGCACTTGGTGATGCCACACTGGCTGGATGCCTTCGCTTCCCAGGACTTTGTCTATGTTTAAATAGAATCAGTATTTGTGTACCCACATACTAGTTCTTATAGTTATTTATCTACTCTTGCTGTAATCATTTTTTTTTTAAAGAGCTCATAGCTCTTCCTAATTGGATGCATTCAACATTGACAATGTGTGTTTTATGTCAATAGGAATAAAGCTTCGTGGAAGAGAAAAGGGTCAGGTTCTTGCCAAGAAGTGAACCACTGCAGCGCCAAGACCCGGTGATTCCACACCGCTGTTTTTATGAAACCTGCATTGCTATCTTTACACTACCGTGTTATGACTGTCTGCAAAAGGTGTCTATCCACTCACAATCAGATACAGATGTGGTTTTGATCGTTGCCGCCCCCTGTGGCAACTTATATTATTTGTTTTACGTTTTATATTAATCTTTTCTGAGTGTGTTTTGGGAGGTCTGGTTTGTTTCTTTTTGTTTTTTAATTGCAGGTTGTGGATAAATTTTTTCTTTGTTATGAAATAATCCACCCAGGGCATTGATTCTAATAGAACTTGTCTTGGTAGTTTTTGAGGGGAAAAAATTGGATTTGGTTGAAAGTTTTGTTTTTTGCATTTTAACTTTCAGTTTTGCAGGGGAAGTAATGATGTTGTAATATAAAGAATAGGTCTGAAATAAATATAACAGTATTGGAATTAATGTGATGAAATGTTAAATGGAGCTGAAACATGGAGATCACCTAAAACATTATTAATAAACTACAAAAAAATTCATTGGCCTGCGCAGAATAAAGTCGTGAAATAGTATAAAAAAAGCGCTAACGTGGAGCTTTGCAAGAAAAAAAAAATTCCAGCGAATCAAGAGTGAAGATAAGATGCTATCATTGGTCAGGATACACCTTCAGAAAATCTGAGTATAAAATAACTAGAATGTCTTTACATTGGAACCCATAGGATAAAGTACAGACCATAAAATGGAAAATGGAGCTAGAGAGTAAAAATTTAAAAAAAAAAAGGAGTGGGGTATGGGGGACTTGGGGTGCAATGCATGCGATAGCAAAGGATATGATGACTTTGTTGAGGACCTATCCTCCGTTAGAGGATAAAAAGCCAAAGAAGAAACCCTGAAATGTGTATCTGAAGAGCTCTGAATATAAAATCTTGGCAGTCTTCCAGTTATGCCAGCAGACCTGTTGAAAGTATATGAAGCGGAACAACTCTGTAATTGAATGTAACAGGGTAACATAACATTTGTATTAACAGTATATCTGAGAGAAGCTGAGCTGGTGAATATATGTTAAGGCTGCTTGTTGACTTTTGTAGCAGTAGAATGGTGAGAGTGTACTGTGTTTTAAGCCCAGTCTTCGACAAGTAGCATTTTTAAAACACACAAAGAACAGCTTGTGAAAACATGCAAATTCCACTACATGGCATTGGGTCAAAGGGCGAAAGCTCATGCGCCGCTGGATCGATAACAACAACATAAAACACACCACACATAAGCTTTTGGCCTAATGACAACTTCTGTGTCGTTTATATTAACTTCAAGTTAGCTTCCGCTTTTATTCCTGATTTCTGGTGGCCCAGGCTGTTGTCATTATTTAAACCTTTTTGCCCTCAGGAGAAGAAAGGTACCTATTTTGTATTGGGTCAGCCTGGAAACCAAGGTCAGTTGTGAAAACAAAATTATCTCACTACAGATTTCAACCCTAGACCTTTGGGCTGGATGGCAAGCATATGCCCGCCACCACCACAATTTATATAACTAATATAGAAGTCTTGAAGCTGTCATCATCTAGAACCGTTCAGTCTCCAACTCGGCTTTACTAAGTCAAGGCCAGCAAATTTTTTGATAAAGTTCACTAGTCACCCTATAATAATAGATTACCAAGTATATGTCATGTCTAAAGTATTTCATGCTTCTGCGACCGCATCTGTGAAGGGATTGCCATTACCCACTAATGATGTCAACTGAGCAGATTTGGGTGATGTATGAGGCCTGGGTGTGATTTCCTGGATGTTTCTGGGCGGCCATGTAAAGGCAACAGTCTAACCACATTTGTAACATAGTCCTGCTTTGTTTAATGGCCTGTCCTGTTTCAGCTGACATGTTCTTGTTTGAATCACTCATCACAGACTCATTGTTATTACTTATCACAAGCTCATCGTTATTTTCTAGTTTGACTGGCTCATCTTGTGTTGTGTTTCAGATTGTTTGCATTTCAGCGCCTAAGAAATATATCGAGCATTTTGACAAAGTCTTGTTTAGTGCATTTATTGATATGTTCCAGTGGTTATCTATGTTTAGTTAGTCTTTCTCATCAGTTGCTGCATAAAAGTCCCTTTTCTATGTCTTGGATAGTTGTAGTCGAGGTTTCAACATTGCTGCAATCGGGTCACCCCATACTTGCTCTGTTCCTGGGCCAGTGAAAATCAAATTAAATGTGTCCCACTGTTCCATTTGAAAAACTGGTGAACAAACAGTCCTGGAATGTCTTGGATATATGATGGTCCCTCGGAATTCGAATGCTTGAAAATTCAAACAACTAGGCATCTGTATCAAGTTTTCACTGCAGCTCACTGTTTGAAAAAAACACTGCTTTAGAGGCTGTAGTTAGAATGGTCGTGTTTCCAAAGTGATTCTGATACCAATATAATAACAATACAAGCCTACTGCACCGACTAGCACTGGAAGAATAGGCAGATCAACAACAACATGGTAAACAACCACAGAGGTCATTCTTCTGCATTTGCCCTTATAAGGGCAGTTGGCACACTGTGTTGTGGTTTACAGCTAGGCTACCAGTCCTTTTTGTCCAACACATCCAATTTTACCTTAGTTGCCTGTTATGAGCTGCTTGTCAGGGGGCGGTGAGTCTAATCTTTTTCCCCCGTAAACCACATTGGAAACATAGGTCCGGTCATTAAAATGGTTTGAAACTACGAGGAATTAGTCTGTGGCTTAGGCATTGCGAACAAGCTTTGTAATGCAGGGGTGCCGAGTTAAATCCCAGCTGCAACCTTGCGCTGGTTTCAACAGTGGCATCGAGAAGCGGACCGTCCAGAAAGCAATGGCAAACTTCTAGACGTAAATTTGCCAAGAAAAACCACAACAGCACAACAAATGCTGAGGTTGGTTCTTAAAGGTCCGGTAAAGGATACGCAACTAACGAGGAACTAAGAATAACATAGCGTCAGTCCACAAGGAACATTTGGCAGTTACACCTAAAAATATCAGTTGATCAGTCGGCATGTCCTTCACAGAACGTTGCTCTCCAGGGCACGCCTGAAAGTCTCTCTCTCTCTTTAGCTAGTTCTTCAGCCCTGTGCTTTTATAGCCAGTGCATCTTCACTCTCACTGTCTGACTTGTTTTCCAGAAACGACCCTCCATCACCGTTTTCTCCAAAGTGTCATGGCATGTCTATAAAAAAAAATTAACTTGGCACTCGGGACAGGATGCTGTTTGTGAGACAATTCTCCTTGATATTTAGGTCACACAGAATGTCAATGTTTATCTTCTTCTATAGTCTCTGAGTTCAGAAGCTCTTATTTTCTTCTTCAAAGAGTGACAGTCCATGACCCACATTCATTAAGTTACCACCTGAAAGATGCACGATCTCAACATGTTTACTTGAACTTGTTTGTGGATGTTACGCCACAGGCTCTTCCAATTGCACAAATACAATACAGAGCCTTAATCTCAAAATCTGGCCAGCAGTTGGAAAACATTATTACTGCCTATGTGTGCCAGTTTTTAACGGTTTTTGTGTGTGTTGGGGGGGGGGGGGTGGCACCTGAGGATTTAGGGTGCATGGCTAGTGCAGTCACTACAGACTGCAGGTTAGAATAGAAAACTCATTACCTCACTGAGGATTTGAAGCTGGGTCTCTCAAAATAGAGCCCAGTGTTCGTAACCGCCTGGCCAGTTGCTCCTCATATGGGGAGAAAAATTAAGCAAATGTGTGTTGTGTTCTGTTTATTTTATTTTGTATAAACATTTTATAAGCATAAATAATTTCAGAAAAAGTGCAGTTATGTATACAAACTTACTGTCTTAATAAAATACATAGATGAGGGTATACAGAAGATTAGGTCGTACAGTATTTAATAGAAACAAAAACAATCAAAATCAAAAGTTCTCACAAGACTAGGAATGAAAAGACTATACCACGCAAGAGGTAGACACTGATACAAATAGGATAACATCAAGAGATGAATGAACAGCAGTCTGTTTGTATGAATTTCGTTTCAGTTCCACACAAATGTGAACATGATGTTGACTCACTGGGCCAGTTCTCTCTTCTAAACAAGATGTACAAGGGACATTGTTGCAGAATATGTTCTGCAGTTTGCACACAGGCACGGTGGTTAACTCAGAGGCTTTGCTTGTAAAGTCTGAGATGTAAAATGGTGACCATGTTAGAGAATCATTTCCAGGTGTGAGTTCCGGGGCCCCATTGTGGGGGGGGGGGGGGGGGGGAATAGACCCACTGCCGCCCCAACAAGCATAGGAGCCAGGAGTCAACTAAATGGGGGCTTCCTTCGAAGTCAAGGTGCATCTGCCCAAGTGGCAAGTAACAACTGCATGCAAATAATCCAGTAAAAGGAATGTACACACAAAAACTCAGGCCCTGGCACAAAGCCAAAGTCCAAATGGATGAACAACCAGGACTTTTCGATGGAGTGTGCAGCCGATGAACAGAGATAAAGAGATCCACTGCAACCAACCTTCATGGTGGAGACAGATGACTGATTGAAAATACACAACAGTCCAGGTTTTAATGCAGCCAGAACAACTACTAATGCAGGCGCTACGCATGAAAGGATCTGAAGTGAAAGCAAGAGGCCATCCTAGGAGAATATGGATTGATGACATTAATGAGCTTTGACATGGAATGGCAATAGCCATTGCTGCCCATCAAGCAACAGAAAGCAAACTGTTCCTCCCCACAACACTTAACGACAGAAGTGGAAACTGATGATGATGATCCGGGTTTCTAGGGAACCATCCTCAAGTGTGACGTGTATATAAAACGCCAGAATTCACATGGTTTTAAGTCCTGTAGAAGTATGACTTTCAAAAGAATGGCCCAAGCTCCAGTATGCTGTACACACAAATCAGTAGTCAATGCACATACCAGGACTCATCATCATCATCATCATGTAGCAGGTCCTTTATAGAACATTGCTTTCATCAATATTTGTCTGAAAGAAACTAGGTCTCTCACCAACTCGCCTGCCTAGTGCACTTTCTTACCCAAGATGTCTCTTATATCCTGCTATTATTCTTTACAGTCCACTGTGGCGCAGGATATGGCTAAAATATTTCAGTTTCCAAGATAAAATACAATTTACTAGCTAATCTTCCTTGATGTTCAGATCTTTTGGGATGTCAGTATTTCTCTTCTTGGCCGATGCTGCTCTGAGAACCTTACTTTTCTATAGATTCCAGCTCAAAAGCCCCTATTTTCTTCCTTAATGACTGAACTGATTCACAACGCACATCCATATGTTGCTACAGGGAGGATGCACTGCTCTTAAAATTCTGAGTTCCATTCTGGTGCTTATGCAGAGACTTTTAATGTTGTTTAATCTTTGCACTGCTATGGCCATCCTTCTTGTGGCTTCCATATAACAAGTCTGCCTATTATAATTGAGGTCTGGTCACACTAAAAGTTCAGCCCACCTGAAGGAAGAGATTTGAAAAATCTTTCACTGCGGGATAATGTTGTACTTTGTGCAAAACATATTTTTCCTGACAATAAAATCATATCATCATGTAATCTTATGTTTAGCTTCATAGCAAACGGGTCACCTCATAATTTCTCCACTCCTGTGCCAAAGAAAAACACACAGAATGTCCATCACTATCCCATGTGGAAAATTGACACACTGAAGTTTCAGCATACACATGCATTAAAAGTAGGGCTGTACCGAATATTCGCTTCGGGGCCGAATAGTGGACCTACTAGCTATTCGGTCGAATAGTGGCAGTCGGGCCGAATACGAATAGTGATTTCTGCATACACTGTGATGGACTAAAATAACTCTCTCATTAATAATGTCACAATTTATAGCCGACTTTTCTTGATTTTCGCCGCGGCACCCCTGTCAAACGCACCCAGTTTTAGAACCTCTGCTGTAATGCCTCGGAGTCAGGCGCTGTTACCGCGAAAACGGGTCACCTTTTTCCCGCTACGGAAGATTTAGGCATCGCTACTGTTGTGTTAAAAAAGGCATGAAGAAACTTGAAAGTGTATCTGGATGTGTGTGTGTGAGAGAGAGACAAAGAGAGAGCATGCATTTTTTTGTTTTTTCGGGGTGTCTTTTCCCAAATCAAATTGAAGATATTGCAAATGAGAATATGGTGGTGCATTTAAATTACATCGAACGAACGCCTGAACGAAAAATGATTTAAATGTGAATTTGGCACATGGATATAATCAGATGAAAGATGCATTACTAAAATAAAAAACAAAATAGGACAGGCAAAAACTGCATTTTATATTTTAAAAAAAAGAACATCTTGTGCAATATATCGTTGTCTTGCTTGCTACATACATCCAGTTTTAACAAATGGCTATGAGTCCTGGACAATTGGTAGCCAGGCCAAACAATTTTTTGAGGCCTCAGAGATGTGGTTTTACAGAACAATGCTTAAAATACATTGGACAGCTTAAAAAAAGCAACCAATAGGTTTTGAAAGAGGTGGGAGCCCGAAGACAACTAATCGCAGACATCAGAAGAAGACAGTCATCATTTTTCGGCCATCGTATAGAAAGAGTGAAAATGGAACATGTGGTGACCACTGGAAAGATTTGCAGAAGGAGAGATAGAAAAAGACAACGAGAGAAGATTCTTGACAGTCGTTGCATGTCATGGAGGTGTGTCAGCACACAAACTGATACATGCTGCAGGAGATCGCAGATTGTGGCGAGGCAAAATCGCCACACCAGTCGGCGAGGCACCTGATGATGATGATTCACTATTCGTATTCGGCCGAATAGTTGGTCCCACTATTCGTATTCGGCCGAATAGTGAAAACCACTATTCAGTACAGCCCTAATTAAAAGCATAGGGCAGCCATCAGAAGCGCCAACACAAACAGACCGACAGAAATGCAGCTCATTATCAATGTAAACAGTACTTACAAACAGATCAGCAGTTGCACATGCAATCAATTTTTATCACATAAGGCACCACAAATTCCGTGGCAACAAGCCATGCACCATTTTCTGAATCTTTAATTCACAACAGCATGCGGGGGGGGGGGGGGGGGGGGGGGGGGGGGGGGGGGGGGGGGGGGGGGGGGGAGGGGGGTGTCTCTGAAACCGAGGATTTACGGCCCGCATGGCTAAGGCTGTTGCCACGACAGTGCAGGTGAAGATTTTCTTTTATACTTCAATATCACAGTGAGAAAACCAGTTTTCACTCTCATAGGCTAGGCTCATCTTAAACGTCTCTAATGGAAGTCACAGAGATGTTATTCAATGGTAAATACAGTCCCGTAACAGATAATGCCAATGAGGCACATTATTTATTTGGTAGATTTTCAACTGTTGAAATCCCCAGAACTGAATCACTGCCATCCTGACAAGCTTGCTGTTAAAGGTGACTAATTACAGGTTTTTTATAACTGTATATAAGTCGTAATTGTAACAGACTCTGAGAAAGGTGAAGACAGGAATGCTTCGAGCAGAGTGGCAAGCTTCACTGAAAAGGTCACGGGTAGTGAGCATACTTTAGATCCATGCCAGCGTTGTTGGTAATGAACCGGCAGACAGATTGGCTGAATCTGCACCACTGGGTGGTGAATTTATACATGACAAGGCAGATGTGGTCAAGGCCCTCTGAGGGCAAGCAATGAAATCAATAGAGATAGAAGATTATTATGGCCTGGAGAGAATGAGGCATCTGGGTGTAACAAGAGGGTCTGGCCGGCTCACTACACTCAGATGAAAGGCAAGACAGACATATAACCAGATTGTGACCGGTACCATCAGTATTGGAACTCTGTGCTGGCTGCTGAAGATGAGGACAAAGCATGCATGGGAATGCCCCAAGTTGTGTCCTGTATATTTTGGGCCGAAAGGCACAGACACTGCAGTCTAGCTGTCTTATCACAATGCTTGTCTCAGTTTTCACTGTCATTGGACACAATCATCACAAAATTTCTTAGAAAATGTTGATAACTCTGACACTGATTTTTTTTTTATAAGACTGAAATTCAGAGCTGTTTTTGGTTTGAAAAAAAAAAATTCTGCCACCGCTTAACCTGGACCACTATCTTCATAGACAGTCTGACTACTACAGCTTCTTTTAAAAACCAGTATTTCTACTCAATCAATCAAGTGTCATCTCCACAATGAAGGTTGGCCACAATGGATCTCCAACACACTGTGTCTCTTGTCTTGGATGTACATTCTCTCAGACTGCTGTCATCAATTTCATGATGTTGTCCTCCCACTTGTATCACTGTCAACCTTTTGCCCTCAACCTTTTCCCTCTAGTATAGTTTCTAAAAGAGTGCTATGTCTTTTAATGTGGCCAAAATATTTCAACTGTCTCTTTTTAAATTTTTTTCTGCAATTTTCATTTGCAGTCTCTTTAGAAACTCTGATTGTTTTTGTTTCCAGGAAATACGACCTGGTCTTCTGCATAATTCACATTTTCAAAGACTCAGTTCAATTTTCTGTTTCAATTTCTACTCACCATTTACATCAATGACTGCCCCTGTGATATAGCTGCTCCGTGTAGATGCCAGGAAGGCACATACTTCAGCAATTTCTGAAAATGAAAAATATTTCAACATCTCAGAAATGAAACCACACCCACTAGCAACTATCAACACTCTAAAACATCTATCCGAACATTAAAATGCTGTGTATTTCTTTAAATACAAAAAGCAAAGACACCCATCTCATGCCATGCAAGGTGTTGGGCATATGAAGGGGATTGAAGCATTCAGTCTGCAGGCTAAAGTGCTAAATAATAGCTAAGCTATTGATTATGTGATAGCTTTCACTGCTCTCTTATAAAGATAAGAGATTTCATAAATGACATGACAAAATCACTAATGTTGAGCTTTGGGAGAGAACTAAACAGATTTAACAGCTGTTAAACAGGATACATGTTAAGAAACCAGGAGAACAATATAACTAGAATGTCTCTGCACAGGAACCTCCAGGGCACAGAAAAAAAGGCAGGCCAAAAAACACTTGCGGAAGGGAGCTCGAGAATGGAGTTGAAAAGGAAAACCAAAACAGCCAACAAATGCTGAGGTCGGTTCTGCAATATACTGTAAAAAGATACACAACCATTTTTATTTCAAATATGCAGAGTATAGCACATATCGCCCAGTAGGGCTCATACTGGATATGGGGTACTAGCATTTTTTTTTTTATAATTCAAGAATCACCACATTGGAGATGTCATCAACACTGTGATAAGTGCATATATTGCTCAAACTCACATATAATTAAACCTGCCAGCCAGGAAGGCTAACTCACACAACAAATTCCTGAAGAAGTTGGACAAATTTGCCCAAAACATCTCGATGTATGGGAATAGACCTTTTTCTGAAACAGTGTTTTTGGGCCAAATAAAATTAAGGAAAACCAAGTGTTTTGGGCAGGATATGGAGTCAGCTGCATGTAACAGCAAAGGTAGAAGAAGAAGAGATTTCACGAACTTTCATAATTCCTGCATGCCAGGTTTGATTCAGCTTCAGGCACTTTTGTAGGAGGCTGCCCCGTATTATATTCAACAATGGTCTTTAGTGTAGGTTCTAATATCATGACAAACTGGTCGCCCCATGACTGTTCCGCTCCAGTGGCAGTGGGAATCAAACAAAATGTCCATCGCTGGCCCAACTGAAAGCTTTTGAAAAACTTGTCAGTCCCGGCAACATCTTGAAGCTTGCACACCTAAAGCTAAAAAGAATAAGGGCTCCACTGTGGGTGAAAAATGCAGAACAGACCCACTACCTCCTTACCAAGCATGGAGTCAACTAATTATGGGTTTCCTTTGAAGTCGGGAGTGCATCTGCCTAAGAGGCAAGGTACTAACAGACTGAATATAAATAAGCCAGATCTGTAAAACAGATGTACACACAACACTCAGATTTACAGCTGTGAATTTGAAGAATGAATAAGGCAGCTGTCATATGTGCCAATACTAACAGTCCCACTCCAGAACTGCAGCTCACTGCTGGCGCAAATGGAAAATCACAAAAGCTGGAATTGCATTAGCAAAAGTACATGCTATTCTGAAAGTAAATTAGTCACCTGCCATTTTAGTGCACAAGCCGACGCAGTAGAAAAAACATCCACATGAAATCCACAGCTCACAGTGTCGCATCAAGCAACTAACTCAGTAGCCGGGCGATGGAACCTTTGAACTCTTGGTTCAGAAATGAATAGTTTACCTAAGCAAAGCCTAGCATGAACAAAACAAAAACTTTTTAGAGCATAAGCAGTCAGATGACTATCGGCCATTTTGGCTTAAAGTAAAGGAGACGAAGCTACAGGACCCCCAAGTCGATGGCTATTTAGTTTATTGTGGAAATCAGCATCGGTTTTCAAACATTGATAATTTTAATACATATGAATAAAGATGTTGTGTGCTCACATTCAAAAATATTTATGGAATTTTAACTCTTCGCTTGCTGCTAGAGATGGGGATAGAGCACTTAGGGGGTGTCCCGGGTGCGGTGATGTCGGTTCTTAATTCAACATTAAAAATATATCTGTAACAAATATTCACACTGCGCTTGCAAATCTCAGAAGCTGGTTGTCAGATCGATTCAGGTATGAAGTCCAATCTGCAGGTACTGGGTATAACTTGTTGGAGTCACTGTTTATGATGGTTAAGAGATAGACTGTTATTCATTTCGCAATCAACTATAAAATCACAACCAGCATTAAGAAGCCTCACTCAACCATCTCATCATCCTTGTGCCCTTTAGGACATGTCTGAAACCTGGGAACATGAAAAGTTAATACTTCGCTACAATGAATGTTGCGGGTTGTCTTGCCATGTCCCTTAAAGGATCTGCGACTATGTTCTAAGGAAAACGGAATCCTATTTTCTAATCATAACTTGAAATAAATGTCTTTTGCTGCTATAATTATAGATTAAAAGTTAATGAGTTTTTAACCTTCTGGTGTGCCCATTCTACGCAGGGGGATCATGTCGACAATCATCTGGGTAACATTTTCTGGCACACCTGCTGTCATTGGTGTTTCAATGAAACCTGGCAGGATGACATTTACTCGGATCTTGTACCTGTAATAGGAGGTTAAATAAATTATTTTTATTTACAAAGGCAAACACAGATCATGTTACTATCATTTAAAGCATGGTCTACCCATCCTTTTAGAATTAGACTAGGAATGTCTTCTTCTTCTTCTTCATAGTGTTTATCGGCAGTTAACTTCAGTGGAAAGTGTTAGTTGCTTGTCCATTTCTAGACTTCAGTCTCATTCCAGAGCTTGAATTTTGAGTGCATATCCATTTTACAGACCTGGCTTAATTGTATGCAGACTGCTGGTTCCTTGCTTCTCAAGCAAATGTGCTCCACTTTTGGTGGAAACATACCAAATTGGTTGCCTTTTACGATATGCTTGTTAGGGAGGCAGCGGGTCTATTCTTCTCCCCCCCCCCCACCCCCCCTCCCACCCCAATGGGGCCCTGGAACCTACACAGGGAAGCACAGGAAAGACTAACACAATGCTCATTCTCTCTCCTCCCCTCCCCCCTCCCTCTCTCTTTCTCTCTCATCTGCCTATAGTACTCTCAACCAAATTTCAAGTCCTATTTATTCTATGTCATGCAGATCCTTCATATATCTTTTCTATGTCATGCAGATTCTTCAATGTCCCTCCCATGTTATTTATCTTTCTAATTCTGTTCCTTTTAGCTCTTGCAGTCTAAAACAATGTACAAAGCATGATCAGCTACTGCTCATGATGTCTTGTGTGTGTTCACCGGTGGTAAACTACAGCCAAAAGTTCTGGTGATTCATCCACTTCTGGACTTTAGTCTTGTTCAAGTACCTCAGTTTGTATGCACATACATTTTACAGATCTGGCTTATTAGTACGCAGACTTGGTTCTTTACCTCTCAATGCAGATGCACTCCGACGTTAAAGGAAACCCTTAATTAAGTCACCTTTTACAACATGCCTGTCAGGAGTCAGTGGGTCTATTCTTTTTTTTTCGTCACCTCAAAATGTGGCCCTGGAACCTGCATGGGAAGTTCATCATGCGATGTGACACATTTTATAGAAATCTGACCTTCAGTATGACACAATATATTATTAATTTCATATACATATATTGAGTCTGTGAAAGTAATATATTTACTTGGCTTGTGTTCAATTTGGCTAAAGCTCCTTTGAAGAATCTGCTGTGAAATCTGGGACACAAAGAGTTGTATCCCTCTATTTCTTTTTACCTTACAGGTTCCACAGAAAGGACGTCTATATGTATGTGTATAAACACATACACACACATATACAGCATATTCTTTGGTCATGTGATGAGAAGGAGAAAACTGGAGTACTTCATGATGGTGAGAAAGGCAGAGGGGAGGAGAGGCAGAGGGAGATCACGAGAGAAGATGGTAGACAGTTTTACATCATGGCATTAAAGATCATCTGTGTCCGTAGTGATGGACAGTACAGAAGACAGAAGGTTGTGAATAGACATGACTACTAACGCCACACAGCAAGGACTATGGAAAAAAAAAAACTATACAAAAACATACCTTGCCAATTCTTTTGCTGCTGTCTTAGTAAAACCGATAACCCCTGCCTTCGATGCTGCATAGTTTGCCTGTCCCAGATTACCATTCTGAATAAAAAATAAAATTTTAAACTGTGAATTTTAATGTTCTATCATAAAGACTATCAGTATTATATTTTGCATTCCTTTTTTTAAATGAACAATTTTCTAAAGCAAAAGTCATTGACAGCATACATAGAGAAAAAAGTAATAATTGTCAGCACTGAAGAAGAAATTTCAAAGGTCAGTCAGCGGTCATTTAAACCACTTCAACTAATAAATTGTACAAGTAACGCAGAATCTGTTGAAAACATGCTTCGTAATTCTGAGCTAGCAGGTTCGATTCCAGCTGTGGGCAATCTGCAGCAGATCACCTTGCGACAACTTCAACAAGGGTATCCAGAGCCAACCATTCAGAGCAATGGCAAACTACTGAACGTAAAATTGGATGTAAAAAACAAAACAGCCAACAAATGCCGAGGTTGGTTTTACAACATCCTGTAAAGGATACACAACAATTTTTATTTTAAATATGCTGAGTATATCATATATAGCCCAGTAGGGCTCATACGGGATATGGGGGTAGTAGCCTTGTTATTTTATTTTTTTTAATTTTTTTTTTAAATTCAAGAATTACAACATTGGAGATGTCATCAACACTTTGATAAGTGCATATATTGCTCAAACTCACATATAATTAAACCTGCCAGCTAGGAAGGCTAACTCACAGAACAAATTCCTGAAGAAGTTGGAAAAAGCTGCCCAAAACGTCTCAATGTATGGGAGTAGACCTTTTCCTTAAACAGTTTTTTTGGGCCAAATAAAATTGAGGAAAAACAAGTGTTTGGGCAGGTAAAAGGACCATTAAAGTCTGGAGAAGATGATCATGGAAGAAAGTGTTCCATGGGGAAGAGGAGGACCCCAATGCAGATGGATTCTTTCCTTCCTTAGTGTTCACTAGCTGCAAATGCTGGTGGAAAGTTCTGGTTGTTCATCCACACATGGACACTGGTCTTGTTCCAGAAATTTAGTTTTGCATTCAAATCTGTTCTACAGATTTGGCTTATTTGTATGCAGACAGTTGGTTCCTCCGACTCTGAAAGAAACACGCCCTCAGGCTTATTGGGCATACAGGGCTAGACCTATACCAAATGGCACTCAGTGAGTGATGTGGTCAGCATCACGCCGGCTGCCTTTACTTCCCAGGACTTTAACTGGCACCTATGTAAGGCTAGGTCGACCTGACAGTCACAGTCATTTTTTATTAAAGCCTGGCTCTGTCAGGACCTGAACCCATGACTTTCTGATCTGCAGGAGAGCATATGGTGGCTACATAATGGTGGCTCCCAGTTTATGATAAAGAGACGCCTACAAGACTGTCCTTCTTGCTTCTTCTTTCTTTCATGCAAAACCTGTTTTGTCTTTCAGTGGCAGGTTTTGAAGAGGAATCTGGTGGAAACTTTGGTGTGTGATGCATAGACTCTAGTATCTGCAAACTCAGATATTCCATCTATCCAACACCTGCGCGGCTGACTTCTGGCTATGCTTCTATTATATCTAAGTGACACTATTCTCCATGGTTCACTGCTCCATGGCAGTCTAGATACATGTACCAACTACAAGAGGACTTGGATTCCTGTAGAAAACAAAATTATCTCACCCACTTGTGTAATCACTCATGCACCATCTATTTTACCTCTTTATCGCACCAAAAAGTGTCATTCCCTTCACTGCTAAAAAAATTAATACAAATGCTGCTTCCCTCTAGATTATGTCAAAAATGGGGCGGCCATATTTAAACTGTCACTGTGATGTCACCATGGTGTCTGCATTGTGACATCACATGCTTAACACTCTTGACATCCTAAACAACAATAGTGACATGTTAAACAAAAAAACATGGCTACTGTAATTTATGTAATACTTTAAAGGTTATCATTTTAAGCCCCCTCGTATGTCACCTATTATCTCTTGATGGAGTTGAGCATTGATTCCATCTGCACTTTTTTCCTGAAATCATCTTTTCTGAACAATATAAAGAAAAAGGCAGAAAGGGGGGGGGGAGAAAATCAGTACAAGACAAGCTAGTAGATGATGACAATGCTAGAAACTAAAAAATATGACAAAACACATGACAAAACTACTATTACCTTTCCAACGATACTTGAAATATTCACAATTGAACCATCTTGCACTTGCCATTTTACCATTGCCCGAGCTAATGCTTGATTCACTAGAAATGTTCCCTGGAATATAAGCTGTTTTCTGTTGACATTTTCTTTTCATTAATTGGTACATTTGTAAAACATTTTTTTAAGCTAGCTTTACAAGTTAGATTTGTCACTTAGGCCTTGCAAACATGTTATAAACAAACTACAAACATAATACCCGTTGGATATTTTTTCCAGGTTATGCCGGTGTGTTAGGAAATGAACAGACAGATAGACTGGCCAATTGTGCCCCACTTAGTGGTAAACTGATGTATGACAAGCTAGATGTTGTGAGGGCCCTTTGGAGCGAGTGACAGTAAACAGGCACAGATAGATCATTATGGTCTGAGGAGAATGGCGCTGCAGAGAGTTACCAGGGAATCTGGCAGAAACTCAACACTCAAGGGTAAGGCGAGATGGATGTACAATCAGACAGTTACTGGTATCATCAGAATTGGAACTATTTGCTTGCTGCTGAAGATAGGGACCTAGCATTTATGGCAGTAGCCCAAGTGCTATGATGTTGATTCTTTATTCAATATACACACTTCATAATTCCTATGTGCCGAGTCTGAGAGCAGCTGCGGGTGATGTGGCAGCTGACTGCCCTGCATTAGTTTCGGCCGTGGTATCAAGAGCCAGCAATTCAGTAAGTAATGGCAAACTACTAAACGTAAAATTACACAGTGAAATAACAAACGGCAGCAAGCAAAAAAAAAAAAATTGCCGGGTTAGTTTTTAAAAGCCCTATAAAGGACACGCAATTAACTTTTTTTAAACAAGTATATTGAATTTACAAATATAAATAAATCCAGACTGGGCAAATCTCATCAATCATCATCACTGCACAGATCCACACACAGACAAATAAAATACCTGTACACACATTATACCAAGAGAAAGACTGAGAAAGGCAGTAGGAGTGACAAGAAGAGATACAATCGGAAATGAGGTCATACAAGATAAAGTCGGCATAGAACCAATTCTATATTGCATGAAAAGACAGCAAATAAAAAAGTGTGCCTACTTGGAGGGAATGTCTTCTGACACTATATTATTCAAGGCATATACCAAAAGAAGAGAGGGGGGGGTAGAGCAAGAGGCAGACCAAGAACAATATGGAAGGATAACATCAGAGAAACTCTACAGTATCACGCTGTGTCTTTGGTCGAAGCAGTCAGAAAAACACAAAGTAGTACCTTATATCTCCCTCGACACCTGAAGCGGTACAAGAGGATGTAAATAAGAAGAAGACACTCATTATACCAACCCAAACATTTTCATATGATAACACTTTCTCCTCATGACCAATGTTACATAAGACAATCCGCACATAAGACAACACAAAAAATATTCTTCTTCTTCTTCTTCAGCATTCCGAGCCCTTGAGTTTCATTACTGCAGATATCACCCACCCCCATTCATATCTCTGCTGGCCTTCTTTTTCCAGTTGGTGACACCAAATGTTTGTATATATATTTTCAGAACTCTTATATTCACACACGTAACTTGCCTTCAAATTGACATTGACGACATCATCAAAAGTTTGCTCATCAAGTTTCAGCAAAAAGTTGTCTTTATTGATCCCCGCCGCATGCACGGCAACAGATGGCACTTGCTTATACTTGCTCTCAATGTCCTGCAGCAGCTTGGATACCTCTGTCGCTGATGCAACATTTGTTTCATATGCTGTGTGTTGTGAAGCTTTAACATGGAGACAGAAATTAGACTATATTAACTCTTTCAGTCTGAGAAGATCTTATGGCAGATTCCCAACCAGGACAATAATAAAAATTAAAAATGCAACAGCAACATAAACATTCTTCTTCTTCTTTTGTTGTCTCACTGATACTAGGTTTTAGCCCAGTGTGTTGGTTTTCTGTATTCGTCTTGCGCTTCTTGGATGGCTTACGGATTAGATTTGTTCATCTTTTTGCAGGTTTCAGCTACACCATTTATCCATCTCTTTCTTGGTCTTCCTCCTACCTTCCTCCCAGAGGTAACATGAACATTATGAATGTTAAAGTAACTAATTTGATTTCTTCAGTACTTCATATAGAATGTGAGTGTCGGTTGGTACCTTTCCATCTTTCCAGACAATTGTGCTATATTATGCTAGAGTGAGGTGTGGGAATCATAGCCCATGGTGATGGTCAGTGTGGCAAGCAAGACCAGTTTGCACTGAGAAAAATCTTCTACAGCACAAAGCCTGGGAAGTGTTGATAAGACGTATACATTACCGTAATCATATACAATCAGACAGTTACTGGTGCCATCGGTACTGGAACTCTTTGCTTGCTGCTGAAGATGGGGACCGAGCACTTATGCGAATGTCACGAGTGCTGTAATGCTGATTCTTAATTCAACATTATTGTAAAGACGTTGTGTTGTCTATGCATCATATTATCCCTCCCTTAGCTTTTCTTGTTTACTCCAAAGAAAAGGTAACATCAATATGTTTGGGACAAAGCCAACTGCAGAAGCAGATGGATAAGAAGAGCAGCTATCTGTGTGTCCACCTATCAGAGCTTCTTTCCTAGACCAGCTGCCAACCAAGGCTAAGGGAGTGATCTGCTCTGCTATAACATTAAGTTTTCAGATTGCATTTCTTCTTCCTAGAATAAGGATTGTATCCTCTCCAATGCCCTCCACTACCCAAAAGAATTAGCACAATATGGGATGTCAGGTATGGTATAAACTAAAACATGAAGAACAACATAACAACTACTAATAAACTATAAACATCTTCAGTCTGTCTGCGCAGAATAAAGGGAATTAAATTGTATGACAGAATAATGAATGTGGAGCTCTTCAAGAGAAAACTAAACAAATTCCAGTGAGCCAAGAGGTGGAAAAAAAAAGATTCTTGCACTGAATAGGTCACACACTGAGAACACCTGATAACAATTTAACTTTAATATCTTTACACTGGAACCCTTTCTATCCCCCAATGGAGCATAGGCCCTCAATCAACTCACGCCAAGTCGTTCTGTCCTTCGCCATTGCATGGAGCTCTCCCCATGTCCTCCCCATCTTTCTAACCTCATTCTCCAGCTCTCTTCTCCATGTGTTTTTTTTTTTGCCTTCCCTCATTCCTGTGCCCCTGTGGGTTCCAATGCAAAGACAGTCTAGTTATGTTGTTCTCCTGTTTTCTCAGTGTGTGTCCTATCCAACGCCAGTGTCTTTTCTTCACCTCTTGGTCCACTGGAGCCTGTTTAGTTCTCTCTCAAAGCTCTACATTAGTTATTCTTTCATACCATTTAATTCCTGCACAGGCACCAGTTAATGAATGTTTGTAGTTTATTAGTAATTGCCTTAGTTGTTCTCCATGTTTCCGCCCCATACAAAAGTACTGATTTGACATTAGAATTAAAATTTTCAGTTTAGTATTTCTTTTAATTTCTTTTGACCTCCACAAATTCCCTAGTGCTATGAAAGCTCCTCTTGCCTTTTGTATTATTATTTTAATATCTCTATCAGTTCCTCCATCTTTATCTACGTTACGCCCAAATAGGTGTACGACTCCACGTCTTGGAGTGGGGTGCTATTAAGGGAAACCACATTACCATTTGCCTGATTTATTCTCATTATCTTTGTCTTTCCTTTATGGATTTTCAGACCAAGCTGCTGTGATATCGCATCTAGTATATTTAATTTATCTTGCATCTGATTCCATGAATGAGACAGAAGAGAAATATCACTAGCGAAGTCTAGATCATCAAGATGTTTTGTAGGGGTCCACTGAATTCCATTCTTGGTGTTAGCAGTTACTGTTTTCATAATCCAGTCTATAGCCAGTAAAAATAAGAGAGGCGACAAAAGACAACCCTGTCGCACACCTGTTTTTATTTCAAATGTATCTGTTAGCTTTCCCTCATGAAGAACTCGTCATTTTATGTCTTTATATGTTGCCTTTACTAAGTTAAAAATTTTCTGTGGGATTCCATAGTGCCCCATCAATTTCCAGAGAGATTCCATATCAATGCTGTCAAATGCTTTTTCATAGTCTATAAATCCAATGTAAAGGGGTGAGTTTAGTTCAATGCTTTGCTCTATTATAATATGTAATGTGGCTGTCTGGTCAGTACATGATCTGTTTGACCGAAAACCTGCCTGTTCCTCTCTTAGCTTTTTATCAATAGCATCTTTTAATCTTTCCAAAATAATTCTACTTAATATTTTTCCAGGAACTGACAGCAACAAAATTCCTCTATAGTTTTCACACTCCTGTAGATCACCTTTTTTGGGCAGTTTCACAAGATATCCTTCTCTCCAGTCTGCTGGTATTTCTTTGGTCTCCCAGACTTTACTGAACAATCTGTGTAGCAATTCTGTTGATGTGTTTATGTTGGCCCTGATGGCTTCGCTGGGATACCTTATGGGCCTGCCGCCTTTCCTTTCTTGAGAAGATTGATAGCTTTTCTAATTTCCTCTTTGGATGGTATCTCACAGTTGATATCCAGTTCCATTTCTAAAGGCTGGATATCTGTGGGAACCTCTGGACCTAGTCTATTTAGAAGCATTTCAAAATATTCAACCCATCTGTCCATTTGATCTTTAGTGTTAGTAAGTACCTTTCCTTGACTATTTTTTATTGATTCAGTTGGCTCACTATATTTACCTACTAATTTTCTTGTGTTACTGTAAAGTTTTCTGAGGTTTCCTTTTGCTGCTGCTGTCTCCGCTTCTTGTGCTAGATCATTTAGATATTTCACTTTATCTGCCCTAATACGCCTCCTAACTTCCTTATTGCCTTCTGTGTATTTTTCCTGAGCTCTAGTTCTGCTATTGTTTAAGTCTTCTTTTTTACTTTTCCTATCTTCAATCAGTTTAATGGTTTCTGGTGTTATCCACGCTTTATGTTTCCGTTCTTTCTTGCCAAGAGCTTCTACGCAAGATTCATTCCAGATTCCTTTGATCTGATTGATCCCAGCAGACTTCTGTGCTGACATCTTCAGCTAACTGCTGCAACACCTGGTACTTATTAGAGACTGTAACTGAAAACTGTTCCTTAACTTCTTTATCCCTGAGATAACCTATATTATATTGGTTTCTATGATTATAATATGTTATATATCTTTTTAGTTTCAACTTGATTTTACTTACCACCAGAAAATGTTCAGTAAATATGTCGGCACCTCTGAAAGCCCTAACATCGTAAAGGGATGATCTAAACTTTTTGTTGATACATAGGTGATCAATTTGATTAGTTGTCTTATGGTCTAGTGATTCCCATGTTGCCTTGTGTATTCTTTTATGGGGAAAAATACTTCCACCAATAACATACTGGTTTCCTGCACAAAAATTTGTGAACAATTCTCCATTTTCATTCATTACTCCTAGACCATATCTTCCTATAATTTCTTCACAACCTGTGTTGTCTGATCCTATCTTAGCATTCAGGTCACCCATCAAAATTTTTTAATTGCCCTTTCCTTCATAATTTATAATATTTTGAAGCTGCTGTCCTTTATTACACCAACGAGTTTGTTTCAATGGTGTAATAAAGGACAGAATCCCGGAGTACTAAAGTAAATCTTATCAGAACTATTTTTTTGGGCCAACATTATGCTATCAGTGCCAAACAAGAACACTTATATCCTCCAATGGACGCAAAATTGTGACAACAGAGATGAAATGTCTTAGAAAAGCTGCAGTAGTTTCAAGAAAAGACAGAATACAAAATCACGAAATCCGACGAATGCTGACGTGGTTTGGACACCTTGAATAAAGCCAGTCTTACACTAGTCATCAATGAACAATAGGTAGTCTTACCACACCAGGACATCACACAAGCGATAAACATCTGGTGACACAAAGTCCCACCACGCGGATGAGGATCACCCATTGAGAGGTCCCAGAAACCCCTTTCAGCCGTGAGGCTATATATTTATATGGCTCTTTTATATTCAGGGCCCCTAGCAAAAGCCAGGGAGGGGCTTCAAATAACAAAAAATTGCATCCCACATGGGGACGACCGGTGGAAAGTTATGGCTGTTCGTCCATTTTTAAATTTTTTGTCTTGATCCAGAACTTCAATTTTGCACATACATCTGTTTTGCAGATCTTGCTTATTTCTATGCAAACTGTTCCTTGCCTCTCAGGCAAATGCACTCACTCTTTGAAAAAAAAAAAACTCTAATTAGTCATGGAGAAGGGAGACAGAGATTGAAGTTAAAAAGATAGAGAGGATATAGGGTGAGTTTCGGGTAACAGCAAAGATAAGGACGACCTGAAGGGAGTTGTTTTGGGGTCTATGTTTCACTGGGGAATAAAGTGCAGCAGAAGAAGGAACAGTACAGCCATATAAAACAGCACTCACAGTCTGGTAAAGATGACACAGTCTGCTCTGCACCGGATTTATTTCTGTCTGCCACAGCCAAGATGGCTCCCTCCCTAGCAAATATTGAACACACAGCTCTGCCTATACCACTGCCGCCACCTGTTGGTTGGTAGATACAAATTCCCAGAGCAAAGTTGTAGTAAGATTTATTTCAGTAAAAAAAAAAAAAAACTCTTTTCTTGCCTGTTAGCCACGTATGTTTAGAGATTATTCTACACTCGGAAAAATGTGGTCAACATCATGTCAGGTTCCTTTACTTCCCAAAAAATTTCCTTTAAAATGTCCTAGTAATATTTTAGGTGAGGCCCACCTAGAAGCCTAGGAAATTGTTTTTAATTCCCCTTACTGTGAGGTTGAACCCATGTCTACTAGACTGGTCGGCAAGAGTACTAACTACTCATGCACCTTGGCTGCCAGTCTGAATTATATTAGTGTTCTCTGAACATTGTAGAAAACTGGCTCATTAACAAACATCACTATGCTTCAAAAACTTAAATATTTTAGTCATCTTAAAAGCTTGCAGTGGATTAGATTGATTGACTGACTGATCGATTTGATTTAAGAACCGACATCACAGCACTCGGGGCATCCCATAAGTGCTTTATCTCCATCTTCAGCAGCCAGCAAAGAGTTCTGATGCTAATGGTGCCAGTAGCACTCTGATTAAACAGCTGTCTTGCCTTTCCTCTGAGCCTCCAGCATCTGCCAGAACCTCTCGTCACTCCCCCCTGCATCAATCTCACCAGACTGTGGTGATCCATCTGCTCCTCCAAACTGTACACGCTCTCCCACAAGGCACTAACTACATCTGCCTTATCATGCATCTGTATTCCACCAAGCTGTGCAGAGCCAGCCAGTCTTTCCACCTGTTCATTTCCCAACACACAGGCATACCCCAGTGAAAAAAAAACTGACAATACTCCTCACTCTCACGAAGCATGCCTGTCCTGATCTTCCTCGGCATGCTTTCTGAGTCAGTTACAATAACGATGTGTGTGTGTGTCGTGTTCTCTAGCCAGCGGAGAGCTGCAGTGACCGCCTCCACCTCCATTCTCAAGTTGGATGTTGTGGTATAATATGCTACGCTCTCCTGCACCAAACGTCGACCATTTACTTTTGCTAAGAAACCCCAAGCACTTCTTTTGCCTCTTGACACTGAACCATCTGTGTAAATGATCAAATCCTCTGATTGAGCATTATCTGGGAATCATTGCTGAATTTTCACCTCCGTAGTACCTGCTGGCCAATCTCTGCATTCCAGCATTCAGTGTGATTATGACCCTACACAAGTCTGACTGTTCAGGTGGCATTTTGCAGTGGATTAGAAAGAACATTAACTCTTTGAGTCCCAGGGGGTTTAGCATCACAGGCCCAAGGGGTAGTCAAGAAAGAGGTAAAAACAGCGCATCTTGCGTTCATTGGGCTTCTAGATAGGAATCTATGAACGTATGATGGGTTCCTTGGGACTCAAAGAGTTAATGGAGGGCATAGATTTTGTACTGAATTTCTGTACTTAAACAAATTTAAAAGAGACTTTAAGATAGTATATGCCGTTATGCACCAACTATAGAACTGTTGCCCTGACCAGTCATGCAAGTAAAATTCTACTAAAAATCATAATTGGAAGACTTCGTGAGAAAATGGAAAAGAGATTAACGTGGTTCAATCTGGATTTAGACAAGGAAGAAGAACAAGAGATCATAGTCTCAACATGGTTTAATAACAGAGAAGTCCAGAGAATTTAATGTAAACCAATTTTAATGTTTTGTAGAATACTCAAAGGCATTTGACAGTGTACAACATCTGAAACTTTGGGAAATCATGAGGAATATATGGGCTTTTCATCACATATAGTCACCTAATAGCAATGCTCTATCTAGACCAACAAGCAGCAGTTAGAATAGATGGTGAAACAGTAGTTTAACAGTAATGTTGAAGACAGTATACACTACATAGTTTAATAGTAGGGCTCTACTGGCAAATCCGGACGAAGAATAAAAAGCCTTGGACGACTTAGTCAGAGTTCTCTCCCTTGGCCGCACTCCCAACAGTGATCGGAAAAGCCAACGAAACAAAGAAGACAGTCACGTCGACATCAGGGATGGCAATGCTTGGTTGTTTCCCCCAGATCTGGGTTTTTTTTCGACGCTGCAGGACAAATCTGGTTTTTTTTTTTTTGGCAGTGTTTTGTGTGTTGGTTTTTGCCGATTTGTATGCTTTAATGATCGATAAATTTGCGTGGTTAGGGGTAGGGGTTAGGGAGTAGGATTAGGATTAGGGTTAGCGGTAGGGTTAGGTTTAGCGTTAGATTTGACAATTTTGACGCCGGATTTCCCTATAATCGCGCACAGTCCCATACACACACACAAACAATCGAGGGCCTCTGGATGCTGGTCAAACGCACAATTCGCCAACGATTGGGGGCACCAGCCGCACGCTATTGGCGTCATATTTGGCAGAGTTTCAGTGGCGCCACTCCCACAAACATCAGATTGTCGGCCAGTATTTCGAAATCCTACGTCAAAATTTTCACATCTAACCCTAACCCTACCCCTACCCCTAACCCTACTCCTAACCCTACCCCTAACCCTACCCCTAACCCTAACCCTACCCCTAACCCTAACCCTACCCCTAACCCTAACCCTAACTCTAACCCAACAACCGCATGATGACTACACAACCATTCACGATGCCTCACGCAAACGTACGCAAACCCTGCACGCAACCATATGATGACCACGCATCCCTTCACGATGCCTCACGCAACCGTACGCAGCCCTACACGCAACCGTAGGATGATAGGTAAGTAAGTGTGTCGTTTGTTTTGTTGTGGCTTTTCCGATCACTGTTTGGAGTGCGGCCAAGGGAGAGAACTCTGACTAGTCCAAGGCTTTTTATTCTTCGTCCGGATTTGCCAGTAGAGCCAATAGTAGTAATTAGTAGAATTTGAGATAGTATATACTGTATAGTAGAGTAGTACAGAATGTATTTGGAATGACACTAACTCAGTTGCAGTAATATTAAATATAGATTTATTCTGAAAACTAAAAAAAAACAGTAATTTGGTTATCATTATTTGGTTTGTAGATCTTGAATCACTGAGCTCAAAGTCCATCAAAGTTTCCAAAGAGCAAAACTTACGAACGAATTATATCTTCGATATGCCCGGAAAGACAATCGTATTATCACCATCATCACCTGTACGTGCCGTTCATTACATAGGGCTCATTCATTCTGTTTTATCCTGTGAAATCTTTTTAACAGTATGAATGAGTCGCGAATCCACTCCCGCATCTTTGCCCTCTCTCCATGAACCGTCGATCTAAGGTGGGGAAATTGAACAAGCTGCGTACAGACAGTGGTAAATGCAATTAATAAGTTCATCAAAAAATGTAACTGTACCTGTAACGAGAGCTAATCGGCCAGCCAAGAGTCCACTTGAAGTCGCCATTCATAACTTATCCAAACATAACATTCAATAAGTTAACAATAACAATGTCCTGCCACTGACGTCTGCTGTACAAGCGGAATACCAGTGAGGGGAAGTAACTCAAGTCTCCAGTCTCCAGGGTGTGACGAGAGGTTCTGGCAGATGCTCGAAGCTCAGAGGAAAGGCAAGACGGACGTTTAATCAGAATGCTACTGGCACCATTAGTATCGGAACTCTTCGCTAGCTGCTGAAGATGGGGACGGAGCGCTTATGGGAATGCCCCGAGTGTTGTCATATCGATTCTTGAATCAAATCAAATCAAATCAAATCCAGTCTCCAGTACAGTGTTTCTCAAAGCTGAGTTTGGGTTGAGTTGAGTCAAGAATTGACTGATCACGGCACAGGGAGCATTTTCATCTATGCTCCGTCCTAATATTCAACAGCCAGCGCAGAGTTCCGGTACTGATGGTAACTTTTTAAATCTGGTTATATGTCCGTTTTGTCTTTCCCCTGAGTGTAGTGAGCCGGCCAGACCCTCTAGTTACACCCAGATGCCCCATTCTCTCCAGGATATAATAATCTTCTATCTCTACTGATTCCATTGCTTGTTCCCAGAGGACCTTGACCACATATGCCTTGTCATGTATCAATTCACCACCAAGTGGTGCAGATTACCCATTACCCACCAACCCGGCATAGCCTGAAGAAAAGATCCAAAGTATGCTCACTACTCGTGACTTTTCCAGTGAAGCTTACCTCTGGTCGAAGCATCCCTGTCTTCACCTTTCTCAGCATGCTTTCAGTCTGTTACATTTACGACATGTGTATGCACCTTGTTCTCTAGCCACCGGAGACTTGCAGTTACCGCCTCCACCTCCATTCTCATGCTAGATGTTGTGGTATCGCATGCCAGGCTGTCTTGCACTAACGGTTTTCCATTGGCTTTGGCTACGAACCCCTCAGGCACTTCCCTTTCCTCTCAACACCTAACCATCTGTGTATATAATCGGAACATAGGGGGAGGGGCTGGGTGGTCTCGAGGTATTGTGTTTTTCTCCGGTGCTGGAGGGTCCAGGTAATTTTCCCTGGTCTCTGGGTAGTAAGATCGGACGCCCGTGTGTATTCTTGTGCACGTAAAAAATCCCTTGGCAGTTTGAAATCGAAAATAGTAGCTAAACAGCACTGCCCTGGCAACATTTTGAGTTAAAAATCTACCCAAAGTATTTCAGGATCCTCGCCGGTGCAACGGGCTTCGTGCACGGCACTGGGACTCTTCACTCAAGTTTGAGTTAGAAGTAGAACGAAGCACTTATGGGTTACACCCGTGTGCCATGATGTTGATTCGTCGAATAAGCATAAACAAAATCAGATCATCTGGGTGAGAATTGTCGGGAATCAACTGTTGGACTGGAGCACCCGCTGGACACTTTCTGCACTCCCGAACCAATGTGATCATGACCCTACAAATGTCACACATTTCCTCTGGTTCTGTGACCAACTCCACTCCTCGCCCAGGATTCAATAAAAAAAAATCAGTTTTAATAGGGTAAAAAAAAAAAACACCAAGGGATTTTCAGTATCATATGAACCACCCCCACCCCCTTTCCCGCCCCTCAAAAAAACTTTCATAGCCCACCACTGGGCTGTGTACCAACGGTCCCATATAAATCCCCTCGTGACCCAACCGATATTATCTGTTAGTCGTCCCCCATGTGGAATGGAATTTTTCGTTATTTGAAGCCCCACCCTGGCTTTTGCCAGAGGTCTTGAATATAGCCGGGCCATAAATTTGGCCTAACGGCTGAAAAGGTTTCTGGGACCTCTTCACGGGTGATCCTCATCCGCATGGTGGCACTTTGTGTAACCGGGTGTTTATCGCTTGTGTGATGTCTTAGTGGGTTACAAGAGAATCAAGACCCAACCTATAGGTTAGGAACTCTTATAAACAAAAATAAAATACGAAAACAATTAGCATCGAGCAGTGTTGCCACTTTGGATGTTTTACATCCATATTTAGATTTTTCCCCTTGCATTTAGATGGTGTTTTTGACCTTTAGATGATAGATGTTTTTCTTGAAGTTTTTCATTTGGAGTTAGATATTTTATATAAATATTTTTTTCTTTTAGTGTCAGTTTAATAATTACTGTGTAAAATACTTACTTCAATATTTTTGTTTTGGTCTGGCACGTACATTGTAACAATTGCGATTACTTAAACTTTGAACTCTCACTGGGGTCAATGCTAAAAAATCTGGCAGCCTCAATACTGATTAATTAAACTTTGTAGTCTGATATCTTGCCACCCTTTCTTGGGATGCAATTTTTAGTTTTTTGAAGCCCTCTTGCCAGGGGCCACAATATAGCTCGGCCATAAATATGGTCTAATGGGTGAACGCGGTTTCTGGGACCTCTCCACAGGTGATCCTCATCCACATGGTGGCACTTTGTGTCATCGGGTGTTTATCGCTTGTGTGATGTCTGGTGGGGTAAAAGAAAATAGATAATAACTTTGTTTCAACCGTATCCTCACTGTGCTGACATTATACGCGCGGTATTTCCAATGGTTATTAAAGGCGACTTGCCCGCTACTATCTGTGTGAGACAGAAAGAGGACAATAAATCTTACACCAGTAAAACGTGGAATATGAAACCGGGCCATCAACCAATATACGCCCCGCTCTCTCGGACACCTAGACGCCGTTTAATGGAGCAACATTTGTTCTGACGCAGGCGGGTTCACGAATGGAAGAAGAAATAATTACAGACACTCGGAATTCTCTTCTTGTAAATATTTCACCTTTCTTCGCGATGACATCTCATCAGGATACACCAGATACACCTGAGAACACGACATTCTCTAAGCACCCTGCTACAACAGTTCCATCTTTGACCCCGTGGCCACCTAGAAATGAACGTAGAGACACAGCACTTGATTTTCTGTTCTCAGGCCTTGATCGATGCACGCAAAAACGGTATGGCTGACAGTAAGCACATTTGGATATCGAAACAGAAGACTCAATGAACGCTATACATTTGCTGTAATTAGCTACGCAGTGATCTCTCTCTCTCTCTCTCTCTCTCTCTCTCTCTCTCTCTCTCTCTCTCTCTCTCTCTCTCTCTCTCTCTCTCTCCATATCTCTCTCTCTCTCTTTCTGTCTACGCCGATTTATGCATGTATTGGCTGAGCTGTTAATAACTATTATTAGTCATCGCTAGTGTATTACTATTGTTGGAACCTAGAAAATGTGAATGCAACCCCTGGTGGCTTGCAGAATACATTTTTCAAGCAATGTTACCCTACCACAAAGTATGCATCTCTTTCTGAAACCGTCCCGTGGGTGCACGTTTCTACGGCAGTCCTTTATTACAGCCAACTTTCTGTCACAGCAGGGACTGTGTCTGATCTGACTGAGCCATTTGAATTTACTGTCCCCTTCTTGGAGCCAGTCATGCCGACCTTGTGTGCATAGGGAATTCCCTGTGTCAGTGTCTTACATATTTGTGGTCATTCGGCATGATTCTTCCCTTGTCTCACTCTCTCCCTCTCCCGATATATATATATATATATATATATATATATATATATATATATATATATATATATATATATATACTTATATAAATATGTAGTCATGTGTGCTGCACCAGCAAGCAAGCGGGTGGCAGGTAATGAGTGTATGTATGTGTGTGTGTGTGTGTGTGTGTGTGTGTGTGTGTGTGTTTACTACTGCGCGTTTGAGTATGCGTGCTGAATTTTAGTAATACAGTGAGATAGTATTTTGGCTACGGGACACCAGTAGCACACATTTATTTTTGTGTAGGGAGTCGGCAGTCCGAAACCCAAGTTCAAGGTGTCTCCTTCGTGCCAAAGAACTGCATGGCTGTTGGGTGAACAGTCGTTAACGAAGGCAGTCAGGTCGTTGTTGAGGCGACGCTTGCTGGTGGATGTAATGTCCTAAATCTCTTCCCCATCTAATAGTAGGGTACTGCTGGGGTGATAGTTTATTAACCCTCACATAATGCTTCAGGTCCATATGAACACTAGGCACTGCCACTGTTTTGAGCCGAGGCAAAATTTTTTTGCTTCTGCCAGACTGTGGCCGTTGCTTTTTTGCTCCATTTGTAGACAACGTACATAGTTTCGTTACCCAGCTTCTGAGTTGAGTGCATGGCGTGACACTGTGAGCTGCGGATTTCATTTCGAATGTTTTTCGACTGACCAACGTGGTGGTGTGATTTGTAGATTCGGAACATGGTGCGATGCCGGTTGTCGCAATATTGGTGGGGCCATTATTTGATTAAAATTGATCGCGTGTGCAACTGTTGATCTTTTGGTGACTTCTGCTACCATCAATGATGAACTGCATTTCTAACGTCAGACTGTTTGTGTTAGCACTTCGGATGGCTATCATATGCTTTTAATGCGAGTGTATGCTAGATTTGCTGAGACAGCAGTTTGTCAGTCTTTCCACAAGGGACTGTGATAAACATTCTGTGTGTTTTTCGTTGGCACAGGAGCAGAGCAAAGATGGGGGTGACCCGTTTGCTATGAAGCTGAAATTAAAAACTACCAGATTACTGTGCTGACTTTGTGTTTCTTTTCTATGTGATTTAAAAAAAAATAATTGCTTACCTTCGTATGTGGCTTTCACTTGAAAAAACCTTTCAACATGCCAAAAGTAAAGTATTTGCACAAATTTCGGAAAGAGTGGTTGCATGATGACAAAATTAAAGACTTGGTGATGGCAGTTCCTGGGGATATGACCAAGGCTCGTTGTAAGTACTGAAAGTGTGAAATTAAAGCGAAAATACAAGACTTTAAGAGTCATGCAGAGACTGAAAAGCATAAAACTGCAGTTCCATTCAAAAATATTACACCACTGACATCTGTTTTCAGAACTACACTGATAATGAATCATTAAAATTTGAAGGATTGGTCACAGTGTTTAAGTTGTCACTGTGACCATTTGATTGATTTGTTTAAAAACACTATTTCTGAAAGTATAGTTATGGATGAATGTGAAAATGCATCGCAGCAAGTGTACACATATTAAAAGAAATACCTTTTTTCTTCCTTCGAAAAAGATTTCATCAGTTATATTTCAACAAATAAAAATAAATTGTTTATTATTTATTAGACGAATCAAATGATATTTCGGTACTGAAAGTGCTTGGTGTGTGTATTATATATTACAGCAACAATACAGACAAAGTAGTTTCTACATTAGTTAGTTAGTTAGTTAGTTAGTTAGTTGGGTTATCGTCATTGCACTCCGGACATGTCCATAGGTGCTCAGATCCTCCCCTCAGTATGAACCCCACCGTCCGATGGCTAATAGTACCAGTTCTATGTTGATTAACAAGTCTTCTGACGTGTCCGGTGTGCGTCTCGTTTTTTGCTGTGCCGATCTTAATTCCCAAGTCTGCCATTCTGGCGAGTGATGTGGATTCACTGCCACCAAAGTCCTCTATCCTTCCCATTTCTCTGAGGGCATTGATAATATCAGCATGATCCATAGGCCGACCGTCGGTAGTGATAGCGGATCCAGCCAACCTGTCAGCTCTTTCATTTCCATCGACGCCTGCGTGTCCCGGAACAAAAATAAAGGTGACTCCACGCACAGTGGACTTCTGTAATGATTCAAGCCATTGTCTTCGCACTGAACCTGCCTGAACCCTCCGGATCATACTCATTGAATCACTGAGTATACATATGCGGGTGTATTTTTGTGTTTCAAGCCAGGCAAACGCTTGCGTCACTGCCATCACCTCCATCGTCATGCTGCTGGTTGTCATGGAGAAGGCACCGTTGGCTTCTTTGACTGTTCTGCCCGCTGAGCGTGCTGTAAATGCCCATGCGCTTCTTCTTTGGCGTATAACGGATCTGTCTGTGTAGATTAGTGCATCTGCTTCGTCTGAATTTTCACCGATGAGAGCGTTGACCTCTGCATTAACAGCTACAGGATTCTCTTCTCTACATCGCCTGTTGAGTGTGACAATACAGGAAAATGTACAAATAAACGCCTGAGGCACAGGTATCCATTCTGCACCAGGTATGATGTCGGTTAGGCTGCATATTTGCCTAATAACATCTTCTGCCCGACCTAGCCACGATTTTCCCCTCTTCAGTCTGTCGCCCTTTTCACTAAAAAGCGCTTGATGCAGTGGGTGTTTCTTATCAGCACATATTTTGAGGTATGCCCGAGCCCTCCACATATCTTCTACATATCTTGGCCTAGTTCAACAAGAAAAGTGTGATGCAGAAAGTATATTTCAGGAACTGAAGAAACTTTTAATCAGCAGACAGTTAGACTTAAAACATTTTGCTGCAATTGGTACCGATAATGCCTCGGTGATGGTTGGCATAAACAAAGGCGTTTATGCCAAGTTGAAGGAAGCTATCCCGTCGTTAATACTTATCAAATATATGTGTCATTCATTGCAGCTAGCATTATCACATGCTTCATCTGAATGTTTACCAAGGAATTTAGAATACCTTATTGCTGAAACACATAACTGGTTTTCCAAATCATTTGTCAGACAACAGCAATACAATACATTATATACAGCCTTTAATGATGGTTCCACCCACTGAAAATTCTGTCAGATTGCAAAACCAGATGGCTATCAATTCAACCAGCTGTTGAAAGAATTGTGAACCAGTGGTTGGAGTTAGAGACACACTTTGAAAAATTAAGACAAAGTGAAAAGTGCTACACAGCTGAAATACTATATGGAATGTATAGTGATGAAACAAATTTTGCATTCCTTCTCTTTTTACAACCTATTCTAATGGAAGTGCAAAAAGTTAATAAACTGTTCGAATCTAAACATGTTGATAAAGTTAAATTACTTGACGATCTCACTTTGCTGTTTCACTCAGTTGGTAAAAGACTGGTGTTGCCAACTTCTAAAGCTGATTTACTCACTTGCACTACAGAGAGCTTTTTTGGCTTTTAAGCCACACCTTGGATATCAAATCAAATAAAAATTTTATGATTTAAAAACAAAAAGACTGTTAACAGAGAATGAAGAGAACAGCTAAAGAAAACGCTGTCAAGATTTCCTTATCTCATTATTCAAGCAATTGAAGCAGACTTCCTGAAAATCTAGATGTATTGAAAAATATTTCACTCTTTTCTGTGAGCAACATACTTCAGCCACTAAAGGACATACCTAAATATTGTAAATTTGTGAAATTTTTAAGGGCTACTGATAATAGTATCGCGGAAGCAGAATATAAGATAACTAAAATAAACTTTGTTGAATGGACAAACAAAACAGAAATTGAAGCATTTTGGAGTGAAGTGAGACAATTTGAAGATGCCTCATCAAACAGTCCCTTCTGTAAGCTCTTTGAATGTGCCATGTCTGCCATGATACTACCCCATTCAAATGCTGACGTAGAAAGAGTTTTCAGTGTTATATCAAATCTAACCTAAGAAACAGGATGAAATTAGACCTCTTAAATGCTATCTTGACAATAAAATTAGGCCTGATGAGAGTAGGAAAACGCTGTTCCACTTATCAGCTCCCTCTGATTGTGTATTAAAAGAAATTGGAACAGCTAAAGCATACCAGAGACATTTTGGATCTGAAGCTTCAACTTCATTATCCAATCTAAGTTACCCTGTGGATCTTGTGAGGCAGACATCAGTGACGATGAGGAAATTATTCTATAGCTATATAATTTGTAACTCTTTCTATTTGGATGTTTTTTCTAGACCTTTTCCACGCAAATTTAGATGTTTTTAGATATTTTATTTACTCCGTTCTGGATTTTTTTTTTTTTTTTGTCAAAGAAAAGTGGCAACCCTGGCATCGAGAGCTCTCTGATATTAACGGAGAGTACGTTCCCTTATAAAGCACACTTGGTTTGTTTTTGACATCTCTCATGTGTGCATCGTCTGGTAGTGTGTAACCTGTTAGTTAATTGATTGATCTGACTTGTTAGTTAGTTAAGTTAGCCTAGCTTTGTGGTGTTTAAAATGAGTGACGATTACTTCGGAGAAATATCTCTGAATTTGACAACAGAAGCATCGTCATTTCAGTCTGGCAAGAAGAGAAAGGTCTATGGCGACAGGGTAAGTTAACCATAATGACCATAATGAATGAATGTGATAATAATAATGACAATGATAATGTCAGTTGTAATACTAATAGTAGTAATTTAAGTAATAGTAGTATTAGTACTGTAATGAATTGTTGAATGCATTTATTTATTTAAAAATGTTATTTCAGTTCATAGAACCTGTTCAGTGTCTGAGTTGACCAGGAGTGCTGACTGTAGTGTATGAGAGTTACTTCTACTTTTACTAGTGTTAGTGTGGGCAGGTAGTCTATCCCTAAGTTAACTTGTTTCAACATTTTGAATCTTGGTTTATGTCAGTCTGTTGGCAAAATGACAGTCACGTGAAGAAGAGACTGGTCACTCAACTTCATTCATAAAAATTAAAATTTAAAAATCCATACATTCAAAACCGTTAGCAGTTTATACTAAAGTATATTGAACTCATAAGTACTTTAAGTAGTGCATGGGGTTAACCAAAACCAGTCCAGCGCAGACAGCCCAGTCGCACACAGCTCTCGCTCGCTCTACCGCCCGATAAAGCCACGTGTGTCTCTCGTTAGCTTGCTAACTATCCATTCGTAGCCTGATTATCGATAGCTAGATACTGGTCAGAACTCGCTTGATATTCGGCTGAGTTTGGCTCGACTACGCTATCAGTTTTCGTCTGCGGGTGGGTTATTAGCGGCCCGGGAGCACATCATTGTTGAGGAGCCAGTATAGCATTCACTTGTTAAACGATTGTCTCGAGAACTGCGGAAAAAAGCACGCTTGGGTGTTCTTTTCAGAACGCTCTATCAAGCCTTGCCAGACTCTGCAGGGACCGAGCAATCAATTGCCGCCCGACTTATACAGCTCTTTGCCAGCCACAGCCACACGAAACCATGGCCCGTGGTAAGAAGAACTCTGTCCAGCGCCAGGACACCAGGGCAACCTCAGCCAACAAAGAGGAAGCACCTGTCGCCGCACCAGAACTGACGGTACCAGAACCGGTTGACGACCCGGAGGAGACACCAGCCCAGACACCGCCAGCCCTGGATGTAGGCCCTATCGAGGCACCAGTCTACTTAGAAAGCCGCCCCAGTCGTGGTGCAGGGAGCCACCAACACCCGCCCACACAGGCAGCAACAGCGACCGGGAACCCACAGTACTGAGATTCTGCAGTGCTCACGCTGTAACAAGGCATGGCATACCGCCGCGACTTGCCGCAGCAACCCATCATGCAGATACTGCTCTCAGGCACATGACTTTAAGGAATGCCCTCTGGCCAAGGAGGACCGGGACTTCAAGAGACCAAACCCAAGAAGACGGTGTTCAAACTGTACAGGGGCCCACAGCGCGAGGTACATGGGCTGCCCGTACCTCAAAGAGATCAAGTTGGCGCTAGCAACTGACCGATTGAGCCACCAGCAGAGGTATATGGCACCCAGACCAAGCAGCACAAAATGCCGACCCGCCCGCCCAGCCAAAAGCAGGACGCCAGAGAAGGATGCTACCACCAGAGACCCTGAACATGCGAACATAATCACGGAACTAAAGGCAGAGCTCCAGAAACAGAAAACCACATCTGCTGCTGAAAAGGCAGAAACGCACGAACTTATCTCCCTGTTGCTAGGAGAAATTAAAAACCTGAAAGACGACAGGATAGCGTTTACTGCACAGCTAGGCGAAAACCAGAAAGAAGTCACAGCAACCAAAGAAAGCGTCATCAATTTAATCGCAAGTTTGGCAGCGGCCCAGACAGCAGACGAAAGATGCAGACAGAAGGAGAGAGTGGAGAGAAGCAGTGAGATGTCAGTGCTGAAAGAGGCGAGAAAAGAAGCATACAGAGAGGTCACCCGACTTGTACAGGCTAAAGCAGAGGCAGTCGCGGCTGAGATAGCTACCAGAACAGAGCGCGACCAGTTACAGAAAGAAAGGATGACAGTCAGCATAACCACAAAGAACCTAAGTGTCAGCAGATCTGACAAAAGCACCCACACAGACAAATCGACGCAGAAGGCGGATAAAGGCACAATCACTGAAGCAAAAGCAGTAAAAGATCAGGCGCAGCTGACCGAACCCATCAAAAGTACAGACCAGGACACAGGAGCCCATAGTGGGGAGCACAGCATCAAAGCACTGAGGACCCTCCTCGAGGCCACCCAAGAAGAAAGACGCTAACTGGACAAAAAGATGGAAGCAGACAAAGTCATAAAAGCACAACTGGCAGAGGCATGGGCCCGAGTAGAACCTTACAAGATAGAGGAGATCGACGAAGAAACGGGAAACACCTACTGGAGATTTAAAACGCCCACAACAAACGAACAGGCCCACTGGCAAACACCCCAAGGCAAGCGGGGCAGACGAAAGAATTCCCAATACTAAAGAAGACGCAGTGAAAACCAGTCACCAATGTAAAACCGCCCAAGCCGCCATGACAGCTGAACAACCCCGCCCACCAGCCCGGAGAAACCTCACAGCCCACAACCAGACGACACGATGCCCGCCGCCAAAGCCACTCCTACCTCACTCGACCCAGGCCGTCCCAAGGCTATGGTCCGCCCTTTTTAGGGCAGACCGAGATCCCCTCCCTCACTCTGACAGAAGCAACAAACCTCAGGCAGCAAAGAAATCGCCACAACAGAAAGCTGATAACTGGAACGAATTCCAGACACAAAAACGCCGACCTCGATATAACCGATGCTCAATCTAGGAGCTGGTTGAAAGAGGCACGAAGTTTTTTATTTTTTTTTCAAACACCAAGTACCATGGGGTTTACATGTTTGCCTGATGGTTCACAGGTCCTAAGGTTTAAATCATCACCCCTTTATGATTGGTTAAAAACAAAAACAAGAACAGACACCCCTCCCCCTTTTCCCCCCACAACTCCTCTCCTCAACAAGCATGTTGTATCATCATCACCACCATCAAGTGCATTGCCAACTGGCGTGGCTGATTGTGCCTCTCCATAATCTGCGATCCACAACTGCATGTATCAGTTTATGTGTGACACCCCTCCTTGCCATGCAAAAGGCAGTCAATAATCTTCTTGCACTGTCTTCCTTTGTCTCTCTTTCCACAGATCTTTCCAGTGGTCACAACATGTTCCAGTTTCCCTCTGTCATAACATGACAAAAATATGATGATTGTCTCTTTCTCTGGTGTTTCTGATAAGTTGTTTTTGAGCCCTGGCCTCATTCAAAACATCTAGGTTGCTCTTTTTAGCTCTATAATGAATTCTAAGGATTTTTATTGTAAAACCACATCTCCAAAGCCTCAAGAAATTGTCTGGCCTGTTTATTAATCATCCAGGATTCACAGACATATGTTGAAACTGGCTCAATAGAGCATGCAAGAATTCTTTTTCTTACCTCCAGTGGCACCATTTTATTGCATAAAATGTTTTTTACTTTACTTTACTTAGTCGCTCCTCTTCTACCTTGGGGTGTAGAGGTTCGCCAGAGAGATCGCCAGACGTCTCTATCAGCAATTTTTTTTCTGGCTTTGTTCCATTCCAGTCCTCTGTCAGTTAGGGACTGTCGGATGTTGTCTTCCCAGCGCACCCTGGGTCGTCCCGGAGGTCTGGTTCCCTGGTTCTTAGCCTCCCATGCTTGCCATGGTGGCCGATTTTCTCCCATTCTGCATACATGTCCAAACCATCGTAACTGTGACTGATCTACTCGGGTTAGTAAGGGCTGAGTATCAAGATCTTGACGTATTGTCTGATTGCGGACTTTGTCCCTTGTTGTCACTTGGACCACTTTTCTCAGGTATCTCATTTCCGAGGCCTGCAGCTGGCTTCTGTGAGCTGTTGTCATTGCCCATGACTCACACCCATAGGTCAGGACTGGTACATAGGTAGAGCGGTAAACAGCCATTTTCGTCCTCTTGCCAATTTCTCTTTTGCTAAGAAACCCTCGGTTTATGGCCTGGAAGAGTCTCCCAGCAGCTGCTTAAAATGTTTTTCATTAAATAAAATATATCCCTGTGTGGGTTCTATTATAGGGAAAACAAGAATAGACTCACTTCCTACCCAAAAGCATGCCATAAGAGTCGACTAATTGGGAGCTTCCTCCGAAGTCAGAGTGCACCTGTCTGAGATGCAAGGAACAACAGTCTGCATGCAAATGAGTCCGACCTCTCAAACGGATGCACATGCAACACTCAGGTTCTGGAACAGGACTGCAGTCCAGAAGTGGACGAACAACCAGAACTTTCCGCCAGAGTTAACAGCCGGTGAAAACAAAGAAGAAGAAGATATAAAATATAGTTTGGCCTGTCCTATTCTGTTCATCTCTGTGGTACATTTTCCATCAAATGTTATCCATGTGCCTAGTTACTTAAATTTCTGTACTTGTCCTAAAATAATGCCTTTGACTTTTATTGTACATTTAGGCACTATTCTTTTCTTGAAAATTATCATTACCTCTTTCTTCCCATTAGTTAAACTGAGGCCCATTTTATCACCACTGTATCTATCAATTCCTGTAGTTCTTTCCAATTTGTCGCTATGAAGATGGTGTCGTCAGCATAACGCAGGTTGCTATGCTATGACCACCAACCAAAATTCCTTGCATATCTATGATAGATCTCATTATATATTCACTGTATAATGAAAAAAAAATCTGATGCTGGTACACATCCTTGTCGTACGCCTCTTTATGCTCTAAAATTTTCCAAAATGGTAATTAATTCTTATAGCTGCTGTTTGCTGCCAATACATTTTCTTTATATTTCGTAAGTCTTGTCCATCAGTATTTAACGTGTCCAGTATTTTGATTATTTCCTTTTTTATAGTCAGTGAAGCATAAGTAAAGATAATTGAATACTTTTCTGTCTCTTTCCGACAGAGTCCTGAGTATATGGCATTGTTTATATATTTTCCTTCTGCAAATCCACACTGTGAATGAATTTCTGGTATAGTCTTCTTATATAAACATGTTGTATAAAGCAACTAATTTGGGGCGTCTCCTTTCAAGTCGGATTGTATCTGCCTGAAAGGCAGTGAGCCAACAGCGTGCATACAAATAAGCCAGGTCTGTAAAATGGATGTGTATGCAAAAACTCAAGTTTTAGAACAAGATCCTAGTCCAGAATTAGACGAATAATCAGAACTTTCCAACAGGGTATACAGCCGATGAATGTGAAAAAGAAGAATCATCAATTTGAAGCAGATTTGTAAAATTGATCTAGGCTTCCAGAGTTGATCCAACCTTAAATTTTTGTTGTTGTTAACCTTTAAAATAAAAATTATTATTTTTATTTAATAAAGATATCAAGAGTCCAACAGAGGAAGGAAGTAAAACAGTCGAGTGACAATTCACAGTTGACTGTAAAACCAAGCAGTGAGAAAACAGTAACAAAACGAAAATGGGAAGACGAAAGTACTACTGAACATACTGAAAAACACGGCAACAAGAAGAAGAAGCCAGATGTTGTCATATCGTCTCTCTTCAGAAAGAATCCAGAAATTCCACAAGTTCTGAGGTGAGCTCTTCGTAAATGTGTTGGCGTAATCTGAAAATAATAAAACCTAATATACAGTAATGTGTACAGGTACTGCTTTTGTGATAGCAGGTTAAGTAAAGAGCCAAACTGGTTTTTAGGTACTGCTCTTGCATAAAAGGACAGGCTGGCTCGGATAAAAATGTTTTCATAACTGGTTAAGTAAAACAACAGACTGGTTCAGATTCTGTTCATTGATAGCTGATTAAGTAAAATCACAAGTTAGCCTCTTTTTTTGATAATTATAATAATATAAAAGGAATGCTTAATAGATGTTAATCACACAGATATGATCAATGCTGAAAGACTTAGATTATCATGTTTTCACACAAGCATATGTTGTATGTGTTTTTGTAAAGTTCTCCTTCAGCAATCTCTAGTCGTTTGCTTAATTCACTTTGTGTCATGAACTGGGATGTCAGCTAAAGATCTCTTACCCTACATATCATAGATGCTAGCCCCAACAGTTACCACCAGAACTGCATTTGTCTCTGATGGAAATAAGTAGTCAGTTAGATAAGCTTGCCATACACATGCAAAATTATTGCATAAGGTATTTCGCCAGCCCATATGCAAACCGACTACCCATCGTTATCTGACCATCTTGACACAGTCGCTGAAGGCATTACACATAAAAAATACAGCTGCGGGAGTCGCTGTAGCAGAGCGGCTAGACGCTTGCTGCGGATCGGAAGGTCGTGGGTTCGCTGAGCTGGACTTTTTTCAAAAATGACCTTGGCTCCCAGGTCGACCCAGCCTTGAGTGGGTACCAGCTGTAGTCCCAGGAAGTAAAGGCAGCCGGCGTAATGCTGACCACATCACCCATCTTGTGCTGATTGGTCTAAAAAAATATAGGTCTAGCCCTATATGCTCTATACGCCTTAAGTCGGGGAAAAGGGTCCTTAACTTTCCTTTTTGTTTTTTACACAGTGCTGCACCAAGCACTTAACTCAGTAGCTTAATGAAGCAGGAAAACCATGTACTTTAGTCCATATGGGAAAATTACATTAGCAAACCATTGCTAAAAGCAAAAATAACTTAGTTAGAACAGACAACCTTGTTTTATGCCATACTGGACCAGAAGTCAACTATGCCACCTCTTGGCATTAGAGGGGGTGGGGTGCTTTGCCTCATTTTTAATCCGGTGTGTCTTGTTTTCCAAATGAACAGAATTGGAAGTTCAACTTGTGTTTATTCATGCATAATTTATGTCATCACAATTTTCTGTCCTTTCCTCTGCTTCATTGGATCAGTGCTGAAGTCGACACAGTTGCCGAAAATGTGTTCACCGGGGAAGCATTCAAAGATTTGCCTCTACATCCATTTCTGGTAAGTGAAGATGTTTGCAAATAGTAATGTAGTTTCTCTTAATGGTACCCCACTCCAGTCATAAGCCTTTTTGGGCAGTAATGTAAAGAAAGATGGGGGAAAACTGATAGAGATATTAAAATATGAATACAAAAGGCAAGAGGAGCTTTTATAGCACTAGGAAATTTGTGGAGGTTAAAAGAAATTAAACAAAATACTAAACTTAAAATTGTAATTGTAATGTCAAATCAGTACTGTTGAATGGAGCGGAAACATGGAGAACAGCTAAGGCAGTTACATATAAACTAAAAACATTCATTAACTGGTGCCTGTGCAGAATAGATAGAATTAAATGGTATGATAGAATCTCTAATGTAGAGCTTTAGGAGAGAACTAAGCAAGTTCCTGTGGACCAAGAGGGGAAGAAAAGCAAGACCCCCAAAAAATGGAGAAGGGAACTAGCGAGTGAAGTTAAAAAGATGGGGAGGACATGGGGAGAGCTGCATGCGATAGCAAAGGATAGAATGACTTGGCGTGAGTTGGTTGAGTGCTCCATTGATGGTTAGAAAGGCAGAAAAAGAAGATGTTTGCATTAATACCTTTTATGGGTCCGTTAGTGCAAAATCTCATCTATATCTGACGGGTGATACCCCCGTTCAATTCTGACTTTGGTAGCAGACCGTTTTGTGATGATTTTTACAATCATATGTAGCGCAGTCTGTTCTGAAAGCAATGGCAGATTATGGAAAGCAAAATTGTCTAGTAAAATCACAAACAGTCCAAACATTATGAGATTGGAACAGCAACGTCAGCTGTGCCACCCTAGTGGTCATAGGTTAAAATCCATCAAATTAAAAAATAATATATATACTGCAATGCAAGATCAGCTCAGCTCAAAATGAGTAGAGTTTGGCATTCCAAAAATCTGGCCATCGATAATCCTGTTCCTTTAGATTTCCAGTATGGGTTTTGTAGCGTGTTTTTCCATTTACTTTGTTGGCGCACCACTATTTTCTGGAGGTGCTATCTATGTTTGGATGGCGCTGTACTCCAGAATTAGCTGTTAGGTCTTGCTTGCATGTGCTAACAGGCATTTCTGCTTATTCCTTCTCATTTTATCATTTGTTTGCTGCTGTATAGCCGTTGGTGAACATTAAAATTACATTTGCTTTTTATTTAATGTTTATCCCTATGTGAGTTCCAGAGCCCCATTGTGAGGAAAACAAGAATAGACCCACTGCCTCCCACTATGCATGTCCTAGGAGTCCACTAATTGGGGCTTCCTCTGAAGTTGGAGTGCATCTGCCCGAGCGGCAAGGAACAACCAGCAGCACAAAAATAAGCCAGTAATTGGTCAGCAATGTATACCCAATTCCCCTTATGGGTTCCAGGGTCCCATTATGAGGAAAACAAGAATAGACCCACTGTCACTCCAATATGCCTGTCGTAAGAGTCGACTGATTGGGAGCTTCCTTCGAAGAGCAGCAAGCAACAAACAGTTGCACACAAATAAGCCAAAAAATCTGATGTGCATGCATAACTCAGACCCTGACACAAAACCAAAGTCCAGACAGATGAATAACCAGGACTTTCTGCTGGAGCTTACAGCCGGTGAACAAAGAAGAAGTATACACAGTATGGGGAGAAATGGTCCTGTACTTTAACTTCTTTATTCGTAAATTACTATTTTTGTTCTGTTAAATTCTTGACTAGGTTGCTAACTTGGAGGAGAAGCAAGGCTTTACACAGATGACAGAGGTTCAGAAGCAGGCCATTCCTGTGTTGCTGAGACGGAATGATGCTTTAATCAAGTCTCAGACTGGTTCAGGTACTGCTTTTGTGATGGCAGGTTTAGTAGAGAGACAAGACTGGTTCAGGTACTGCTCTTGTCATAGCAGGTTAAGTAAAGAGACAAGACTGGTTCAGGTACTGTTCTTGTGATAGCAGGTTAAGTAAAGAGACAAGACTGGTTCATGTACTGCTTTTGTGATGGCAGGTTAAGTAAAGAGACAAGACTGGTTCAGGTACTGCTCTTGTGATGGCAGGTTAAGTAAAGAGACAAGACTGGTTCAGGTACTGCTCTTGTGATGGCAGGTTAAGTAAAGAGACAAGACTGGTTCAGGTACTGCTCTTGTGATGGCAGGTTAAGTAAAGAGACAAGACTGGTTCAGGTACTGCTCTTGTGATGGCGGGTTAAGTAAAGAGACAAGACTGGTTCAGGTACTGCTCTTGTGATGGCAGGTTAAGTAAAGAGACAAGACTGGTTCAGGTTCTGTTCTTGTGATAGCAGGTTAAGTCAAGAGACTAGACTGGTTCAGGTACTGCTCTTGTGATGGCAGGTTAAGTAAAGAGACAAGACTGGTTCAGGTACTGCTCTTGTGGTGGCGGGTTAAGTAAAGAGACAGACTGGTTGACTGTTCTTATGGTAACTGGTTAAGTAAATAAAATGACAAGCTGGCTCAGGTACAGATTTTATGATAGCTGGTTAAGTAAAACAACAGACTGGTTCATTGATAGCCGATTAAGTAAAATCGCAAGTTAGCCTCTTTTTGTGATAACTATTTATGTAATGTAGCAAACCCATCACTCAAATACTTCTTTTGTGGTAACTAGTTAGTAAAATCAACAGACTGGATGCAATACTTCTCTTGGCATCATTAATTTATAAAGAAAAAGACAGATGGGCTTATGTGTGCTCTTTCATTATCTGGTTATTTATTTCGTGTGACAAACTGGCGGTTGTAACTTTGTAAGTAAAGTTACAAGTCAGCCATGTATACACAACTCTTATAAATTTAACTTAGGTTTCTACCATGATTGTACAGTTTTATCCTCATTGGGGCGGTCACTCAACACCTCTCATAGGGTTGCTTGACAGAGAGATTCACATTCACCGGCTGTAAACTCAGGCGGAAAATTCTGCTTGGACTTTAGCTCTGTTCCAGAACCTAAGTTTTGTTTACACACATATTTCACAGGTGTAGCTTATTTGTATGCAGACTGTTGGTTCCTAACCTCTCAGGTAGTTGCACTTTGGCTTTGAAGGAAATACCACTAATTAGTCGGCTTTTACTTGTATGCCCTTCTTGTTATGGGAAATTGGCTGTATTATTTTTTTCCTCTCTCTCCCTGTGAACTCACACGGGAAGGTCATGGAGAACATTGGAGAGCTCTTTATTGCCATTTCCATGTGCACATAACTGGTAAAGGTAGTGCCATAACAGATACTTTAGTTGGGTTAGGAAATGCTGACATCCTCCATCTTTACAGACAGTAGTGTCCATTAGAAGAGCTTCAGGAGTTTCAAGGAAAGACAGAATACAAAATCATGAAATCAGACGAATGCTAGGAATAAAGCCAGTCTTACAGGTCATCAAAGAACAACAAATGAAGTGGTTTGGACACCTTACAAGAATGCCCTGGTGCTATCTGCCACAGCAAGCCACACTAAAACGTTACAACAGGTATAGAGCAAGTGGAAGACCTCGGAAAAGATGGCGTGATGGCATTAAGAACAGCCTTACAGAAATGAATATCAGTCTTAATAGTGCTCTTGACAAGGCTCATCAACGAACATTACATCTCCCCCCGACACTTCGATGAGGTACAAGGTGGAAGAGAAGAAAAAGAAGTGTTTATGTACAGTTTCCTCTCTTATCCCCTGTCTTGTCCAGACAATTCCCATGAAATTTAAACCATTGTCAGGTGCCCATTTTTTAGAGGCTGTGGCTACCTGATTGCCATACTGGTCGAAACAATATCCTGCCATTTCTGGTGATTGAACCCTGACCCTCGTCTTAGCAGATGAGCACACTACACAGACACTGCTCAGCATGTCCAGTTCTCATTTTGTCGAACTGAGGGCATTTGAGTCTGCAGTGACCAGTTCTCAGCTGGAAGGGAAACATTTGATTGCAGCTTGGTAATAAAAACCTCCGAGGAAAATCTAGACAGACATAATTAAACTGCTACAGATACCATCTGTATTGGAATTCTGCACTGGCTGCTGAAGAAAGGGTCAGATTGCTTATGGGAATGAACCGATTGTCATAAGGTTTTTAACTCATCTGTGACACGTATTGTTGAGGTGTCTGTTACCTTCCACAGGAACATGTCTTTAACCAGTTTATCTTTTCTCTCTTTGTTTCTTCTGGTGTACTAACCCCCAGTGGAGCATAAACCCTCAACCAACCCACACCAGATCATTATATCCTTTGCTATCACATGCAGCTCTCCCCGTGTCTCTCCCATCATTTTAAATCCGCTCTCTAGCTCCCTTCTCTGTGTTTTTTTTTTTGGGGGGGGGGGGGGGTCTTCCTTTGTTTCAATGCCCCTATGGGTTGCAGTGCAAAGACATTCTAGTTATATTGTTCTCAGGTTTTCTCGGCGTGTGTCCTGCATCTTTTCTTCACCTCTTGGTCTACGAGTTAATGTTTTCTTTATTGAATATTGAGTCCCACAATGACAGGTGGGTTACTCTGCTATCTTATCTAGACTATTTGTATATAATTATCTCAGTTCTACCACATGCAGTTTGTTTACTCTCAAACATTAGGGAAAACATTGTCCTACGCTGTTCCCATTGTTCAGTCCCTACAGTCCAGAAAACTGAAGATAAGAAGAGATGATGGACCATACGCCTTGGTGATTGTTCCCACAAGAGAGGTAATGATGCAAATGTTTTCTGTATCTTTGTGTCTCTTTCACTTTGCCTGTGTGTATGTGCAACTGATATTTTGGAATTTATATGAATTTTTAAATTATCTCACTCAGTTTATTTTTTTACTAGTGTTTTCTTGTTCCAATTGGGTGTGCTTCCCTCTCACAGTTTATCTGTTCCTACTTTATATATATGTGTATGTATTGACTACTTTCATACTTTTTCCTATTTGTTGCTACTGTCTCACTGGTTCTGTATTTGTTAGTATTTTCTCACATTCATCACCTTCACTATGTATTTACCTGTGTGTGTGTGTGTAAATTTGTCCTTTATATGTCACTACTTTCTTATTGATTCTGTATCTACTTTCTCATTAATCTGTACCTGTTGCTACTTTCTCATTGGTTCTGTATGTAATGTTACTGTTATTTGTTCTGTATCTGTACTATCTTATTGATTCTCTTGCTGTTTTCTCATTGGTTCTCTTTCAATTGCCTTTTGTTTTTTATGAATAATCCAGCCATTCAGTTTGAATAACTAAGCTATCCATTTATGTAGTCAAGTAGAACTGCCAGTACATAATTATTTACTGTTGCTGGCATCTACTAGAAGGATTCTGTTGAAGGCATAGGTTGATTTGGTTGGACTGTCTCTTAACTCTCAATCTTCTGCCCTGATGTTCAGATAACAGGAGCACTTAAAAAGAGATTGCATCCATCATGATGGAGCTAGTGTAAAGATGAAATTGTCAGTTCCAAGGGAACTGTGTTGCAAAGCTCTCATTTCCAAGCACAGGAACCAGCTTGGTAGACACTTCTGGTTATTTGAATTTCACCTGGGGGGGGGGGGGGGGCAGAAGTGCTGAATCACATGTGGTGGGGCACTAAGACCAGGGTTCATACGGGTCAAGACCTGTCTGCACTGCTGCGGTCATCCTAGAAGTAGGGTCAACATTCCCTTGAAAATCACAGCACATCTGACTGAGATGTGAGAAACCAATAGGCTGCACAAAATAACCCAAATCTGGATATGCATATAGTACAGAAGAGGACGAACAACCATCACTTCCCTCCAGAGTTTACGCCGGTGAAGAAAAGAAAAAGAAGAATTTCACATATGCCTGGAAGCATGACTGTTCAGTCACCTGTTCAACTAATTATATAATAACTAAACAGAAAACTTGTGTTTCTTGTTTAAAATTGTGTTTTCTCCATTTCAGCTAGCACTACAGAGTTATGAAACCTTTCTCAAGCTTCTCCGGGTGAGTACCCAAGCTGCGTGAGGACTAGGGGTGTGTTAGCTGTCTCGTTTGATTCCTTTACGTCATTGATTTATATCTTAAAGAATCACTATCACTAGTCACATTGCAGATATTTCTTGGACCACCACCTCTGTTCCATATTTATCAAACTAATGTATGCCTTTATCTCACATTTGAGATTAACTATTCGTATACAATTGAATTTAGGCTGGCCTTTAAAAAAAAAAATTGCCTTGAATTTTTGAACTCTTGGAGTTGGTATTTGAGTCCTAAAATAAAAACATGTCCAGTAACAGTAAAGAAAATACGTTATGGTGATTAGCCATCATCAGGAGAGCAGCGATGAAAAACAGAACACACAAAAATGAGCTGACTCTGACTTTGATGCATGAAGATAATGCTTATTTTTGTCTCTGTCAGCACTCACTGGCTGTAGACTCTGGTGGAGAGTTCTGGTTGTTCGTTCACTTTTGGACTTTGAATGGACATTCTTTTGACTTGACAGATCTGGCTTATTTATGCAGACTGTTGGTTCCTCACCTCTCCGGCAGATGCAGTCTGGCTTTGGAAGGGAAAAGGGGGGGGGGGGGTTGGGGAAGGGAGGTGGATCTGTTCTTTCCCCCCTAAAAATGGGACCCTGGAACCCACATAGGGAGGGCAGTATTTACCCAAAATTATAGTCTCTGAGAACAGAAATGGATACAACAGTTTGTTATTTTCCAGCCATTTATCTGGATTGTACCAGGCTGCCTCATGGGAGGAGAAAAACGCAAAGCTGAAAAATCCAGGTCAGTGCACTGAATACTTTTGTTTGAAAGTTTTTTGTGTTTGCTGGTGGCTTGTTGTAAAATATTTATTGGTGGTTTTGATTGTATACATTTTTACTGATTACTGATGATTTCAATGTAAAATTGTTATCACCTAATGGTATTTTACTAAAAATTTACTGATTTTTTAATTGATTATTTAAGTATAAACATTCACTGATGATTTGATTATTGAATTGGCAATTTTTACTGTTGAATTGATTCTAGAAAGATTAACATATACCTGCAATTTTATTTACTAGTGATTTTATTGTTATATATTAATAAATTTATTGTAAAATTGTTAAATTGACTCAAGATTTTATGATAGACGTGATGATTAAGATTGGCCGATGATTGGGGTACAACAACAACACTAACATTTTGTTGATTTGATCCCAGATTACGTAAGGGTGTCAACATCCTGGTGGCCACTCCAGGCCGACTGATGGACCACATCCGAACCACTAACGTCCTGACCCTAGCCAGAGTCCAGTGGCTCGTCATTGATGAGGCAGACAGGTAAAAGGTGTTTTCCTTTATTTAGATCTCTGTTCAGTTCGGCCTGTTGCTGGAGAGATCTTGTCATTTGAGAAAAGGTGATCTAAGCATTTAAAAGGTCCTGCCTCTGTCCAAATGAGGTTGGTAACAAAAATTTTCTTCCAACACTTCTAGACTGTCTTGCAGGGCTCTCCTTTCCCTGTCCAAGTCTGAAAAATGTGCCAGACCAGTATGGAAACTTCTGTAAAGTTCTAGGTTATTGATTGTCAGTACACTTCCACCTAGAACGAATGACAGGCCTGGCTGATAATTGGTAACCTGACACATCAGTTTTTCAGCATCCCATTGTTGCCTAGGGAAAATTGGATGATTTGATTTGATTCAAGAACTGACATCACAGCACTCGGGGCATTCCCATAAGCGCTCCGTCCTTATCTTCAGCAGCCAGCGAAGAGTTCCGATACTAATGGTGCCAGTAGCATTCTGATTAAACGTCCGTCTTGCCTTTCCTCTGAGTCTCGAGCATCTGCCAGAACTTCTCGTCACTCCCCGCTGCATTAATCTCGCCAGACTGTGGTGATCCATCTGCTCCTCCGAACTGTACACGCTCTCCCACAAGCCACTAACCACGTCTGCCTTATAATTGGATAAAGAATGTAAAATTATTCTTCAATTGAATGAATTTCTTGGGTTCAAATCCACCCTGGTTAGGTGAGGAAAATATGACCTCGGTTCCCAGGTTGACACAACCTAAAATGGGTACCAGGTAATATCCTGGGAAGTAAAGGCAGCCAGAGTGTTGTTTACCATATCACCCATCAAGAGCCTGCAAAAACGTTTATCTATGCCCTAATATAAAATGCCGAATGTGCTACTGGTGTAAATATGGTCCTTTGCTCAACTTGTTGGTGGTGATTGCAAGCTCCCGCTTGTCTTTTACCAAAGAATATATTTGTTCTTTTCTACAGTTTGTATGTTGTGGTTTACAACTAGACTGTGGTATCTGTGCTTTTAGCCCAAGCCATCCTATTTCAGCAAATCATTAATTAGTCACCTTTGACAGAATGCATGTTAGCGAGCGGTGGGTCAGTTCTTCTTTTCCGAACATGAGGCTTCAAAACCCACACGCAGAGGAATGTAATCAACATAAACTTGTAATGTATTCATTCCAGATTGCTTGAATTGGGGTATGAAAGGGATGTAGCACAGATCATGAATTCTTTGAAGGCCCAGTGTCCTGACCCACCTCAGACGGTGTTACTTTCAGCAACGTTATCTGAAGGTGAGCAATTTATTGTATTCCTGTAATCTCACTGTTGCTGAAAGATTCTTAGAATACCATGGACCAAAATGAAGAAAAATATTGACATCCCAAAAGATCTCAAGGAGAATTGGTTCATAAACAGCATCTTGTTTAATAACAAGGCAGATGTGGTCAAGACCCTTTGGGAACAAGCAGCGGAATCAGTAGAGAAACAAGATTATTATGGCCTGGAGAGAATGAGGCACCTGGGTGTAACCAGATAGTCTGGCCGGCTCACTACACTCAGGGGAAAGACAAAACGGACATATAACCAGATTACAACCGGTACCATCAGTATTGGAACTCTGCGCTGGCTGTTGAAGATGAGGGTGGAGCACACATGGGAATGCCCCAAGTGCTGTGATGTCAATTCTAGACTCAGCTCATCTTATTTAATAAGTTGTTAATACTTTGGCTGTAGCAAACACCACAGTGATTTAGAAAGAACAGGAATGGATGCAATTGTACTGGGTAAGGGGGCAGGGGTCGGCCGGCATGAAGATGGGCACACCTTAGACAGAAAAGTGCATGAGGTGGAAGAGCTGGCAAGAGTTTCTTTCCGGCAGCTGTGATGGGTTTGAAGTTCTGTAAAGGACATGAAGAATAGAGAAAATTAAATGGTATGATAGAATCACTAATGTAGAGCTTCTGGAGAGAACTAAACAAGTTCCAGTGGACCAAGAGGTGAAGAAAAGACGCTGGCGTTGGATAGGACACACATTAAGAAAATCTGAGAACAAGATAACTATAATATCTTTGCAGTGGAACCCACCGGGGCATAGATATAAAGGCAGACCTAAAAACACATGGAGAAGGGAGCTAGAGAGTGAAGTTAAAAAGATGAAGATGAGGATAGCTGCATGCAAAAGATAGAAGGATGGTGTGAGTTGGTTGAGGGCCTATGCTCCATTGGGGGTTAGAAAGGCAAAAGAAGAAGAAAGGACACGATGACAGTAATCCCTTTGCTGTTTCTCCATCTTGTATTAGCACTTGAAGATGATTTTTATTCCTAGGGAGGAAGAATTGACGAAATTTTCTACCATAACTTTCTAAAATCTATTTATGTTGTTGTTTTTTTCCTCCCTCTCCTCTTAGGTGTGGAAAGATTATCCAGTATTACACTGAACAATCCTGAACACATCAATGTCACTGATGGTGTCAGTCAACCAATAAGCACCGCCCTCATCAGTCACACAGTCTCCTCTAAAGCCCAGACATGGTCACAGGAAGAGAACAGGGACGAGACTTTCTCCGTGCCTTCACAGCTAAAGCAGCATTTTATTATCACCCCATGCAAACTGCGTCTTGTTACACTCGCTAGCTTGATCTTGTGGAAGTGTAAAGTAAGTTCTTGTCATTGAAATCATTTTTTTTTTTTTAAACTAGTTAACATTGTTTAATGCCTGATAAAAATGTCTGGATTTTTCCTAATTTTGAAAGTGTTGTCCGGAAAGGAAAGGCAGCTAGGAAGGAACGTGGCCTCACATCAAATATCATAGCTTAGAAGAGTGTTCCTCACCCTTTTTTTTTATATCTGTGGTTTGTTAAATCTGATGTCACAAAATTATATTTTTGTAAAGTTGTGTGTAGAGTGGGCAGGTCTGCAGAATGTGCTCAGGTGTTTGTGGTCCTGTTTGACAGGCACACTGTGGGGAACTGTACAGTCTTTATTTTATGCATGTGGTAGTTGAGCCTGCAGTGTCCTGTTCGTAGACGGACAATTTTTTTATGTTGCTCTCTGTTAAGTTTGCTGATGGGGTCTTGTGGGTGCTTACTGTTAATTTGTTCTCCACAATTCTTTGTTTTTTCCCTTGATTAGTGTTCTGATTTCTGGTAATGACAATGAATGGGCGTGTTGTTTCTTCCTTGTTCCATTTTTAGCAAGTCTGTCTGCTAACTCATTTCCTGGTATGCCACAGTGAGCCGGGATCTACGGGAGAGCGATTTGATTGTTTTCTGTGAGTCTGTTTAGCTGGCGGGTCAGTTATCTATGTTGTCTTGTGGATCTCTCTGAGTCGCCTGGAGGACTGACATGCAGTCACATGGGAAAACAATTTTGCTGTTTTTAATTTTTCTTTCCTCAAGCACTTTGGCTGAGTCAATAATTGCTTGCTGCTCTGCTCTGAAGTTTGTTGAGTCTTCCGGAGGGGCATGGCGTTTCTACCTTGGTCCCATCTTGCAGCATGATGACCGATCCAGCTCCTCCATTTTATCGGTGTAAATGTATGTCCATTCGGATTTTGGATAACAATTGCAGATATGTTAAAGGGTCTTTGCAAGCAGTACTAGGTCACATTCTTCAGCCTTTCTGTCTATGCCTGGAATAGTTGTTGTGACTAGTTAGGCTGTAGGTCTATGCTGTATGCCTGGATCATTTCCTCTCTGCATTCATCGGCTGTAAACTCCTGCAGAAAGTTTTGGTTGTTTGCCCACCTCTAGAATCTGGTCTTGTTCCAGAATCTGAGTTTTGCTTGTACATTCATTTTACAGATTTTTTTTTTAAATGCAGACTCTTGGTTCCTTGCTCCTTAGGTAAATGCACTCTGACATCGAAGAAAGCATCCCTAATGAGCTTGTTAGTGTGGGCAGTTGATCTATAATTGTTCCCCAAAATGGTGCCCTGGAACCCACACGGGGATGTGTTTAGTAAATTTATGTCTTCATATCAGCTTTGGTCATGTGGTGAGAAAAGGAGCACTGGAAAATATCTTGATGACTGAAAGATCACTAGTAGAAGAGGCAGACCGAGAGAAATAGCAGTGGATGGCATGAGACAGCAGCATGGAGGAATATCGTCAGTGGAATTGAACCAGAACACGAAAGACCGAGATCTGTGGAGATGCATCAACGCTAACGCCAGCTGGCAAGGCACTTGATGATGACGATGATATATCAGCTTGGCTGCAGCTGCCCATTTTGTCAACATAGGTTGCCTGTTTGCAATTCCATTTTTGTGCTCTCTATCTTCTAGTACACCAAGCCAGCCAGCAAGATGATAGTGTTCTTCTCAACACAAGACTCTGTGGAGTTCCATGCCAGGTTGTTCTCACAAATTTTGCTGCCAAAAAAGAAGAAGGCTGTCACTGATCTTGCTGAAGTAGATGTTGGTGATAGTGACGAGGAGGAGGAGGATGAAGAACATGCTAGTACCGTGAACCCCAAGGAGGGTCTCAAGTTCTTCCATCTTCATGGAGAGATGCTTCAGAAGGTACAGTTTATTTTATTCTCTTCTCATTTCTAAAATTTCTTTCTATCATTCATTCAGTGTATATAAATTCCCCCTAAACTTTAATAACTGCCAGTAGCCTAAATCTGTCCATTTCTTTTTGTCACTTATTCAAATGCATCACATTTTGCCTATCACTTACTCATGTCCATCAGTTACTCATATCTATCGAATACTTCTGTTTACAAATTACTCATGTCCATCAGTTACTCATGTCACGTCCAGCTGTATCTTTCAGTCCTGCCAACTGAACCACGGCACATTTTCGGGGAGTTCCCCTCGAAAATAGGTTACTGGCATCGTTTGCATGTTGCATTGTGTGACATCTTAATATGTTTACAAAGTCCTGTGTTCTAAACGTATTCGTATTACAAATCTACAAGCGGATATTGTAAAGTGGATATACAGCAATTTTGATTTTAATTCACGAAAGACAGTTGTGATGTGTGTGTCACTGTTTCTAGTCAATAGTTCAGATTTCTGGGAGCTGGCTGTTTATTACTTTTCTACTTTAAATGTAGAAATCTTACTTTTAGGGATAATACAAACAGGTAATTTAGAAGCCATATCTGGAGAATATCGACAGTTGTCAGGTGCAAACTATCTTGTGTTTGAAGAAAACTATGCATAAATGGTGCAACCACACTGTGGATAAATTGTGTCAAGATATTTCGGAGCTCTAGGTAAGTGGATGAAAATAATATTTAATTTACTAACTAACCTCTCACAGCAAGTCACTCTTTGCCTCTTTACTAATTGTTGACTAACAGTATAATTACATGTTGTAGCAGTACACTAATAATATTAATCCTTAACCATTTGACTTGTGCTTCGTGAACACTGGCTGTAAACTCTTGCGGAAACTTCTGGTAGTTCATCCACTTCTTTTGCATGTTTACAGTTCTACGGTCTGTTAATTTTTGTAAACTGGCTTTTGCTTTGCTTCGCGAACACTGGCTGTAAACTCTTGCGGAAACTTCTGGTAGTTCATCCACTTCTTTTGCATATTTGCAGTTCTCCGGTCTGTTAATTTTTGTAAACTGGCTTTTGCTTCGCGAACACTAGCTGTAAACTCTTGCGGAAACTTCTGGTAGTTCATCGACTTCTTTTGCATGTTTGCAGTTCTACGGTCTGTTAGTTAATTTTTGTAAACTGGCTTTTGCTTGGCTTCGCGAACACTGGCTGTAAACTCTTGCGGAAACTTCTGGTAGTTCATCGACTTCTTTTGCATATTTGCAGTTCTACGGTCTGTTAATTTTTGTAAACTGGCTTTTGCTTTGCTTCGCGAACACTGGCTGTAAACTCTTGCGGAAACTTCTGGTAGTTCATCCACTTCTTTTGCATATTTGCAGTTCTACGGTCTGTTAATTTTTGTAAACTGACTTTTGCTTCGTGAACACTGGCTGTAAACTTTTGCGGAAGCTTCTGGTAGTTCAAAGAGTTAGCACTGATATTTCTTTACTTTTGCTGGAACAACTTTTAGTTTTCATCTAAACGTTATTGATGTTTATGTTCATGTTGACTGTAGCAAAAGCATTTTTGTTTGTCTGTAAGAGCCTTTATTGTTATATTTATTCGGCACACTTATTTACCTTAAAAATGCCGTATAGTTCTATAAAATATGTAGAAAATTAATGAAACTGTAGTTTAATTTGTGTATGCATCTCCTCGATAAAAACTGTTAACACAGAAGGACTCAATTCTTGCACAAGAACGGGAATCCCCGTTGACCCAGTTGGCCTATTTAAATCTAAAGATGGCCGTGCTCATGTCTATTGTATACTTCTGTTTACAAATTACTTATGTCTATCATATACTTCTGTTTACAAATTACTCATGTCTGTCATATACTTCTGTTTATAAATTACTCATGTCTATCATATACTTTTGTTCACAAATTACTCATGTCTGTCATATACTTCTGTTTATAAATTACTCATGACTGTCATATACTTCTGTTTATAAATTACTCATGTCTATCAGTTACCTCTGTTCACAAATTACTAATGTATCCATCAGTTACATCATTTCAAAAATTACTCGTGTCCATCGGTTACTTCTGTTTGCCAAATCTATCAGTTAGTCATGTCCACCAGTTATCTTCTTTTCCGCCGCTTGTTCATTTTCATCAGTTACGCGTGTCCCCAATATATCAGTCATAAATATGTTTTACATTGTTTTATCATTTTCAGGACAGGTCAAAAACATTTCTTGAGTTTTCCCAGGCAAACAGTGGAGTCTTGCTGTGTACTGTAAGTCCTTCTCATGTTTAATTTTAATTAGAAATAAAGTTTCTTTTTCTTCACACACACCAACTGTAAACTCCTGCAGATAGTCCTGGTTGTTTATCCACTTCTAGACTTTGACCTTATTCCAGAACTTGACTGTTGTATGCACATCTGTTTTACAGGTCTGCCTTATTTGTGTTCAGGCTGTTGGTTCCTTTCCTGTCAGGTAGATATGCTGTTAATTTATCCATTTCTGGACTTTGACCTTATTCCAGAACTTGAGTTATCATGAAAAAGCTTGCTGGTACAACATGGGGAGCTGATGAGAAAGTTCTCAAGAAGCTGTACACAAGACGAGTAAGGCCAGTCCTTGATAATGGTATTACAGCCTGGGCAACAGCAGCTAAGTCAAACGTTATCAAAATGAGTAGAGTCCAGAATCAAGGAATACGGATTATAACTGGGGCCAAGAAAACAAAACCTATTGATGTACTAGAAAAGATCACGGGTCTGCAACCAATAGAGGATAGAAGAGAGCAGAACCCAGCAACGATCAGACAAAACTAGAAGGCTGACAGATCATCCCATGTATCAGTGGTTTAATGGTCTAGAAAGGGGGAGACTGAAGCGAAAAAACTCTGTAGAGACTGCAAAAACTAAGATCAGGGAAGATCTAATACTAAACTTATCAACATCAAAACACATCCACATTACACACAGGCTCCCTGCTTGGAGACAGCAGCATCTGCCTGAGTTGATAGAAAATATTCCTGGTATTGAGAAAAAGAACATGTAGAATGAAAGAGAAAGAAGGAAAATCACATTAAACTACACAGAAGAACAATACCCAAGTAACACATGGATTCGTACATATACGGATGGATCAGCAAAAATCTCAACAGAAAATGGAGGTGGGGGAATTGTCTTGAATCTGAAAATCACTTGTAACTGGAACATTCTCAAGTAATTTCAGAGCAGAGGCCTTGAGAATTGCAGCAGAAATACTTCTGTCAGAGAAAACTACTAAAGAGAAACACATGTATCTTCACAGATGTGGTCAGTTGTCACAGCCCTGAAGAGCAGAAACATTACATAACTAGCAGACTTTAGAACTATACTCCATAGACTGTCAAAAAGAGTCGTAGTATGATGGATTCCATTGCAACACACACCTGGAAGTGAAGAGGCTGACAGATTGGCAAAGGAAGGTAGAAGACTCCAGCCTGATACAGGCATAACGTATAATGAAACCAAGAAGTTTAGAAGAAGTACATCCTGTACCAAATGGCATTCTGAACACCCAGGCTACAAGAAGGATGGTGCATATTACTAACTTGGCCAAAGAGAACAATTAGTGATCTTTAGACTGTGTATAGGACACAGTAGGCTGAAACAGCACTTGTTCAATAAGCTAAAGATAGGAGACACTGACTATTGTAACTGTGAAAATGGTAAAGTGATGGCTAAACACTTGCTGCAGGAGTGTCCAGCATATACAGAACAGAGAAAATTATTCTGGCTAACACACGCTCCTTCTGAGGTCAAACTCTGTGGAGATGTCAACAACCTCAAGTTGACTGCTGATTTCCTTAATAAATACATTCAAATTGACGTCTGAAGGTATAAGAAGAAAACTGTCAGGGATTCTTGGAGCTGCTAGTCCCTGGAGGTGCAGAGTTCATAAACCATGACATGAGAAGAAAATAAAACAGACCCATCTGTCCATATACTGCCACACTTAATGCCACTAGGCATCTATGTGGATATGTCATATAAAACTATAGTGGATGTTGAAGTCCACTGCAGTTAAAGTCTAACATGCAGAAGAAGCAAAGTACCCATTTTGTGGTGTAGGTAATTAAAACCCCAGGTCTGCAGACTGCCTGCTGTTTGTAACATACATAGCCCATGATGAATGAGATGTTCAATATATGGAAGTGAGGTTAAATCATCATGAGCAGGGCATGAGATTCTTTGGGTGAGCCCAGTATCAGAGCACTGTGTCTTGGCTCTGCATTTATGGAAGCCTCGTTGGATGGCGGGGAATGCTCATGTTCTGCCCTTGCCTTCCCTTGAAGACTGATCACATTATTTGGCTTCTCTGGACCGGTCTGATATGTAGCACCGCCTGTGACCTGGAAAACAGAGGTGACTACACAATAATGAGACTGCTACCCAGTCAACAAATGCCCGCAGAAGTTGGATGTGTCAGCCAAAAGGCGCAAATATCAAAGCCTTGCTGTAAACAGACACAATGCAATTGCATCTTCAGATGGACGCAGAAGAAGATCCCCCGGTCACTCCTAGCTGTACTATTCTCCCCAGACTGTCAGGATCTATTCCTGCCTCTGCATTGTGCACTTGTTCACTCTAGCTTGTTATGCACAAATTCAGCACACATTGGTGCAGAGCCAGCCAATCCGTCTGTTGATTTCACAACACTCCTGCAGTCCCTCTGTCTGTTGATTTCACAACACTCCTGCAGTCCCCCAGAGAAAATATCCAAGAATGCTAACTACCCGTCCTTCGTGTACTAAAAGGGTGGAAGGTTGGCACATTGTGTTGCAATTTACGACTAATCTGCAGTAGCTATGACCCTCAGCCTAACACATCTGCTTTTGACAAGCTGTAAATTAGTTTAACTTTTTTTGGCATGCTTTCTAGGGGACAGTGCAACTGTTCATCTTACTTACTTACTTAGTTGCTCCTCTTCTACCTTTGGGTGTAGAGGTTTGCCAGAGAGATTGCCAGACGTCTCTATCAGCAGTTTTCTTTCTGGCTTTGTTCCATTCCAGTCCTCTGTCAATCAGGGACTGTCAGATGTTGTCTTCCCTGGGTCACCCTGGAGGTCTAGTTATTAGCCTCCCATGCCTGCCATGGTGGCCGATATTCTCCCATTCTTCATACATGTCCAAACCATTATCACTGTGACTGATCCACTCGAGTTTGTAAGGCCTGTGTTTCAAGATCTTGACGTATTGTCTGATTACCAACTTTGTCCCTTCTTGTCACTTGGACCACCTTTCTCAGATATCTAATTTATGATGCATGAAGCTGGCTTCTGTGAGCTGTTGTAATTGTCCATGACTCACACCCGTAGGTCAGAATCTGTTCATCTTTCCTCCCAAATATGAATTGATTCGCTAACATTTGAAGCATCCTTTATGCTTTCTTTTATCTTCTTTTTTTTTTCAGGATGTTGCAGCTCGAGGCATTGATCTGCCCCATGTTGATTGGATTGTTCAGTACACATCACCAGGAGCAACAGTTGATTATGTACACAGAGTTGGTAGGACTGCCCGAGCTGGGACAGAGGGTCAGGCCTTGTTGTTTTTGATGCCTTCTGAAGTTGGTTTCATAGAGGAACTAAACAAGCACAAAATCAGGCAAGGTTTTTATGTGTGTGAGAGAGAGAGAAATAGAATAACATTGTCAATCCTGCAGCACAGATAGAGATTTCTGAGATTTTTTTTTGGAAACAATTTTTGTGGCTAAGGCATTGTAAACCCACTTCATAATTACAAAATACCTTGTTCGATTCCAGGTGCGGATGACAAGATAGAAGACCGATTTGCTTTGATTTTGACAGTAGTATGGTACACATACCATTCAGATAGCAGTAGTAAACTCATGAGCCTAAAATTACCTATTAAAACCAAACAGGGGAGCCGCTGTGGTGTAGCGGCTAGACATTTGCCTGCAGATCGGAAGGTCGTGGGTTCGCTTCCTGGTGAAGCCAGACTTTTTCCAGAAATGACTTTGGCTCTCCCACTCAACCTTGAGTGGGTGCCAGGTATGGTCCTGGGAAGTAAATGCAGCTGGCGTCATGTTGACAACATCACCCACGAAGTGTCGATTGGTCTATAAAATATAGGCCTAGCCCGTTAAAAAGGGATCTTTACTTTTTTTTTATTAACAAATTTAAACAGGCAATTAGTTCTGGATTTGGGGTTTCCATCTGCATCCTGTGAAGATTGTGGAACTAACTAATTTAATTTATGAAAAGTGAAATTATGACATGTTATGAATTGTTTCTCTTTTTGTGTGACCATTTTGAACTTATGATTCAAATTAGGTTTGTATTTAAGTTGAAGTCAGAAAACTTAAAGCAGTGTATTTATGTAAAGTACAGGACCCTTTTCCACGCCTTTCAGGCGTATTGGGCATATAGGGTTAGACCTAAATTTTTTATAGACCAGCGGCACAAGATGGGTGATGTGGTAAGCATCATGCTGGCCGCCTTTACTTCCCAGGACTGCACGCGGTACTTACTCAAGGCTGGGTCGACCTGGGAGCCATTGTCATTTTTGAAAAAAGTCTGGCTCCACCAGGAAGCGAACCCACGACCTTTCGATCCCCAGGCTAGGGTCTAGCTGCTCCGCCACGGTGACTCCCACTAGTGTATTTATAGTGGGGGCAAAACTAACAGTAATAATGTGGCATCCAGTTGTAGGGGGTGATTCAATATAATTTATGAAATGTTCATAATTCCAGTATTAGTTGGTCAGTTTGTTGAAAATTCTTCTTCTTCTTCTTTGCATTCATCAGCTGTAAACTCTTGTTCCCGAACCCAAGTGTTTTATGAACAGACGTTTCACACATCTAGCTTATTTTTGTGCAGATTCTTGGTTCCTTGTCTCTCGGGTACACGTACTCAGACTTCGAAGGATGTCCCTAATTAGTCGACTCTTATGAAATGCCTCATGGGGAGGCAGTGGGTCTGTTCTTGATTTCCAACAGTTCGCCATGGAACCCACATGGAGGATGTTAAAATTTTATAAATAATACTTAGTCAAAAATGGACAAGATGGTTTGGGGAAGTTAGATAAAGGTCTGTACTTAATTGGAAAATAAATAGCAGAACAAGACTAAAAAAGTTACGAAAGCAATAGTCAGTGTTATTAAGTGAAGTAACATGTTTTGAAACTAACACATCCAGATAATAATATAACAGATCTTGTGCAAGGGACTGTTCAAAAAGATCAGGCCTCACCTTTTGAACTCTGGCCACATAGTTAACAAGGACAGCACATTATTTATTTATGCATCGTATACCGTCCAAGCTTTCTCCAGGTCATTGAAATGAATGCTGTCAGTCATGGTCACCCAGTTTTGTAATACTCTAAAGAATCAGGTGTTTACATTTGCCTATGTTGAATTTTTATGTTTCATTTGACAGCTTTTTGTATGCACCACATGGGTTTCAGCAGCATCTGTCTGGCAGTAAATTGTTCAATCTATTATTTGTGACGTCTTATTTATTTAAACTTTCCAGTTTGCTTGTTTACCTTCCAGAATTCACTACCATACATTTGGATCTAGCATTTGTATACTCACTTTCTGACATTCATTTATAGTTGCTTCAGTCAGTCAGTAGCATGTCCTTTGCAGAACCTTGCTTCCATAACAACCTTCCGAAAAACTCCTAGGTCACAAGCAAGATGTCCCATGTACGATACATCCATCTGGAGATCATCCGCCACATCATGCACCTATCTTTTTTTGGACCTTCCTCTTCCTTTCTTCCCAGGCTTATACCCCTCCATTATTGTTCTCTCCAAACTTTTGTGATGTTTCAAAATATTTCAATTTTTTTATGTTTTATAGTCTTCAATAGCCAACCTTCTTCACTATTCAGTTCTTGAAGTATGGATACATTTGTTCTTTTCTTTAACCATGATATTCTCAAAACCCATCTTTAACATTTGTATTCAAAGGCATTTATGCACTGTTCAGCTTGTTTAGTAAGTGTCCAGGTCTCACAGGTGTACGTTGCAATGGAAAAGATGCATGCTCTTAGAAATCTAATTTTTGTAGTTCTACTCGTCTCACTCCATAACTTATTCGTTTTAGTCTTTGAAGAGCAATTGATAGTCATCGTTTAATTTCTTTCATTGTGTTGGTTGTATAGTTGCTTAAAGGTATATATTCTTTGAAAAATAATTATACGAACTGTTCAGTCGGGTGAGACACACTGAGTAGTGACCCCTTCTGTCTGCAACAAAAGTCACGCTTTTTTTAGAACTACCAACTCCACCCACACACATACTGGACCTTCATTCACCAATGAGTTTCTAAAGGTTCACAGACTCACATATCTCATGCCAGACTGCTGATCTTTTCTGCCAGTTTTTGCATTGTTAGCAATTTTAATGATTTTAAAAAAATCACTACTCTTCTTTGCTACTTGTGAAAAATAGGACAGCCATCTTTAAACTGTCATTTTGATGCTCACCATATTAGTCTGCACCACGTTGTCGCATGCTTAACACTCTTGACAATGTTATCAACAATATTGATTACACAAGACAAAGGCATTCTTATTATAATTTCTGTAACACTTTTAAGTTTTTTATCTAAAGTCTCCTTGAATGTTACATTTTTTGTTATGCTTATATTTGGCTTTATTCACCCTCCAGCCTATCACAGATGCAACTGTCCACCATTTTGAAACCCCTTCTGGCAAATATCTCCAGTCTGCCACCAGCAGAACATGTGAATACAAATGTGAGTATGTCATGTGAGCCTGATACAGTTGTCTGTGCTGGGTTAACTTCACTGCATTCTGAGCATGTCCACGGGTGCTAGGATTTTCCCTTCAGCATGTACATCAGCTTCCCACTGTTGATAGTGCTGGTCCTACGCTGGTTGACAAAATTTCTCAGCCATCCGATCTACCTCTCATGCCTGACTGCTGATCTTCACTCCCAGTTTTTGCATTGTTAGCAGTATTGTGGATGCGCTGCTTCTAAAATCTTTCGAACATTACATTTGTCTTGGGACAATAACAAAGGTTGGTGGGATCTATAGGGCAGCCGTCTGCACTAAAAGCTGGCCAGTCTGTCAGCTCTTTCATCGCCTACAATACCTGCATACCCTGGGACAAAGAAGCAGCTAACTCCACGCACAGTGGAGTTTTATAAAGGTTTCAGAAGTTATCCATACCTTCCATTTCTGTTCTAATTTTTTCCTTTACCAAAAACCTACATAAGATTCCTTTACATTTCTTTCATTTGTTACCAGCAGACTTCATTGCTTACCTCCTCAGGTAACTGGTGCAGCACCTGGTACTAATTTGAGACTGTAACTGAAAATTGTTCCTTACGTTTTTTTATCCCTGAGATATCCTACATTATATTGGTTTCTGCGATTGTAATATATTATGTATTTATCTCTTATGGTTCAACTTGATTTTACATTGTGAAGTCTACAAAAGGCTTAGCATTGGTTGGTAGTGGGTGTATTAGGAGATAAAAAACTGAAGAGGAGATTCTGTTAACTTTGAGGCACATTGCAAATGTTCCGTCTAAAAAGACCTAATTACAGTTACTAAGGATTTGATTGTGGGGTCTGAAGTCAAGAGCTGAGGTGCTCATTTTAAGGTTACCAATTGTGGTTAAACAAATAAGTGTAATACTCTATGTACAAGTTTTACACATCATCATCATTATCCCCCAATTTCAGAGAGAAATGCCAAGAACTGAAGAAGAAGCTGCCACATATCTGCAGGACAGAGCTGAAGAATGTGTATTGAAGGACAAAGAGATGCATGGTTTGGCAGGGCGAGGTAAGCCACAAGCCACCTTTATAGTTTGTTTAATTTATTTTGACCAACTTTGAAGAAGAAATGCATTTTTATATTTTTGTTTGATTGAGGAAATGAAAAACTGGCTAAATTATCATTACTCAAATGCTCTATTGAAAATCCAGTAGGGAATTTAATTCAGTTAAAAAAATATCAAAAGTATATTTTTGTCTGATGAGGTGTTGAGCAGTCTTTTTGATGAAGGTGGAGTCATGGGTACTAAAGTAGTAGTTTATGTCCCTGTGAGAGTCAAGAACCAAGAGTCTGCATACATATAAGCCAGATCTGTGAAACGGATGTGCGCACACCACTCAGGTTCTGAAGGGGGGGGGGACTCAAGTCTGGATTTGGACAAACAACCAGAACTTTCTGCCGCAGTTTAGGGATAAAGATTTTTTTCTAACAGGGGCAAAATAAAAAGCTGCATAGAGAAGGCGCCTGCAGTAGCCATGCGGCCCTAAATCCTCAGGCTGCAGTGTGGTTGGGAGATGTCAAGTTATGTTTTATGTTTGTGGTGTCCAAGGACTGTCCCTGTCTTGACACGGGTGGCAAAGTGTGCGCACACATAAAGCATTTGTTAGTGTCTCTTTGCAACCATTAACTTACCGTAAACCTCTCTTTAGGTTTAGATTTATCTTCTCCTTCTGTCCGTATCCACCCATGGAGAATGGGCAGTCAGCTAGCTCACACCAAGTCATCCTATCCTCTGTTACTTCAGGTAGCTTCTTCTTCTTCTTGTTCACTGGCTGTGAATTCCGGCAGAAAGTCCCGATTGCTCGTCCATTTGGACTTTTGGCTTTTACCTGAACCTGAGTTTTGGTGAAATCCATTTTACTGGCTTATTTTGTTTGTCGTTCCCTGCCTCACCGGCAGATGTTCTCCCACTTCGAGGGAAGATGACAAGCCTATCTCTAGGATGACTGACTATTATTTTGTGGGACGAGATGTTGCCTCATTTGTGTTTCTTTTGTTTGTCCCTTTGTCTACAGGTGAAGGGCTGGTACCTGAGTAAGGTACGGAGTGTCTCCTTTTACACATCACATCGGACTTAACTTTCCCTCATGCCTGTGACTGAAATCACTGCGCCACCTTCAGGTAGCTGATCCCATGTCCTCCACAGCTTTTTTTTTTTTTTTACTTTGCTCTCTAATTTGCTTCTCTATGTTTTATTGGGGGGGGGGGGGGGTCTGTCTTCACTTATGTGACCTTTTAGTTTCAGTGTAAGGTGATTCCAGCTTTAAGTATACAGATGTTCAATTCATGTATCATTCTACATTAGGATTTCAGTCGTTCGTCAGAGCATATGCAACTTACTCAAGGGAGGTCAAGGACATTTTCAAAGTCAGTGACCTTCACTTAGGTCATGTGGCAAAAAGTTTTGCATTGAGAGAAGCTCCGACAAAAGTTCATGGAGTCTCTGCCAAGTTTGGAGGGGTGCAGAAGATGCAGAGGACAACTGAAAAGTCCAGGTGAGATTATTGTTTTTACGTGCCTGTACAGGGTTCGTAGTGGACCGGGAAATCGGGAAATTACCGGGATTTTTTTCGTTGACCTTGAACCGTGAATTTTAGCTTATAAAAGACATTCCGACCTTGAAAAGCCGTGAATTTTGACCACGGCAATGAAATCGTCAGAAATCCTGTGTTTCTCAGCATAGGCAATTTTGGGGGAGCCATTTGGCTAGTTTTTGGCTACTTTCGTTGTATGGTCGTTTCAGGTGTGAGGGCAGCTGATTATTGGCTATTTTCAGCCGAAATAGCTTGTTAAAGGCCAGGGGAGGGCGGGCTGTGTTGCAGATCATGAATACATGCAGACAGCAGCGGTGTGGCATGGGGCGGGAAGTAGCCGCTTCCATCTCGCTTGTGTGTGTGTGTGTGCCTTTGTTTCTAGCAAGTCAGGCAGAATGAACAGTATAAATCGTTTATGGCCGTGGTTTCTAGAAAGGATTACATTGGGAGATGGTGGGGCTCGGTTCAGTTGTATCTATAAATAAGAGTCGCCGTGGTGGGGGCTAAGCATGGCCTTCTCTATTAATTAGAGATGGCATTGGGGCTAAGCAAAGTGACTGCAGCTGGATTTCCCAGTTCTATTTTTGGCCTGGATTTATCTTTACAGTGTGTTTGGCGATCAGTATTGTAATTCCCCGAGATTCCCTCTTCTGTTGTCTCACCCCTCTCTCTCTCTCTTCCCTCCCTCTTTCACTCTTCTACCTATTGCTCCTTCCTTCCCGTCTCCTGCATTGTCTCTAACCCTCCCTTCTGATCTTTATCTTCTTCTCTTTCTCTCTATCTTTCCATTGACTCTCTCATTTCCTGTCCCCCCTCCCCCTTTTTCCTATTTTATTTCTTGTTTAAATGTTTAGTAAATGTGCGGCTCCATAACTCTTCCTAGCAACTCAAGTACACAGGAAGTTGTATTGGGGGGGGGGGGGGGGGGGGGGCATTCTGTGGGAACATGGGGGATATTTTCTTGTGAACATGGTGGATATTTTCTTTTGATGTGTTTGTTTTCCTAGCGGCCTTAAGCTCTGTCCATCTCCCTTCCCGCCCCCTCACATTTTGTCCTACCTGTTCCTCACTCTCTGCCTGTCTGTGTCACTGCTTTCCTCTCTCTCTTTCTCTTTGTATTTGCCACTCTCCCTCTCTCTCTCTCTTTCTTTCTTTCTTTCTCCATACCTTCAGTTGGTGTAGAAGGTTATGTGTTGCCTAGTGCAGAACATTTCATGTCCACCATTCCCCCCTCCCACACATTAAATATATGTGTACTTTTAAAAACACATTTGCCGTCACCCCCCCCCCCCACCCCCCCCCTTTTTTTTTTTTTCTCCTCCCACATTGATGACACCTAGGGGAGGGAGTGCACCCCTTCCTGCTACCTTCTTCCCTCTGTGTCTCATCTTATTTCTTACTCCCTTCTTTCTCTCCCTGTCTCATTCCCACTTTATTTTCTTAAACTTTATTCTCTCACCTCCCCTGTCTCACCCTTACCACCTCAGCCTTCTACACCACTTTCCACCACCTCCTCTCTCCCCTCCTTTCTGTAATTGGAAAACCAGAAATAAAACGAAGTCCACTGCTGCCCTGACCTATTTATGTGTCTGACCTATTTATGTGTGTGGGTAAACTTCTCTATTTTCTACCAGTGGTGGGTTGGGATCCCCTGGACTTTTTTTTTCTTCATAAAATGACCTTGGCTCTCAGGTCACCAGCCCAGGAGACGACTAGGCCTACTTAGAAAATTGGCAGGTACAGGATGGGGAGCAAATGGAAAAACCCTAAAGAAAGTTTATAATGGAGCGATAAGACCCCACTTGGAGTTTGGTGCAACAGCATGGTCAACAGCTGCTAATTCCCACCTACAATCGTTAGACAGAGTGCAAAATCAAGCTCTTAGACTCATCACAGGATCCATGAAAACTGCACCAATCCTGAAGATGCAGAAAATAACTGCAATGCAGACATTGTCCTATAGAAGAGACACTAAAACTATGATCCAGATGGAGAAGTTTAATAGTATGCAGTCACACCCAATGAATAAAAGGTTAGATGATCTGGCATTAGGGCGTCTCAAACGTAGCAGCTTTGTCCATCGGGGGAAAAGACTTAGAAGACAGTACCAAGCTGATCTACCTATTAGAACAACACCGCTGAAACCTACCCTATACCCTGTACCTTGGGAGCAAGTCAGTGATACAATACAGATAATGACTTCAGTCAATGGATTCACAACTGGAGATGAGTCCAATGATCTTCAAAAAACGAACAGCTGCTCTTAGCATGATTCATGAAAACTATCCCGAAACAGTCATGGATACATATTTACACAGATGGATCAGCAACCAGCGCGGTTAAAAATGGGGGTGCTGGAGTCTTTATTACATACCCAGGCAACCACCGCCACACAAAGTGGATACCCACTGGTAAATTCTGTTCCAACTACACAGCAGAGATTGTAGCACTAGAGCAGGCTGCCGAAATGTTACACAACACCAGTTCTGACTGCCACCAAGTGGTTATATTCACAGATGCGCTTTCAGTGCTTCAAGCCCTCAAGAGTGGCAAACTCCCTCACTTGAGATCTAAACTTGGCAAGGTGGCTGCCCAAAAGTGTACTGTACTCCAGTGGGTGCCATCCCACTGTGGTATACCAGGAAACGAAAACCGCAGATAAACTTGCTAAAAAAAGGGGCAGAATGTGACCAAGAAGAGAATGCAGTAACATACTATGAGAAGAAAAAGGGCCATCCAGGCTATCAGAAGTGAACAGAGTCTGGGCCAAGATGACTACCACTTTACTTGACCGGCATGGGCAGGTCATTGTCCTACGTCTCAGGACAGGACATAACAAACTTAACCAGCATATGCACAGGCTTCGTCTAAGTAGTTCACCTTTTTGCCCTTGTGGGCTATGTGTGCAGACTACAGAACATGTCCTGCAAGACTGTCCCTTGTTCAGCCCATTAAGAAAGGAATACTGGCCCAGTGAGTCACCACTGTACACAAAGTTGTATGGGACTAAAAATGAACTCATTAAAACAGTCAAGTTTATCACAAGAACCTGTCTGTCAGTGTAAATCAGAAAGCGAACACAAGAAGAAGAAGGTCACCAGCCTTAAGTGTAAGAAATTGAATTATTGTTGTCACACACAGATAGGACAAGCAAGGGGCAGTAGGGGTTAGCACTGTTGTTTTTGGACCACGGCCACATTCACATTGGGAGAGGGTAGGAACTGGAAAAGTGGCCTCACTTAGAGATTTCCTAATTCTATTTTTGGCACTCATTGTTCTTACACCCCCCCCCCCCCCACCCCACACCCGTGTCTTACCTTTCTTTCTCTCACCCCCTTCTCTTTCCTTTGATCTTCTACTATTCTCCTTTCTCTCTCCATTCTTCCTCTCTTTCCTTTCCTTGCCCTTTCTCCTGTCCCATCTCTTCTTTGTCTCCTCTCCATCCTGTCTTTTCATTTTCTCTAGTTTTCCTTACCCGCACTTCCCCCCCCTTTCTCCATTCTCTCTCATTCTCCCCCCCCCCCCCCATCCCCCCCCCCCCCCCCCCATTTTTTACTGGTTCATCTACATATTTTTTTTGCCCCATAACTCTTTTTCCTAGTGGTTTTATGTCCACTACACTTGAAAATTGTGGGGGGGGGGGGGGGGGGGGGGGGGGAGTAGGTGGCTGTTTTTTTTCTTTGATGTATCTTGTCTCCCTTCCTGCCCCTCTCTCTTAATCTGTGTTTGTCACTGCCTTCCTTACCCAACTCTCTCTCTCTCTCTCTCTTGCTTTATGTCTGTTTGCCTCCCTTCATCACTTCCTCTTTGTATACCTCCCTCCCATTCTCCTGTTCTGCCTTTTTTCTCTTTATTTGGTTCTCTCCCTCTGTCTGCTTGCCTCTCTGTGCTGTCCCTTTGTCTCTCTCCTTTATGTCTACATCTCTCTCTGCTTGCATCTGCTCCTCACCCTGTCCGTTCTCTCTCCCTCTGTCTCCCTTCTTTCAACTCTTTGTCATATTTTCCTCCTTCCATATCTCTGTTTCGTTCCCTTTTTCCTTTTCTTTTCATCTGCCCATCTCTGTATCTGCATTCCCTCTTTCTGTATTTGTCTCCCTCTCTGTCTTTCGCTGTCCCTTCCCCACTTTTCCTCATCATGTCTCCATCCCTCCCTCTCATTTTTTCCTCCTTCCCCAGACTTCTTTTTCTCTTTACCTTCATCTGTCCATCTTTACACTGTCTCTCCCAGCCTACCTCAGCATGTGTCTTCTTCCTCTCTCTTCATGACTCTCTCTCTCCCCCCTAACCCTCTCAGGTACCAGGTCCAGAACAGACAGGACTTCAGTTTGCTGCCCCTCTACCACCAAGCCCTAAAAAAAATTTTCAAACACTATATCAAGCTCAGGGGCCGACCAACACGAAGATGGGCACAGGATATAAGTAACTCCTTGAGTATAAAAAAGTACATGAGGCGGGAGAGCTGGTGAGAGACCGAGGTTTTTTTGTCAGGACAAAGGAAATGCTACATGATGATGATATCTGTGCTGGTATACCAACACATGTGGCACAAATGAAGTACCTTGTGTGCTCAGTACACCCTTGAACAATGCAAAAATCTTGTTTCAGTATTACACCGAGACAACCTTGAAAAAAACTAAGGAGACCTTGAAAAAGACCTTGAAAAGCCTTGAAATTGATTGGTAAATTTGGCTATGAACCCTGCTGTACAAAATGTCTTGTTGTGATGGTTTATATCAACAGTATCTTGTTCAACCCTTCTATATATATATATATATTATATATTTGTGTGTTTGTGTGTGTGTATATGAATGTTTGTATGTGTATGAATGTATGTAAAAAGTAAAGTAAAGATCCCTTTACACGCCCTTAGGCGCATGGGGCATATGGGAAGATCACCCATATTTTTACAGACCAATCGGCACTCGGTGGGTAATGTAGTCAGCATTACGCCGATGAATGTATGTGTATGTATGCATGTATTTATGTATGTATGTGTGTATGATATATTTATGCATGTTTGTTTGTATGTATGTATGTATGTCATCCTATTGTGCGATTTGTATGTCATATAGCTTGTCATCTATCCCTCCCTTACATTTTATTCTCTGCAACTTTTTCAATATCAGGGATGGAATCCACTTCAGCACCTTTGACCTCTCTTGTCAACATTTGAATTGGGGTTTATTTGTCCTTGTTTTCCTCAATCCATTTGTTTCTTATTTCAGTGCCTGTTTGTTAATTCTCTGTCCGGGAAAACAACAGTGTCAGAGAGCATATAACCTTGTTGAATGTTGAAAAATGTAGAATTAAAAATTGACATCACAGCACTCAGGACACTCTCATAAGTGCTCAGTCCCCATCTTCAGCAGCAAGTGAAGGGTTCCATTTCTGATAGTACCAGTAACCGTCTGATTGTATATCCATCTTGTCCTGAGTGTTGAGCGTCGGTCAGATCCCCTGGCAGCGCCTCGCAGCTCCATTCTCCTCAGACAATAATGGTCTATCTGCACCTCTGCACTGTTCACCCATTCCCAAAAGGCCCTCACAGTATCCCACTTATACATCAGTTCACCACTAAGTGGTGCAGAGCCAGCCAGTTAATCTCCCTGTTCATTTCCCAACACGCCGGCATTATCTGGAGAAAATATCCAAAGGATGCAAACTACCCCGGACCTCTGAAGTGATGCTTGCCTTTCTGCATGAAGAACGCCTGTTTTCATCTTCCTCAACATGTTCTGTGAGTCAGATACAATCACAGCATGTGTGTATAGCTGATTCTCAAGAAACCTTAATGAGAGACAGAGGAAGTTGCAGTCAACCTTTATTGTTACGACAGCACCTGATTGGTTGACTGAAAACAAAACATCGGTTGGGAAAGTTTTTAACCATTCTCTATATTACCCTTAACTTGTCTTTCCACCTTAGTTTTGTCCATCTTCTATTAACTGTCTTTGTACTCTTCATCTATTTTTATTTTGCTTCCAAGTAATCAGCCATATAAAAATTCCATATTTTTTCATCTACCCAGCAACAAGAAACCCTTGAGCTTCAAGCAGGCAGCTTTGAGTGAATACTCTAGTGGTTTCCAACCGGGCAACAAAAAGGTCTGGGCTAAACCAGGTGGTATAACAAAAGCCAAGAAAGGAAGATGAGCAAGCATGAGAGATGTATTTGAAAACTTCAGAGTAATCAGAATCTGCAAGGTGTAAAGGGATATATACATGGAGAAGACAACCCTGTGCTGTGTTAGAATTGAAATAAACATGTAACAGACAAATGTTGCTTTATGTGTTAACTGCCTGTGTGGATCTGTTTTTCATTTTTTTTTAAATTGGGTGGGAATACCATCTTATTGAGTTGGCTGCATTAGATATGTAGATCTATTTATGTCTTTGTGCCTGGCTCACTAGCGTAGTTGGTTAAAGCTGACTTTGCGGCGACCAGATGATGAACTCCTAGTGGGCTGGGTTCACACCCGGGGATAGGCAGAAAAAAATGTCTCCCAGATTTACGGTACCTATTATGGAATCAAGACCGAAGTGTTGCGATATCCATAGTACCGAGCCAAAGGGTTAACACTCATGGTTTCTGGATACAAAAGAACAAAAAATTTGTCTTTGATTATATCCCAGTCTGTTCTATGGTCTGACTCTTACATGATTGTCCAGAAGCCATATAGAATTACATGCGTCCTAATATAGGACGCAGTTTTTGTTGTTGTTTTAAAGCCCGACCCTAGCCCTCATAAAACCCAACCTATGTGTTCAACAGGGTTTCTGGGACCTGTCCCCAGGTGATCCTCATCCGAATGGTGGCACTTTGTGTCACTGGATGTTTATCACTCGGTGTGGTGTTGTGATGGGGTTGAATGTCATCATCATTGTCCAGAAGCCATGACAGTGGTCATGCTGTTTATAGGTGGGCTTGTTACAAGACTAAAAATGTTTTTTTAATTTTAACCGGGTCGGTCTCCCAAGTGACCAGCCTGGCCACCCGACCACCTGAAGGATATTACGTCAGTAATTCAGGTTTGTGACTGATCCTGGTCCCTTTGACCAGAGCAGCAGAGCTATACTTTGATCTTAGCCAAAAGTCCGGCAGCATCTGCTTCTTCTTCACATTCACTAGCTGTAAATTCCAGTGGAAGGTTCTGGTTATTCGTCCAGTTCTGGACTTTACCCATGTTCTAGATCTTGAGTTTTGCATGCACATTTGTTTTACCGATCTGGCTTATTTTTGTGTAGACTGTTGGCTCTGTGCCTCTCAGGAATATGCACTCAGACTTTGAAGATAACCCCTGTTATAATTAGTCAACTCTTACAATATGCTTGTTAGGAAGGCAGTGTGTTTGCTGTTTATTTTTTCCTTTGTGGGGTCCCTGGACCATCCAAGATACTTTCTTATGATAAAATACATTGATTTACAGCGAAACCTCATTAACACAAATTCCAAGGGAACAGGAACTAAATTTTATTTTTTTTAAACTAAATTTTTTTTGCCTGGGACTTGATTGTACATCTCTCCTGGGACCAACATTTTGTTCATGTTAACCTAATGTTCTTCTTAAGTGAGTTCATGTTAATGAGGTTTTACTTTATTGACAAAACAGTAAGACTAAACAAACGAGCACCAGAGAAGCAGTGAATGGGAACTGTACTAGCATGGTGCATTACTTGCAAGTCAGTGGTCTGGGTTTGAATCCCCAGTTGGCACATAAATGTGTTTTTTCCCCAGCCATTGTGGTTGGGGACAATCTAACCTTGTTAAAAATGGTTACCAAACAATTTTCAGAATTGTCTCTGAAGGAAAGGCAGTAAGTAAGGGAGCTGGCCATCCCATCTCATATGTCATAGCCTAGCACAGGGCTGTTCAACTTAGTTTACTCGGGGCCAAACTGTAAAAAATCTGGATCCTCAGGGGCAAGAGGTTCGAGCCTCAGCATAGGGAAGATCGTTTATACAATATAACTGGCACAAATCTGCGGGCCACTTGCTATGCCTCCGCGGGCCAGATTTGACCTGTGGGCCGCCAGTTAAATAGTCCTCGCCTAGCATATCTTCTTCTTCTCAGAGTTTACCAGCTGTAAACTGGAGGAAGGTTCTGGTTATTCATCCACTTCTGACTGCAGTTCTTTTCCAGAACCTGAGTGTTGCGTATGTATCCGTTTTACAGATCTGACTCATTTGTATGCAGACTGCTGGTTCCTTGCCTCTCAGGCAGATGCATTCCAACTTTGAAGGAAGCTCCCAACTAGTCGACTCTTACAACATGCTTTTGGGTAGGCAGTGGGTCTGTTCTTGTTTTCCCTATAATAGGGCCCGGGAACCCACACGGGGAGAATGACATTGATGATGTCTCTCCAGTCCATGTTAGTTGTGTATGCTTTACATGACGTTGCAGAACCAACCCCAATAGCCCCTTGCTGTTGTGTGGTTTTCTATGCAAATCTACGTCCAGTAGTTTGTCATTGCTTTCTTGATACCTGACAAGGACCTGAAATCTTCATTACTAAACTAGGGCTCGATGTATGGCCCCGTGACAGACACACTAACCCAGAACACACTCAAAACACACACATATGGAGCGCACACATCATCTTTAATGACCAAAGAACAACATAACCTGCAACAACCTCCACAGTTATGGACAGTCCCTTATTCGAAACTCCCGGGCAGTGGCAGCAGTTATACTTACCTATCCACCCCGGGCCATTCCCATGGATTTACCAAAGGACACGATTCCACCTCCTGTAGTGCAGCGCTAACTAGGCTACGATCTTCGCCATGCGAGACTCAATGGCACACGCAGGGTGAGTGGTTCAGTATCAACGACAGCACAAGACGCAGATGAGAATACCCAGGGACAAGAACATCTACCTAAACATGGTACAACCCCAACACAACTGTCTTAGCATACTATCAGCACACGAGGAATAACAACAGCGAACCAACACATACGACTACAACGTTAACACAACCTATCTGTCAATTCCTAACAAAAAAATACAATCATGTCTCTCAAATGTCTTGATTCTCGCACGTCCATTCTAACCGTTCTCCTCTCTCCCTCGTTCAGCTTCGGCTCAAACGTGTACGTTGCACCAGTATTCAAGCATCTCGGGTTTTCCCCGTATCATCAAATCAACTGGCTGAGCACTGGTGCACTTTTTCGTCCGTCAAACACCAACATGCAGTTACACGTCGTATTGTCTATACTCTGTCCCACAGGCTATGACAATACCACTATCGAAACCAACTCAAGGCGCATGTCCCGCAGCTGGGATCAAACCCGGCATTCCGGCATTACGAAGCGTTCGCATCGACTTAGCCACAGAGCCGACCTCCAGTCCAAAGGTACTTAAAATATGACTTATTCTAAAAGAAATTGTGATGGCGTAGTAAGTTAGGGACCCCTTTTCACGTCAGTAGCGCATAGGGCATATGATGTCAGACTCGTATTTGTACAGACTGGTGGCGTAATGACTGTCCTTTTTGTATGCCAGTCAGTTGTCATTGTTCGAATCCCAGTTTGATAACTGTGCTTCCATAGACCAGCCCAAATGAGCGCCAGGTAATTAAACCACATCGCCCGACAAGTCAGCCGGGGCGAAAAAAACCGGGACGTTTCTGAAACAAATTTTTTTTTCACCATCTTTCTCTAAGTCAGTGACTCACAGAGCATGTTGAGAAAGGTAAAGACAGGCATGCTAAGTGCAGAGTGGCCAGCATCACTTCAGAGATCCCGGGTAGTTATAATCCTTTCGATATTTTCTCCAGAAGATGCCAGTGTGTTGTGAAATGAGCAGACAGATTGACTGGCCAGTTCTGCACTGCTTGGTGGTTGGGAGCTTCCTTCGAAGTCCGAGTGCATCTGCCTGAGAGGAAAGGAATCAGCAGTCTGCGTACAAATAGGCTAGATCTGTTAAACGGATGTACATGCACCATTCAGGTTCTGGAACAAGACTTAAGACTTAAGGTGGATGAATAGCCAGAACTTTCCTCGGAGTTCACAGCCAGTGAACGCGAAGAAGAATGAGTATATGGCAAGCACCCCTTACCGCCACCCCCTTGGTTTAATAAAATGAAGACACGCTAAGGGAAAATATGGAGATACGTTTTAGTCAGAATGTGTTCTTGATTTATAATAAATGCACATACAATGCTCCATGAAAACAAGAACGTGCTTGCCTTTTTGTTTTATAAATATTTTATTGATAATGAAAATAAAGAATAAATGTTAGTATAATATATTATTACAAGCACAAATGAACTCAGTTTCCAAGTTGCCCCGACCCTTTCCCCCAGATTGAAAACCTCCTGCACTAAGTCTACAGTTTCCACGACTAAGTTTCTTCGTTCTGCTCCGCTTCTCCTCCGGTTTCCTCCTCTGGGGCCGGCTCTTCATATTGTTCACCCTCGGCCGACACGGTCTCCTCCGGCTGACCTTCCGCCGAGCCCACATCCTCGGGAAGCTCCCCGCCCTCGGCCATGATCTCCTGTGTGACTCTCTCAGCCTCTTCGCGGGCCCACCGGGCCGCTTCGGCCTCAGCTCTCTTCTGCTCCGCCTCCTTTCTGGCTTGAATCTGCAGGACAGAGATACTATATTGTATAATGCATTATTAAGTTCCCCAGTACCATCAAATATCGGAATTAATCAAGTAACAGAAAGTATTGTGAACGGCACTCATAGAAAGAAGTAGAAAGATAGAAGAACACACTAGACAACATAAAAATCGAAAGCTATAGTTACCGTGCCAGGAATTGAACCTGTCACCTCCAGACGGCGTCTGCGCCTCGCCATGAATACAAGTGCACTAAGATACATGGTCAACTAGGCACACACCCCCCCCCCCCCCCCCAAAAAAAAAGGTGTCTCATTGACAATGTCTATCGTACAGCTTGAAATCCACGACTATGGAATACGGACAGAATTTATTTCAACCTATTGAAATGGCACCATAATATTTAACGGCCTCAAATGGTTCCCCCCTCTGTTTATTTATAGGAATGACATCAAAAATCGGAAACGACACACTGTTCAAACAGACAACAATACTTGGGGAAGGGCTGGGCGCTTCATCAGCAACCACACACTGCGCGGTACGATTTTTTTAGGCGGAGCGCAGGCGCTCAGTGGGTTTAATCCTACTTCAAAAGTATAATAATAATAATGTGCTGAATAGCAAATAAATATAATATATTTCACATGTATAAATAAATACCTTTAAAAAGAATTTCTATATAAAGATAAAGGCTCAGCACTTTTAAAAAAAATATGAAGGAGTAGCAGACTACGCAGCACCAACCCCCACCCACCCCCCCCCTCCCCCCCCCTTTTTTTTTTACCAATACGGGGGCCTCAAGTGGCTTCAGTCCCCATGTATGTTGGCTTGGCGCTCAAGTATGTTGGCTTGGCGCTCATGTATGTTGGCTTGGCGCTCATGTATGTTGGCTTGGCGCTCAAGTATGTTGGCTTGGCGCTCATGTATGTTGGCTTGGCGCTCAAGTATGTTGGCTTGGCGCTCATGTATGTTGGCTTGGCGCTCATGTATGTTGGCTTGGCGCTCATATATGTTGGCTTGGCGCTCATGTATGTTGGCTTGGCGCTCAAGTATGTTGGCTTGGCGCTCATGTATGTTGGCTTGGCGCTCAAGTATGTTGGCTTGGCGCTCATGTATGTTGGCTTGGCGCTCATGTATGTTGGCTTGGCGCTCATGTATGTTGGCTTGGCGCTCATGTATGTTGGCTTGGCGCTCATGTATGTTGGCTTGGCGCTCATGTATGTTGGCTTGGCGCTCATGTATGTTGGCTTGGCGCTCATGTATGTTGGCTTGGCGCTCGTGTATGTTGGCTTGGCGCTCATGTATGTTGGCTTGGCGCTCATGTATGTTGGCTTGGCGCTCATGTATGTTGGCTTGGCGCTAATGTATGTTGGCTTGGCGCTCATGTATGTTGGCTTGGCGCTCATGTATGTTGGCTTGGCGCTCGTGTATGTTGGCTTGGCGCTCATGTATGTTGGCTTGGCGCTCATGTATGTTGGCTTGGCGCTCATGTATGTTGGCACCTTTCGTTGTTTCCTGGCCACAGCGTTTTACTTTTCCTATAGGGAGGCACGGGAATCAGCTCATGGCGATCATGAATGTAATTAACAAGACCCGCTTCCGTTAAAAGAAACAGTCTTCCACAATTTATGAAAATGATTTCAGGCCCGCTGTAGACAGCGTATGTAGGTATTGAAGTTCTCCCTGTCAGTGGTTTTCAGGTGAGAAGACCACAGGCTTCTAAGAAGTCTGCAGTGCGACGCATGTCTTCCAGTGTTACATTCACGGTTTCCACTGGAATGCCAAATGGCCAAAACTGGGATCTTCCAGGGCCCACAGACATCATGTTCTTATTCTGCTGTTTCTGTCTACATGCTATACTAATCGTCTACATCTACCGGGTGTCTGTCTACATGCTGTACTAATCGTCTACATCTACCGGGTGTCTGTCTACATGCTGTACTAATCGTCTACATCTACCGGGTGCTTGTCTACATGCTGTACTAATCGTCTACATCTACATGGTGTCTGTCTACATGCTGTACTAATCGTCTACATCTACATGGTGTCTGTCTACATGCTGTACTAATCGTCCACATCTACCGGGTGCTTGTCTACATGCTGTACTAATCGTCTACATCTACATGGTGTCTGTCTACATGCTGTACTAATCGTCTACATCTACATGGTGTCTGTCTACATGCTGTACTAATCGTCTACATCTACTTGGTGTCTGTCTACATGCTGTACTAATCATCTACATCTACCTGGTGTCAGTCTACATGCTGTACTAATCGTCTACATCTACCGGGTGCCTGTCTACATGCTGTACTAATCGTCTACATCTACCGGGTGCCTGTCAACATGCTGTACTAATCGTCTACATCTACCTGGTGTCTGTCTACATGCTGTACTAATCGTCTACATCTACCGGGTGCCTGTCTACATGCTGTACTAATCGTCTACATCTACCTGGTGTCTGTCTACATGCTGTACTAATCGTCTACATCTACCTGGTGTCTGTCTACGTGCTGTACTAATCGTCTACATCTACCTGGTGTCTGTCTACATGCTGTACTAATCGTCTACATCTACCTGGTGTCTGTCTACATGCTGTACTAATCGTCTACATCTACCTGGTGTCTGTCTACATGCTGTACTAATCATCTACATCTATCTGGCACCTGTCTACATGCACAAAGTCCCGAAAGTTTGTATTTAATGTGTGTCGTCCCAAACGCACAGATCTTATAATGATATGTAATTTTTTTTTAAACCTATTGCAGATGTAAGGGTTTTCATTGTCAGCTGACTCCACCCAAATTCCAATGTTGAATTAAGAATCAACAGCACAGCACTCGTGACAATCCCCATAGGCGCTTCGTTCCCATCTTCAGCAGCAAGCGAAGAGTTCCAGTTCCGATGTTACCAGTAATTTACTAATTGTATATCCGCCTCGCCCTTCCCCTGAGTGTTGAGCGTCTGCCAGATCCCCTGGTAACTCCTCGCAGCGTCATTCTCCTCGGACCGTCATGATCTATCTGTGCCTTCGCATAGTTCACTCGCTCCCAAATGTCGGGAGAGAGGTCAATAACTCAAGCTTGATTCGAGCTCACATTCAAGATTTAAAAGGCAGCCCGGCTCTCTAGCGAAGTTGGTTAAACCTGACTTTCGCGGCGGCCGGGTGACGAACTCCTTGTGGTCCGGGTTCACTCCCGGGGGTAGGCAGAAAAGCCACATTTCTCCCAGATTAACGGTACCTATAATGGAATCAATGCCGAAGGGTTGCGATATCCATAGTACCGAACCAAAGGGTTTACAACTCATGGTTTCTGGATACGTTAAAAAAAAAAAAATCAAGCTTAGACGAGGAAGACGCAACAAACAGAACTAGACAAACTCAGCACACGAACCTGAGCTTCGACTTTTTTCCTCAAAGCGTTCAGCTCTTCCACCAACCGCGCCTCCTCCTCCTCTTCGGGTGTGTTCACATGCAGCCCAGTCACCAGGCCGGCAACAAAGTGGGTTGGTCCTAGTGACAGACAAGGTTAGGCTAGATCAGAGAGCCGGAATCAGTTTTATTTCTTCCCCGTGTGAGTTCTGGGGCCCTATTATAGGGAAAACAAGAATAGACCCACTGCCTACCCAAAAGCATGTCGTAAGAGTAGACTAATTGGGAGCTTTCTTCGAAGTCGGAGACAAGGAACCAGCAGTCTGCATACAAATTAGTCAGTTCTGTAAAACGGATGCATACGCAACAATCAGGTTCTGGAACAGGACTGCAGTCCAGAGGTGGATGAACATCCAGAACTTTCCGCCAGAGTTTACAGCCGGCGACCACGAAGAAGAAGAAGTTTTATTTTTGTTAATGTAAAACATTTGTTTGTTACCAACCCCTATTAGAGAAGCAAAGAGGTAAACTACAGAAACCTATCATGCATGTCGTAAAGTGTGGATAAGGAAGGTTCCATTTAGGCTAGCTACCCCACCCCCTAGAAAACCGTCTAGTTAATAATAAACACATACAAAGAACTAGGCAAGAGTTGACGGTCCTACGCACCACTGTTGGAAGAAATGTAGACATAGAGGAGTGTTAAACGTGGAAGGGAGACCGAATAGGATGACACGATCGACGTAAAAAGGGAATAGGCTAGATCATTTAGAACAGTGGCTCTCAACGTCCCTAATGCTCGCGGCCCTTTGATACAGTTCCCCCCCCCCCCTGTTGTGGCGACCCCCGTTCCCCCCTCACCAAACAATTATTTCAATGAATATGTGTTTTCCGATGGTCTTAGGCGACCCCTATGAAAAGGCCGTTCGACCCCCAAAAAAGGTGGCGACCGGCAGGTTGAGAACCGCTGATCTGGGAGCACATCGACAAAAGAAGGAGATTGGTTAGAGCACCAAGGAACAGATTGATGAAAGAAGGGGATAGGTTAGAGCACTAAGAAACAGATCGATGAAAGAAGGGGATAGGTTAGAGCACCAAGGAACAGATCGATGAAAGAAGGGGATAGGTTAGAGCACCAAGGAACAGATTGATGAAAGAAGGGGATAGGTTAGAACACCAAGAAACAGATCGATGAAAGAAAGGGATAGGTTAGAGCACCAAGAAACAGATCGATGAAAGAAGGGGATAGGTTAGAGCACTAAGAAACAGATCGGTGAAAGAAGGGAATAGGTTAGAGCACCAAGAAACAGATAGATGAAAGAAGGGGATAGGTTAGAGCACCAAGAAACAGATCGATGAAAGAAGGGGATAGGTTAGAGCACCAAGGAACAGATTGATTAGAGAAGGGGATAGGTTAAAGCGCAAAGAAACAGATCAATGAAAGAAGGGGATAGGTTAGAGCACCAAGGAACAGATTGATGAAAGAAGGGGATAGGTTAAAGCACTAAGAAACAGATCGATGAAAGAAGGGGATAGGTTAGAGCACCAAGGAACAGATCGATGAAAGAAGGGGATAGGTTAGAGCACCAAGAAACAGATCGATGAAAGAAGGGGATAGGTTAGAGCACCAAGGAACAGATCGATGAAAGAAAGGGATAGGTTAGAGCACCAAGAAACAGATCGATGAAAGAAGGGGATAGGTTAGAACACCAAGAAACAGATCGATGAAAGAAAGGGATAGGTTAGAGCACCAAGAAACAGATCGATGAAAGAAGGGGATAAGTTAGAGCACTAAGAAACAGATCGATGAAAGAAGGGGATAGGTTAGAGCACCAAGAAAAAGATCGATGAAAGAAGGGGATAGGTTAGAGCACCAAGGAACAGATCGATGAAAGAAGGGGATAGGTTAGAGCACCAAGGAACAGACTGATGAAAGAACGGAGTAGGCTAAGGTACCTAGGAGATGATCGAATGTGTTCTGCGGACCTCCATAAAACACACTGACATAAATTACAGATAGAGAACAAAATGCAAACGCAGTAATCGTGCTAGCAATGAGAGGCTTAAACATTTTCATAGAGGCTATTTTCCAAAAAACGTAATTATTACGTGACATATTTCGCCATATTTAGATGGAATTACAGTAGCTATGTGTTGAATCCTGTTTATGAAAAGTGTCTGGAGGCTAATGGGAATCACACGGAGCAACTGCAGTCACTTCATACGTCACATATAACTTATATGCATCTCGCATGTCTGAATAAATTTAGTATAAAAATGTTCATACATGTTGATACATTAAAATCTCAATGCAACACACTGCTAAGGTAATGTATTAAAAGATCGCAAATATCGTAGATAGAGATACATTTTACTGCTGGACAATTACAATGCGTACATTTTATGTTAGTTAGTCTTTCCTCTTGAGCCTAAGGTGGCGCATAGGGCACAGTTCATAGCCCCTATGTTTGGCAGTTCATTGCCACCTGTTTTGGATCTTGGATGTTAATAAGGCCCATGGTTGAGCCTTATCTGATGATGGTTCTACATAGGGCCTCTCTTGATCTTCCCCGTTTTCTTTTCCTTTCCGGTGTCCATATGAAGGATTGATGGGGGAGTCTGGTCTTATCCATTCTAAGAGCATGGCCGATGTAGTTCCAGCGGAGCTTTCTTATAAAATTTGATACATTATCTTGCTTGGTCTCTTGTCTTATGTGAATACTGGATCTAAAATCTGCAGTGAGTGCGCGCGTGCGTTTCTGAACGCTCTAACCCTGTATTTTTCAGATGCTCTACAGTTGGTTCTGCAGCGTCCTGTAAAGTATACGCAACTAACCTTTGCAACAACAACAACAAAAACCTGACAAAGAAAGGAATTCAGCCAATAAGCTAGTAACAAAACTTAGCTATACAACATGAACCTACCAATTGGCGGTGGTGATGCAGGCATTCGCAGAAGTGGCTCCTCAAAAATTGCCCCGTCCTTGTCGACTAAAGGCAGAGGTTGGCCCTCGGCGGACTGACCTACTTCAGCAGCAACCACCAGGTCGACTTCCTGTTCAATGTCGATCATTTGTATGACCTCTTCGCCAGTTTCCTCTCGATTGTCGGGGACATATTTGCCGTGTAGTTCGCAGGCCACGTCAAAGACGTACTTTCCAAAACCGTACATCTATTGTGTTTTTTTTTTTTTTTTTTAAATAATAATATATATGTCATCATATGGCATCATCGTCATTGAAACAATAATATAGATTACTCTAACTCATTTCACAACCACTAGGCATCACTGAGTTGTGTTTATCTTGAAGAAAATCTTTCATTTGTGCAGCGGTTGTCATGGTATTCAATATGGCTGGTATCCGGTTTACGTGTGAACTTATGTAACAATTCTACCTGTGTATAGTAACCAACTTATCGTGCCCGACTACTTCCTTTAACGACAAACTTCATTTCTGGTGTCGATTGTTGGCTTTGGCGCCTCAAAAAACCGAAATACGCATTCACTGCGTGCGCATATTTCTGGATTGTTCCGGGACCAGTTGTTTGTTTACAGTTGTTCAATTGCAAGAGTCAGGGACATTTGATTTGCACGGACGCAGGAACGTTGCAAGTATGGGGAAAACCCGATTGCAGTGATATTGAAACCTCGACTAAGACTATACATCCGACGGAAAACTGGACAGAGAAATTAGCTCCAGATGTGCCAAAGCTAATTAAGAAATAGGTCAACTATCTCCCCTGTTGACACACAAGCAGATACCTCCGAGTACTACAGTGAATCTTATCAGAATTATTTTTTTGACCAACACTATGCTATCAATGCCAAAAGTGGACACTTACATCCTCCAATGAACGTAAAATTGTAACAATAGAGATGAAATGCTTTAGAAGAGCTGCAGGAGTTTCAAGGAAAGACAGAATACGAAATCATGAAATCAGACGATAGGAATAAAGCCAGTTTTACAGGTCATCAAAGAACAACAAATAACGTGGTTTGGACACCTAACAAGAATGCCCAAGTACTATCCGCCACAGCGAGCCACACTAAAACGTTAAAACGTGTATAGAGCGAGTGGAAGATTTCGGAAAACATGGAGTGATGGCATTAAGAGCAGCCTTACAGAAACGAACATCAGTCTTAATAGTGCTCTTGACAGAGCTCATCAACGAACATCACATACCCCCCCCCCCCGACACTTCGATGAGGTACAAGGTGGAAGAGAATGAAAAGAAGAAGTAGAAGAAGACTAAGACTAGGCATCTCTGCGAGTAGGTGAATGAATTCCACTATGACCGCACTAAGGGCTATTAACACCAGGTGACACAAAGTGCCACTGTTCGGACGAGAATTCACCAGTCCCAGAAACCCCGTTTAATCGTTAGGTTTATTAGGGCCCTCGACGGTTACGGAAAAACTTGAAGTCCAGCCGGTGTGAGGCTGTAATATCCCCCCTCCCCCCAACTTGTGTCCCATGTGAGCGCGGTAATCACCTGGGGGTTCTTAGCAAAAGCTAATGGTTGACGTTTGGTGCAGGCGAGCCTAGCATATGATACCATAACACTCAGTTTAAGAATGGAGGTGGAGGCGGTCAGTGCAACTTTCCGCTGGCTAGTGAACACAGACACACACACACACACACACACACACACACACACACACACACACACACCGTGATTGCGAGTGACGCAGAAAGCATGCCGAGGAAGGTGAGGACAGGCATGCTTCGTGCTAAGTGGCATGATTCGCTTCGGAGGTTAAGGGTGAAGAGCATTGTCAGGATCTTTTCTCCGGGCTATCTCGGTATGTTAAGAAATAAACAGGCGGACAACAAATTGATCATGACAGTCTGGCAAGAGTGATACAACGAGGAGTGACGAGGGGGAATCTGCCGATACTCGAAGCTAAGAGGAAAGGCAAGACGGACACACAGTCAGACTGCTACTGCCACCTTTGGTATCAGAACTCTGCATTAGCTACTGAAGAAGGGCTTATGGGAATGCCCCGAATGCTGTGATGTCGGTTCTTGAATCAAATCAAATCTATGAGGTGACGAAGGATCCGCCATAGATTTGATTTGATTCAAGAACCGATATGTAACGTCTAACGGATCCTTCGTCACCTCATAGATTTGATTCAAGAACCGATATCACAGCACTCAGGGCATCTCCATAAGCGCAGTCTCTAATAATTTGCAATTATTTATTTTATGAAGCCATAGTTTGGAGTGTCTACCTTGTTGTCGCGGAAGCGGCCACAGTACTTGAAGTTGGCGTAATGGAATTCCCCAAATCCTTCCCATTTACCTTTTCTCCAGGCTCCGCTTTAAAATGAAAACGAACAAGAAAGTGTCACATAAATAATTGTCGTTAGTGTCGATATTAATATTAATACTACTAACTACTACTAACCTTATACTACTATTACTACTACTAATACCACCGCCACTACTACTACTACAATCACTATAATTACTGCTGCTATTACTAATACTGCTGATGCTACTACTATTACTATTGCTGCTACTGCTGCTGCTAATACTACTACTACTGTTGCTGCTACTGTTACTACCACTACTACTATTGCTGCTACTAATACTGTTGCTGCCACTACTAATATTATTGCTACTGCTACCACCACCACAATAGCAATAATACTAATAATAATGATCTAAACTCCATGTGTCGGTTTCAGGTGGGGAGGAGGGGGGGGGGGGGTTGTTCCACTGCCCCGTGTCAAGCATGTCGTAAAAGTCGACTCTTATTCTTCGAGTACACAATAAGTAAACTCCGGCGGAAGGTTTTGGTTGTTTGTCCATTTTTGGACCCCCGTCTTCTTTCAGAACCTGAGTGTTGCGTGCATTTCCCTTTTAGAGACCTGACGTATCTGTATGCAGATAGTTGCTTTCTCGTCTTTCAAGCAGATGCAGTCTGACTCCGAAGGAAGACCCTAATTAGCGTACTCTAACGACGTGCGTGTTAGGGAGGCTGTAGGTTGTAACGTTAGTTGCGTATCCTTTATAGGACTTTGCAGAACCAACTCTTGCATTTCTTGACCGACTAGTTTTACTAGGCATTGCTATGTCCAGTAACATGCTATTGCTTTATGTGCTTTCTGGACGGTCGATTTTAAAACACCTTTGTCGAAGCAAGGCAAGCGGTCTGCTGCCGCAGGAACCGAACCAAGTACACCGAAATCAAGAAGCGTGTTCACAACACTTAAGCCACGGAGGACCAATTAACATTAAATTAAAAATCAAAATGTATGAATTAAATTATTGAGGTCAAACGTACACATATTTGGTCTTGTCTTTGTGGAAGTAATATGTCCCCTTGCCGTGCCGCAAGCCTTTGCTCCAGTCTCCCTCGTAAATATCGCCATTTGTGTAGTAGTACTTGCCGGTGCCATCTTTGAGGTCGTTTACCCAGAATCCTTCGTACTTGGACCCATCCGGGTAGATGAATTTCCCCTGGCGTGTTAAGTGGATATAATAAAGCTTCAGTCACCAGTCGACAAACACTAAGTTAATTCGTGATGATCGACTGCATTGCACCGGGTTTTGTACCATATGACTGTCTCTCTCCGCAGAACGGCTAGCCGCCTGTCTAGAGCGTTGCAGAAAGCACGTACTTCATAGCTCCAGTAACGATTCCTGGGGATTTCTGTAACAACTGCACCCACGACCTTTATAGTATGACGCAAACGCTTGACCAATTCACACACAATGGCTAGACACTTACTTATGGACACAATGGTCTTGGTTTCGAATCTCAAGACAGCTCTACTTCTAAGTGGGTACCCGACAGGATTCATTAACCGTTACTGCAATCCCCCAAACCTAACCTTGAACGAAATTACAGAGCCTAAACTGCAAGAACCCTGCTATCCCAAAAAGAGACAAAAAGACAAATTATCTTCTTCTTCTTCTGTCGTTTGCATGAAATAAATTGTCTATATCTGCAAAGCCGTCTCTTGTATGAATTTCACTGTCTTTTGTAATTCACTAAGCGGCCCGTAAAGTTTGACTTCCACAAGTGTCTCTTTTGGCCAAAGGTTTTGCCTGAAAGCGTTGAATATGGGACAGTCTTGAAGGATGTGATCTGTTGTTTCAGGTGCCAGTCCACAAGTACACATGGTCGATTGGCCAATCTTAAATTTGTTGTACATGTGGGAGCGAAGTCTATTGTGCCCTGTTCTAAGGCGAAGGATAACTTGCTCTGGTCTGTCCATAATATGGTAATCATCTTGTGCCAGTTTCGGTGGCATTCTGATTGAGGACAAATTATAAAAACAATACTTATACCGACTTTAGGTTACCAGTGTCAAACTTAGACATTGACAAAATAACAAGGGAGAAAACTAACCACCTGTGAGATAAGATGTTTGAGAATGGCTGTGAATAAAACCAGAAGAGATCGAGTGAAAAACGACGTGATCACAAGAACTGTTGGAGCAACACCCATCGTTAAATTTATTGAGAAACAAAGAATGAAACGGTTTGGACCATTTAATGAGAATGAAACCAACGATGCCAGCATCAAGAGCATACAACCGGAAAATCGAAACACCAAGAGGCAGGGGAAGACCGAGAAGAAGATGGGTTGAAGGAGTCACTGACACCTTGAAACTGCGTAACATCACGGCAGATAAAGAGACAGAGCGTGCCCTTGCTCGGATGCCGATCGTCTGATGAACTGCAACGCCTAGAGACACGAGCAGATATTGACCAAAAAAAAAAGAAAGAAAAAACTGAAAGTGTTTAACCGTTTAACCTATCAAGGAGACAATGGCGTGCAACGCCTGCAGGGCTGAAAAAACAAAAACAAAAACGGTTGGTCAAGCGTTCTTTACAGCTGTCCCAGAGGTTAGATTCAAGAACCCCTCCCATCCCAACGCCCAAGCGTCTTCGTACACCGAATCCACTTGCCATTTCTCAGTTTACATGTAGGTGCTAGATAATTTACGTTAACTAAACGTGAGAAAGCTTAGAAACAAGGCCTCAGAACACTGTCCTAAACAACCCCATTCGCAAATAAAGAAGAGACCACAAGTGTATCAAGAAATATCTAAAAGCAAAGAATATGATGTTTTGCTGAAGTAAAAGAAAATAGTCACTTTCAACCAGCATGCTTGAAGCGGAAGCTTTAGGTTATCTTCTTCTTCTTCTTCGCGTTCACCAGCTGTAAACTCTGGCGGAAAGTTCTGGTTGTTCGTTCACTTCTGAGTTGCAGTCCTGCTCCATAACCTGAGTGTTGCGTGTGCATCAGTTTTACAGATCTGATTTACTTGAATGCAGACTGTTGCTTCCTTGCCCCTCAGGCAGATGCACTCTGACTTCGAAGGAAGCTCCCCAATTAGTCGACTCTCACGACATGCTTTTGAGTAGGCACTGGGTCTATTCTTATTTTTCCTACACGGGGAGCTTTAGGTTATAATTATGACTAGGTTATCTGCGCCATATAAAATGGCTTCTTAGCGTTGCACGCCATCAAAACCCTGAAAAGGACTCCTGCGGTGTTGATGCGATCAAATAAGACCCACAACTGTTCAGTACGCGAGGCACTGGCTCGATGCCCTCGCCACTAAGACTTCCTTCGTCTAAAAAGATCTCAGTAAAAGTATTTACCAAATCCGCGCGAAACTGTTTATGACGATAAATCAGCATGCAGATATTGAACGATGACAAAAACCTACACGAAAATATTTGAAAGACAAATCTACAAATGTTAAATGAAGAATCGGCAGCACGGCGCTGGGGACACTTCCATAAACGTATGTACCCATCTTCAGCAGCAAGCAAAGAGTTCCAATTCTGATGGCACCAGTAACTGTCCTATTGTATATCCGTCTCACCTTACCCTTGAGTGTTGAGCATCAGCCAGATCCCCTGGTAACTCCTCGCAGCGCTATTCTTCTCAGACCGTAATGATCTATCTGTGCCTCCGCACTGTTCAATCGAGCCCAAAAGGGCCCTCGCCAGGTGGTGCATAACCGGCCAGTCTATCAGCCTACTTAATTCCCAGCACACCAGTGTAACCTGGAGAAAATATCCAAGTGATGCTAACTACCCGGGACCTCTGCAGTGATAGTAACCACACTGCACGGAGCAAATCTGTCTACACCTTTCTCAGCCTGCTCCGTGAGTCAAGACAAATCTTCACATTTAGGAAATATATAAATATATATATTCAAATCTACAATGTTTAAGAGGATAAATCAACTTACAAATCTACAATGTTTAAGAGAATAAATCAACTTATAAACCTACAATGCTTAAGATGATAAATCAACTTACAAATCTACAATTTTTAAGAGGATAAATCAACTTACAAATCTACAATTTTTAAGAGGATAAATCAACTTACAAATCTACAAAGTTTAAGATGATAAATCAGCTTACAAATCTTTAATGTTAAAGATGATAAATCAGCTTACAAATCTACAATGTTAAAGAGGATAAATCAACTTACAAATCTACAATGTTAAAGAGGATAAATCAACTTACAAATCTACAATGTTTAGGAGGATAAACCAGCTTACAAATCTACAATGTTTAAGAAGATTAATCAACTTACAAATCTACAATGTTTAAGAAGATAAATCAACTTACAAATCTACAATGTTTAAGAAGATTAATCAACTTACAAATCCTTGTTTCTTGCCTTGTGAATACTCGCCCAAATAGCGAGCATTCTTTGCCAGCTTGTTACGGAACCTGTAGACGCCGTACCCGTCCCGCTTGCCGTACAGATAGTTGCCCTCATAGACATCCTTGTTGGGGAGAACAGCCGTGCCATGCCCGTGGCGCTCGTTTCTCTCATTGCGCTCACCTAAACAAAATGTGACGATACGCCGTAAGATTCAGCAGTTGAACTTTCATCATCATCATTATCCCGTAACACTAATTGTCGTTGGGTCACCAGTTTCTGTTGACTGATCAGCTCTCTCCACCTTTGTCAGTTGGTTTCGATGGACTTTATGGTTGCATGTCTGAAGCCTGTCTAGTCAGTCAGCTTATGTAACCAGGTCTCTCTTGGTCTGCCTCTTTCCCTCTACTGAGCCCTGCAGTGTTGTTTTTGAGAGGCCGTTGGATCTTATTGCAATTAAACTTTAGTAAATAGTTAGTTAGTTAGTTAGTTAGTTAGCTGGGTTATCCACATTGCACTCCGGACATGTCCATAGGTGCTCAGATCCTCCCCTCAGTATGAACCCCAACGTCCGATGGCTAATAGTACCAGTTCTATGTTGATTAACAAGTCTTCTGGCGTGTCTGGTGTGCGTCTCGTTTTTTGCTGTGCCGATCTTAATTCCCAAGTCTGCCATTCTGGCGAGTGATGTGGATTCACTGCCACCAAAGTCCTCTATCCTTCCCATTTCTCTGAGGGCATTGATAATATCAGCATGATCCATAGGCTGACCGTCGGTAGTTTTAGTAAATAGTATATCACTGAAATGAACTGTCTCCGCAAGGTCATTAACAACACAAGACGATACAGGGTTACGAATACCAGCATTAGAGAGAAAGTTGGAATAAGACCATGTCTGCATTATGTTGACTGACAAAGAATGAAATGGTTCGACCATCTAGTGAGAATGCAGCCAGAGCAAACTGCATTAGAGGTTTTTTACAGCAGAACATCTAGGAGGAAGGGGAACAGGAAAACCAAGAAAAAGATGGATAAATGGTGTAGCTGAAACCTGCAAAAGGTAAACAAATCCATCACCCAAGCCACCCGAGAAGCGCAATATGAATACACCCCCGTGTGGGTTCCGGGGCCCCATTGTGGGGAAAACAAGAATAGACCCACTGCCTCCCCAAAAGCTTGTCGTAAGAGTCGACTAATTGGGGAGCTTCCTTTGAAGTCGGAGTGCATCTGCCGGAGAGGCAAGGAACCAACAGTGTGTATTCAAGAGAATGAGATCTGTAAAACTGATGCACACGCAACACTCAGCTTCTGGAGCAAGACTGCAGTTCAGTAGTGGATGAGCAACCAGAACCTTCCGCCAGAGTTTACAGCTGGTGAACGCGAAGAAAAAGAAGAAGAATATGAATACAGAAAACAACGACACTGTGATACCAACCTGGTATCAGTGAGATGAAAAAAGAAAGAAAGAAGATAAATCACTTCCGGTTCCTCGTAGATTATCTTTTCATAGGATACCAGTATCATTGGTGTTCAATGTATGTTCGAAAAGTAATGGACTGCGGTTGAGAAATATGCAGTTACACATATACGAAATTATTATCAAATATTTTATTAAGCAGAAAGATCTTGATACCCAATCCTTACAAACCCGAGTGGACCAGTCACAGTTACGATGGTTTGGACATGTATGCAGAATGGGAGAAAATCGGCCGCTATGGCAGGCATGGGAGGCTAAGAACCAGGGAACCAGACCTACAGGACGACCCAGGGTGCGCTGGGAAGACAACATCCGACAGTCCCTAAATGACAGAGGACTGGAATGGAACAAAGCCAGAAAGAAAACTGCTGATAGAAACGTCTGACGAACTCTCTGGCAAATCTCTACACCCGAAGGTAGAAGAGGAGCGACTAAGTAAAGTTATTAAGCAGAAGCATATTTGTCTGAATAATTGCTGGACACGCGGGGCTGCGCAAACGATAACACAGACTAACGCATTGTTGCTCAACTCTTTATTTTTTTTAATGCCAGGCCCCACCTAAGTCTTGCTACAATTCATATGGCCCCTCTGTGACATACACATAACATTTAAACTCTGGAAAAGTCCATTTTCGAATTACTCCCCTTCGAAACCACCAAACACCCGCCCTCCTCTTTTTGATCTTTTCCGTTAGGGGTGGAGGTGTCCCAAGTTGGGACAACACTGGACCAACCCAAAACCCACACGTGGATGAGATAAGTTCAGATTCAAACCCGTTGCTCAGTCTCTAACGTTTCGTCACTTCAAGACAATTGAAAATTCGTCAGGCTTTTACTATAGCCACACATATGTGTGTGTGTGGGGGGGGGGGCATTTGTGGGCGGTGGGGGATAGGCCCATCACTCCCCTAACAAACATATCGTACAATGCGACTTATTAGGAGTTTTTCCTTCAAAGCTGGAGTACTTCTGCTTGAGATGCGAAACGAGGAACCAACAGTCTGCATACAAATGAGTGTCAAACGGATGTGCACGTAAAACACACATTCAAAAACAAGGTGGAAGTCTAGAGGTGGGCGAACAACCAGAACCGTCCGCCAGAGTTTACAACCGCTTAACGCTGACAAGGAGGAGAGACTGCACCAGTATATTCACAATAAACATGTCAGCCAAGGAGGCGGATTATGAAGTTTTAAAGCAAATGTGCTGTGGAGGAGACCGTGTATGTCACAGTAGGCCTTAGAGACTGTACACGTGACTGATACTGTCACAGTATGTCTTAGAGACTGTACATGTGACTGATACTGTCACAGTATGTCTTAGAGACTGTACACGTGACTGATACTGTCACAGTATGCCTTAGAGACTGTACATGTGACTGATACTGTCACAGTATGCCTTAGAGACTGTACACGTGACTGATACTGTCACAGTATGTCTTAGAGACTGTACACGTGACTGATACTGTCACAGTATGTCTTAGAGACTGTACACGTGACTGATACTGTCACAGTATGTCTTAGAGACTGTACATGTGACTGATACTGTCACAGTATGCCTTAGAGACTGTACATGTGACTGATACTGTCACAGTATGCCTTAGAGACTGTACATGTGACTGATACTGTCACAGTATGTCTTAGAGACTGTACATGTGACTGATACTGTCACAGTATGTCTTAGAGACTGTACATGTGACTGATACTGTCACAGTATGTCTTAGAGACTGTACACGTGATTGATACTGTCACAGTATGTCTTAGAGACTGTACACGTGACTGATACTGTCACAGTATGTCTTAGAGACTGTACACGTGACTGATACTGTCACAGTATGTCTTAGAGACTGTACACGTGACTGATACTGTCACAGTATGCCTTAGAGACTGTACACGTGACTGATACTGTCACAGTATGTCTTAGAGACTGTATATGTGACTGATACTGTCACAGTATGTCTTAGAGATTGTATACGTGACTGATATTGTCACAGTATGTCTTAGAGATTGTATACGTGACTGATACTGTCACAGTATGCCTTAGAGACTGTATACGTGACTGATACTGTCACAGTATGTCTTAGAGACTGTACACGTGACTGATACTGTCACAGTATGCCTAAGAGACTGTATACGTGACTCATACTGTCAGTATGTATCCAGAGAATACCGGCCGTGGGCGGCAGCGAGTCGCAGCTGGATTTGAAAAGCGAGTCTCCTATCGACTGTGCTAACGCGGCCCCGCAGGTGACATATCTAATTACAGTAAATACTGAATGGAACTAACGTCATTAACCCAAGTAACGTATGATTTTTTTTTTAAACATAAAGTCATGTCATACCTTCATATTCACCAAGCCACAGTCCCTGTTCTTCCTCTTCTTCTAGATCTTCTTCAGACATCCTGTCGTCTGTTCGTTTTCTCGCCTGGGAAACTCAGCGTTACTTTCTTTTAGACGAAAGAAAACAAAAGACGAGCTATGTTAGAGGTCAACTTAAAGGGGAAAGAGCAGATGCGACTCAGTAGTTTAGATCTCCAGGATCACATGGGGGCCGGGGGGGGGGGAGGGGGGTCGGTCCACTGCCCTAAAAGCATGTCGTTAGAGAAGACTAATCAGGGTGAGGTTCAAATAGGATGTTTTCTACCTAAAGGTGCTGATGTCGCAGACTAGCGGCAAACTACAATGCAATGTGCAGTTACAGTAGAAAAAAAAGATACAGTGGATTGCGGTTCACTCTGTCATACAGAGCGACTAAGAGAGGTAGGTATATGTGAGAACTACTACGGTATAAACAATAACTCTAACGTCAAACCAATAATATAATAGAGTAAAGGAACGACAGATTATATATGTGGTTGTAACCACATCTCCAATGCTCCAGTCAAATCTTTCATTGAGAAGTTATAATGCAGGAAGAATTGAACCCTGCCGCTAACAACTAGATACAGCGCATGCTAACAAACGTCAGGCGAAACAGAATTTACCAGTGCATTCGATAATTGCTTCAGACGAGGAAAGAGGCATAATTAAGAGTTTGCTTGTTTGTTTTAGTATCCAGAAGCCATGAGTTGCTAACCCTTAGGCTCGGTATTATAGAAATCGCAACCTTTCGGCCTTGATTCCATGATAAATACAGTAAATCTGTGAGAAATATGGCTTTTCTGCCTACCCCCAGGAGTGAACCCGAACCACAAGGAGTTCGTCATCCGGTCACCGCACAATCCGGTTTAGCCAACTACGCTAGAGAGCCGGGCAAGAGTTAGTTGAACGGCATATGGCTTTATGGCAAACTAAGAGGAAAACTGATGAACTATGGAAGAACGGAGAGCTAAACAAAGTGGACCAAACGTCAACGACGCCATTAATCTGAGTAAATGTTTGTTTTAATATAACTGAAGGCAGACGAGGGGGCTTGCCGATGCTCGACACTTTGAGGCAAGGTTAAACGGACACAAAATGAGACTGCTACTGGTACCATTGGTATTGGAACTCGGCGCTGGCTGCTGAAAGTGCGGACGGAGCGCTTATGGGAATGCCCCGAGGGCTGTGACGTTGGTTTTTATTTTTTTTATTTTTACAATTTGCATGACTTAAACGAACCAGGATCGCTTCTTATATGTGGATAAATTGTTAGTCGTATTTAGCTAGCTGATCCTGCCGCAAAGTCTGATTTGACCCTTTTCCACGCATTCAAGCGTATTGGGT